GCATCTGGGATGGAAATGCCCATCCAGTTCTCCCAGCTGTGCCAGCAGCAACATGCTTCCTATCTGCATACACACAGTGGGCCACTGAGAGACATGGCCCACGTGTCCCAAACAGATAGGACAAAACAGCTAAGGGGGCCACAGCACACTGATGGAAGCTGCCAGCTCTAATGCACTGAAATGTTGTCATTCCTCTTGTAGGCTGCTAACAAGGAAGCACAGGGGACTTCTCTGCACAGCATCTTCTCAGCTACATTCAGGAAAGGGAAGGAAATAAAGCTTCTGTGCTATACAAGAAAAGGATGTAGTGCTGAGGGACTCCCTAGAGTAACCTATGATGGAGAGGTGACACCAATTAGGGTATTTTGTATGAACACACGAAGACAGCGAGGCCTTCAGAAAGAGATGAAAACACTGAAGGACAAAGAAGCCTTGTTCTGACAACCTTCTCTGGCATTAGCATGAGAGACAAAGGGACATAGTCCAAGCACAGACAATCAGGTAAGAAGGGACAAGAGCTCTTTGCTAGAAGCAGTTTATAAAGGGGAGCCAGGTGCATGGAGTTAAGTCTTTGCTTCCTTACTCTTTCCTCCTTAGGAGGAAAACCTAAATCACTATCTTTGGCCTTGGAGTTTTCCAGATGGTTTTTATTTCTTGCCTGTAAAATGCTGGAGATGGTCAGGCAGCTCTGAGTGTGTCCCCTGATGCTACTGGCAGAGCAGAGTTTCTCTACATATGTCAGCTATGGTAAACAAAATAAAGTCTGTAAGCTCCAGGAACAGGTGTGGAGCTGCAGGCAGAAGGGCAGAGGATAACTGCAGGTAACAGTGGGACATTTGCTTTGGTATCTGGTAGATTTGCACCAAGAGGTAGACTCAGGTTTTCTAAGACAGTAAGAAAAGAGAGGTGAGAAGCAGCTGACCACCTGTCCCACTCCTGTTCCTTTCCAAGCTACAATTTCACTTGGAAGAAAGCAAGACAGCCAGGAAACCTTTTCTGAAAGATAATGGTACAACCAAGGCAGCATTTCAACAGCTGACTTCTAAGAAGGGGATTTGTCTCCCAGCTCTTCTTACTGCTTGTCTTTCCCACTGCTCTACCAGCATTCAGAGGTCATTATTAAAAAGACAACAACAACAAACCACCCTCATCATTTCTTGTGAATTCTGAAGGTCACCAATGTCACCATCCGTTATAATGACACAAGTCACTCCCCTCTTCACACAAATGGATTTACAACCAGTTTAAAGGCTAGTGTCTCTGGGTGCACTTCACCCCTTCTGCTACTTCCTCTCCGTGCACACACACTCTCCTCTGGCAACAGCTGCTGGAAGAAATTATGAATTCCACTATTTTTCATCCAAGGCAGCTTTGAGTATATGGGAGACGCACTGGAGGCTGCAGGCTCATTAGCAGAGGATTTGTATTGCTACCTTCCATTTTATTCACCTTCCCAGATTAGGTGAAGCACGCCTGCCCCAACCTCTTTAATTAAAATGCAGGTGGTGGACTCTCCCCAACTCCAGTGCCCACCACACAATCAGATAGTGACAGCAACCTGGTAGAATAAAGCTCTTGATACAGTGGCTGCTCTAACAGAGTCTTAATTTCAGTTGAGCAGAACAGCACCTCTGGTAGCAGCTGCATTTAGGGCTGGAATGAATATCAGTACCCAGCCTCTTGCTGAACACTCACTGCCTTTCCAATCAAAGCCAGCATCCCTGACAGCTGAACTGTTAAATGAATTAACAAGGCGAGAAGGGGGTTTGCCAGTGGGGCTGTGACTCCCTTCCTAATTTCTGCAAGTGGTGGCTTTCAATTTTTCTGTCATTTGTCAGGAGATGCACATGGTTCTCTAATGAGCAGGGCAGAGCTGCAGCCAGCTCTAGAAAGGCAAAATTACAAGAATCTTCTAGTCTGTGGAAGAGGGAGATCCAGATGCTTGAGGCAGGTGGGGGAAGGAACTGGCTCTGTTCAGACTGAGCAGGCAGCACATCCTTCCTAGCTGTGCTAAGCACAAGGAGTCCCAGCCCACTCTCCTGACATAAGGAAGAATTGCTCTCCATGCCAGTGAGTTTTGCAAACATTCAGGCAGAACTCGATTTTGAGCCTTTGATCTTATGGGCTACTGTAAAAAAGAAAAAGGTTTTGCTCCATACCACATCCCCCAAACCCAAACCACTTTCATCCAGCTCCCTTATTCACCAGGCAAGTCAGGATACAGAGGTCTGTTACTCAGGTCTGGCCTGTTGTGTATGAGCAGGTTGTTCTCTTTCCAAATCTCCCCCTGCCCATCAGTCAGAAGCAAATGAGACCTGAGAACTTGGGCTGCCAGGGGAGGCTGTTGAATAGGGTAGAGCTCAATGGCACTCCAGGACTTAAGGGAACCTTCCCATTGGGTGTTTTTTGTTTGATTGGCCAATCTGGCAGAAGGTTGGTTTTAATGTTTTTTTGTTCCAAATTTGTCAGGAGGTTCCATTACTGGAGCTTTTATTGTAAAAATCCATATATGAGGATAGCAAAATCTTCCAGTCTAACAGAGGAGAGGAAAAGGAGGAAGCAAGGAATTAGACACACTTCTGCACCATTCATCTGTCTGCACCAGACACAGAAGCTGAACAGCCCATCAACCCTCTGTATTATTCCCAGGTGCCCCACACTGTATGAAACACCAACCAGAACTGCACAGTATTGGGTATTTGACTGAGCTGGCCTAAACCCAGCGCACTTTCCCAAAGGCAAGTGCTGTATATTCTTTTTACAACTGAGAGAGGAATGTTCTTGCACCCACCTGAATTACTGGAACACATATGGAAGAAGGAAGCACTATTTAACAATACTGAGATACATGCTATATGGGGCTTTCAGCCTGGAGACTGATTCCCTTCAGTCATTTTGTGTTCAGTGCTATCTATGCCTGTGTTGTCAGCACTTGTTTATTGGGCCGGTTTTCTCTATTTTTAACATGGATGCTCCAGTTGCTGAAGCTAAGCAGACCCATTTTTTCCAGCTTACTGCTTAACTGCCTTTACCATGGGTAAGAACATCAAGCAAACAATAACAACAAAAAACTTGTATTTCCACAGCACGCTTAAACTCAAAGGTGTCACAAATCAATTTGAAACTTAAATTGCAATACCAGCTCCAATCACTTTACTCACAGTATAAATCACAGCCAGTTCTGGAGGTGGAAGAGGCAGTTCTATAACAAAGTGTAATAACTTCACACAACAAGAGTGAAAATTGGCAGGAAGAGCTTACATTCATCATTTTCTACCACATGAACCTGGATTGTCCCTAACCAGAGGTAAATCCAGGATCTCCAGGATCCATCAGAGTCATTCTAAAACTTCAGATACACCAGTCCTGCATGCGAAAAAAAAGTCTCCTGGATGTATCAGTTTCCTCCCAAGTTTGGCTCCTTCCACTGCCTTGTTCCCTATCTGAGTTACAATAAGGAAGACCTGGACAGTGGGATTAAAAGACACGATGTATCAGCATTTCCTTGTTTTCCCCAGCTGACTTTCTGTGCTGTGTACATCTGTATAAATGCATGTGCTGGTCCATTTGCAGCAGTGAGATACTGAGCTCTGAAACAAAAAATGTATTTTGAAGCCAGCTACAGTTGTCTCCACTTGGGGCTTTCTTCACTGCAGTTGCACAAGTAAGAGCAGCAGCAAACTAGAAAAAGATGTAAATATTGCCAGCTGTCTGCAGAACCATGCTGCTCTGATTAATTTATGATGTTTTCAGAGGCAGACAGCGAATGTTTCACCATATTTGAAATGAAAAGGTTAAGTAGAGTTTAAAAAATGTGCAGTAGGGTTTAAAAAAGATGTGCTTTGCTTAGTTTTCAGCAATAGAATATTTAATGAATAAGAATAAAATGAATTATTGCTGGGTTTGATAGCTTCTACATCCTAGCCTTGAGACAGAAGAACAGAAGTGTAATCAGATCCCTTCACGGCGGCAGAGTGAACAACAGGAGGGTGTGTGTTGCCTATACTTGTTCTAAGCTTCAAAAGATACTGCTGCAGAAATTGATACCATAACTAACAACTATTTCAGCACCAGCTCCTTTCCAGCTGGGGTCACCATAAATACAGCACTGCTGCTGTGGCTGTGAAGAAGACATCAGCTATTCCAGTCCTGCGCTTCTCTGGGTAGAGTTACCCAGAACAGACTCAGCTGAAGGTTATTTGGACTCTGCAAAAACACCAGTTTCACAAAGCATTCAAAGAATGTGTCTGGTTAACTGTCTCATCCTTATTTCCACCTCCAGCCTTTCAATGGAGGGATTTTAACATGATGGACAAGTTACATTTCATAAATACAGCCTGGATTCATGCAGTAGACCCAGAATAAGCAAAGGCATGAATAGTGCCACTGACCCTCAGCTTCTGTAGAGGCTGAGTGCAGCTGTAAAGTCTGCGTGTTCCTGAGTGTAATCATCATCTATGCCTCCAAAGCTAGCAGTAAACTAGACATAGTGTCTATTTGACTTCAAGAGGATAGAAATACAGCAAGGTGTGGCACAGGCACGCAGGCTATATGTCTCCACACAGCCAGTGTCTCTACACAGAGGGTTATAAAATAAAAGAAGCAGCTTTCCAAGCCTCCCTTGTTTTGTAGTTTTGTTTCTTTTCCCTTGTGGCTTCCCTGTGCTCCACTTTTCACTTCTTTAACTTGAGTCAGTTTTTCCCTCAAGCTAATTTGGTATGAACAGTCATCCTCCTGCAACTCCAAACAGATTTTCTCTTCTTTCTTTCAAATGCCTTTTCTCCCTTTGTTTGTGTAGACCCACTGGCTTTCATATGGCAAGGAACTGTCAGTGACAACCTACTCCTGGAGAGGACGGTAAAAGAAACTGTTAGTGATCATGACTGGGAATTTTTCACCATCCCTTTTCTGGGACAAATACCGAATATTCTCTGGAGAATACTAAAACATTCTGGTAACTTAAAAAAAGAGTAATAATAAACTGATTTTCCTTTACCTACCTGCTTCACCCACAAACACTTCCACTGGTGCGCTGGTAGGGCTCTCACCAATTATATTATATGCTGTCATTAATACTTCGTATCTCTTGTATTTCTTCAACTCTGCAAAGGTAAAATATTTCATTATTCTATTACATATTATAGAATATTATTTATATTATCTAGACTCCATCACCTCTTTATCACCAGACTTCCCTCTTGTGAAACACGGCATTAGAACAGTACAATGATGCAACACCTACTTCCTTCCTTAACTCACACATCACTGCAGGATTTGAGTAATTATGAAAGATCTTTGGAATGAAATGGCAGGATTTTCCAGTGTTTCTTCACATTGTTGCTTCAGTAGGAAGAATCATTCCTGATGAGTAACTAGCTAGAAGAATACTGCCAGGTCATTTTCAATGACACAAGAAGGCAGGACTTTGCTTTGAATGAGCTTTACAGGCTCATTTTAATCTCGTGATAGAAAAGTGGCTTCAAGCCTTTGCCTAACCCCAGGGACTTTGACCTAAGGATTCATTTAGCAACTGCATGCCTCAAGAATGTCACGGCTGAAGCAGGCTGCAGAAGATCTGCAGTGGGGAACCTGGCATCCCATCTGAAGTACTGCATGGGTGCCTCTTCTTCAAAGTGACCACAGCCTGAACATCAATCACAAAGAGAAAGGAGAATTTGGAGTCTAGACTCAATTTGGCAACCAATTTCTTTGCCGATATACAGAAATTACTCTGACAGATGAGGTAGGAGAGTGAGAGCAGTGTGAACAGATCTAGAGAACCCAATTGTATGAGGGTAATTAACAGATGCAAACAAGGGTGAAGGAGAAATCATGTCAATGTCAGCAGGGGAGGCAGCGCCTGAGCAGTTTCAGACTTTGCTTTTTCAGGATGAAAGAATCAATCCTAACAAATATTTATCAGCCACAATATTTAGCAGTGAAATTAAGAGTAAGGGAGAGATCAATAATATAAATTGCCCGATTTAGATGAGCACTGAACTGATTAAGACACACATGACCAGGGGTCCAAGTTTCTCCCTTTGCCAATAATATCCGCTGCTATTTATGAATCAGATAGTACCTTTAACTCTGTGGCTGACAGTATGCCATCAGTTTGGCAAGGTTCAATAAGCTTAATGATACAAATTCATCAAATTCAGTTTCATGGAAGTGTTTACAACTGTTGTGCTCCTGTATGTGACTCATAGTCCAGCATCATTCCCCTGTCTCACGCACACTACAAATGATATCTGATGTATGTGATACCATTAAACTCAGATGGACTGCAAAACATGGAGCAAGCACATGAGCAGTAATGCTACTAAGTTTGTAAACAAACAAATAAACAAACCCCAGTAATATATATAAGATATAGTGCTGGGTAGCTTGTACAGGGAAACTTTAATTGCTGCCATGAAAAGTCAGAAGGGAGATGTTAGTGTTAACAGGATGTGGATGAAAATGGAACACATGAGAGTTCATGCATGCAAGTTTCAGTGGGGATAGGGCTTCATTTTTTTTTTTTAGCTCATCACAATCTGTGACTCAAAAGCCTTGGGCAAAACCTATCTAGTGAACCATCATCACCACAAAGCAACTTGCCTTTTAACTCTGTCGAATGCTATTTTATTCATTTCCAATTGAAAACACCTCTGGAGATGCACATAAATTCATTGGGCTCACTCTAAACTGGACTCCTACTCCACAGAATGCCTGAGCATCGCAATGCTTGAATCACAGGACTAATGATGTGATGCAGCTAAACTCAGATGGACTGCAAAATATGTAGCAAGCGAATCAAAATTCATTTAGCATCAGCAATACTGGGTTGTTACAGTCAATAATGTTTTACCTTCCCAGCAGCCACATTTTTACAACAGCTACCTACTTGCATCATCAGTGCCTCTTGATGTAGGGAACGCTAAGGCTTAAAGAAAAAGAAGCTCAAAGAAGCAGAATCATTAATCTGTGTTGATTTCTACTAGATCCACTGAGGACAACCATAGGAGTTTGCCTGTAGTGTATTTTGAACCATTACAAAGAGTCTCATCTAAAGGCAATATGCACTTACGTGTTAATTCATACGTCGTTAATGCAGAGCTGCTGTTCACTGTCTTGAAGCTGCTTTGGGCTATTCAGGGTAAGCAAAGCAGAAAGCTTGTTACAGTGCAAGGAAATAGTTATTGCAAATGATGTACAGCAGACAGAGGCAAATGATGCAGCACACACATACACAGTTTGAGCTTTAGGACTATACCTTGAAGGGCAATAAAATCACATCACTCTCTCATAATACATCAAAAGCATGTCACTCACACGGGGATGTTTCATTTCCTCCTCAAACAGAGAATCTCACAAATATACAACACAGAAATGTTCTGACACCTATATTAAATAGAACAAATGTGGAAAAAGGAAACCATTTATGGGGGCAAATTCTCAGCCTCCTCACTTCTCAAACGCAAAATTCAAAACCTTAAGATCTGCAAAGACCTGGAATGTGGACCACAAAAAGCCAACACTTACAATAGAACAGGACCTGTTTCTTTAAATGTGTGTTAGATTCCCCACAGCTTCACTTACAGAATTCAGTATTCCTGCTGTGAGTGAATTGTAATAATATGCTAAGCTGTGCAAAACTGCAGGTCAGTCAGTAACAGAGGTGTTAAGGTGAGGATTGTCATATTATGAGGAGAAAGAGGGAAATTCCTCTTAAAATACACTTCTCTCCACCCCTTTCTCTCTCTTGACTTCCTGGCGGAGTACAGCGCATTTTTTTCTACTCTACAGCTATTATGAACATAGCTGCAGGGCCAGCCAAGAAGAGGGAAGATAGGAAACCAGTAGGTTTCACAGGCTCCCTGGCTTGTGAGACTAGAGAACATCCAAAGTCATTATTTCATGATTATATACATAGTCAGCTTTTGTCTGGAAAAATCCCTTATGAATACTTATACCTGTAGGAGCTTTACATCTCCACCCTCTCCTGGTTAAAACTGTGTGCAGTCGAGAAGTCTCATTCAGCACTGACTGCATAAGTGAGGTCAGAGTTAGGTGCTTATGTTATATTTAAAGCATCCACTTTTTCCATACCCCCATACAAACTACTCTCCCTTTGTAGAAACCACTTTTATGGGCTCAGGGAAACATGGAAGAGGATTTAAGGTATTAGAATAGTCTCACTCAACCCTATTCTGCTGCTCTTGGAGTATTATCTTATTCTGAATATTCCACATCAAGCAGTACAAAAGCTGCCCCCTCTGTGAGTATGTCTCATTCCTGGACCATATATATCTGTCAGGCTACTGAGTGCTCACATCTTTGCCTCAAATCATCTTATTCTGCCCATTCTTCCCTCTGATTTCCTTTCTAGCTTTTGTCTAAAAATCCTTTTCATTTTTCTAGCATTCCTCTGCACCTTCCTTCCATGTGAGCCAAAAAATCCCAGTGACTAACATGGCAAACATGCACCTTAAAATTCTTGCTCATTTTTGCTATTTACTTCCAAAGTAGGGACAAGCACTTTGAAATTGTAAAAATTCTGTTTAACATTTCTCCTCATCTGTTTTCTGATACTACAAAACCAAACTGTCAATTTATAAAAACTACTAAAAAATAACATGAAAGAAAAAGGTTCCCAGCTGAGGAAAATGAACTCTCTCTTTTGACTGATGGCAGAACAAAGTATACCAGGGTAATCATCAAATGGAGGTAGCAGAAAGCAGGAAATCAGAGGCTATACGGGGGACAGAACATCAGTTTGAGCATGCTGGCATAGATTAGCGTGTACCATTACAAGTGATACTGATCAGACAGAAGTTACAACCATTTTCCAGAATCTTCAGCCTGAGTTTGTAAAAGCTAGATTATCCCAAGCACTCTTAGACATAACTGTGTTACTTCCATGGGGCAAGAGAGCATACAGTGCTTGGCATAATGACAGATTACCATTCTGGGATATTACAAGGTCCAAAACACAGGCTTACGTGTGAGCTCTGCTCTTAAAGCTGAAGGGCTCTGGATGGTTTTGGTTTCTGTTCCAGGTCCAGTGTCATAATCCAGCTCCCGATAGTAGATCCGGTATCCCAAGAGCAAGCCATTTAGACTCTCAACTTTGGGTGGCTGAAAAACATTCACATAAGAACAGGCTTGTTAAGATGAGCATTGCAACAAACATCCATCACAAGAGGCAGTAGCTGACACTGGTCCTCTGTAAAGGGACATAGTGCTCTCTGGTGAAAACAGACATGAATAATATACAGGGAATATACAGCATCAAAGGTTCTGTGATTTGAAAAACATAAGTTAAAGGGAACTTTGATGATTTCACTCAGCTGTGGCAGTTACAAAAGGCTCTTTATTCAAGACTGACACCTGATGCGCTACACTAAGAGCTAAGCTCCTTTCCTTCTTGGTGCAAAGAAACTTGTGTGTGACAAAGAACATAAATAAGCATGCCCCTGAAAGTGCATAGCACTGGCCACCAACAGTGGAACAGCAAAACAGTATTTCACTTCTTCTGAGACAAAAGTAATTATTTTGTCAAAGACAGCATTTCTATAGTGGTTATTTCCCATGGGGACTGTTCATACAACACTCTTCATTTGGCATGATTTTACTGAAAAGACATGAGAAAATAACAAAGAATTGGTGTATTCCAGCTATGATTAGGAAGATGAAAATACATCTAGTAGCCGCAGACAGGTATTTAGAGAAGAGTCACAGTATAATGGACTCTGGTGTATTGCATAGGTCCAATCCCACAGGCAAACCCAGGTCTCCCCCATAACAGCTTGGAGCAGTACAGGATGTATGACCACAGAGCTGACCCAGAAATGAGGGTTTTTTCCTTCTGCAACATGCTGGAAGATACTCAAAGACATAGTACCTCAGTAAGGATTATCAGCAGCCCCTCACATCTTCCTTCAGATAGAGATACACAGCCAGAACACTGAAAAGGAGATTTTTGTCTGAATGGCTTGCTTAAATAGAGACAAGCAGGGGATTCTTTATGTTTGGTGAAAAAAATTACTTTCATGAGTCTAATACAGGCTAAGAACTGCAGAGAAGAAAAGATGCCCTGAGCCATTTATCTTCTAAAGATTCTTGTACTGAAATTTAAGAGGCTGAAAGTATAAATGAAAAGGATTTTAATGATGATCTCACCTTTAATCCAGAAAGATCCCTAGCAGTCTTGAGAACACTACTAAGGAAAACCAGCCCAATGTGGAATTAACCGCTGGTCTGAAACGCTGTCACAATACAATGTAATACCACATGTAATTTTAATGAAGAAAGGAAGACTAGGAAAGGGGGAAGATATTTGGTAATAACCTAATATTCTACTTCCAGAAATGACAAGAATTTTCCATTACTTCATTATGATGGCAAGAGGACAGCGCAGGCAGTCCTGTCTCAGGGCAGAAGCTTTGCTTTGGCTGAAGGAATTAAGTAGAAAGATTGCAGTTTATGGAAACCAAAAAAGAAAATTATGTGAAGCAGTGTGTAAAAAAGCTACACAGCTACCAGGTAAAGGAGAAGAAATACTCCTGCAAGAAGCAGCCTTCTTTGGCAGTTGTCCTGCCCAGAGCCTCCTGAAAGCAGTCCAGTAGTCCTAAGATCTTGCTGTACTTGCTCTGCATGGTTGGAGAACCTCATTCATCATCATTTTATGCTCATTATTATGCTCTATCCTTTGGAGAAGCCCTGACCACCTTTCACTGTTATTTAGCATCTGCCTTACAGAATGACCTAGGAATGAAGATTGTGAGAGACCTCAGGAATCATCAGGACTAGGCCTTCAAGACTGCAGAAAGTCACCTTCTCAAAGTCCATTTCACAATCAGAAATTCCACCAAAAAATATGGTGATTTTCCTGTTTCCCAGTATTCCTACTGGAAAGCTGTTCCAAGCCTCACTACCTGGGTGGTTAGAAACCTTCATTTAATTTCCAATCTAAATAATTCATAGCTAGTCTATAACCATTTGTTACTGTGCTAACATTGCCTTTTGGGTTATATTGTTCTTCTCCCTAAGGGGTGTTTACACCTGTGATGTATTTTGAAAAGGGCAATCATATTCCCTCTCAGGCTCCATTGTACAAGGCAAATAAATCAACCTCTTGTACAACAGCCTTTCCTAGTCTCAGATTAAGCCCCCTTGTCCAAGAGACTAAGCAAATAGACCAAACAAAGCGACAGCCTTTGCCAGGTCTGCTTGATGACACGATCGCTCATGGACCAGCTGAAATGTTCTCCCCTGCAAGGTGAAGAAGATGAGATCTGGTTTACCGGAAATGACTCATGTATCTATCATGATCCTTGTTTTCTTTTCCATTCTTCTGGCTTTCTTCTTTGGTTTTCTGTATTATACTGAAGTTGCTTTAGCTCTGATGATGCCGTAGCAGAGAAGGACTCCACAACACAGCAAAATCCTTGCCTCCCTCTATCCGGGCAGGGAGAAGTCACAACACAAAGCATGAGGTGCTTTTTCCAGACAGGCTAGAGGGAAGCACTATCCTACCAGGATACAACTTGAGTGCATCACCAAAAGGAGAAGAGAGGCTGCAAGAAAACAAAGCCTATCCAGCATGGAAATAAACTTCACACAATGAAAAATACAGTGACCATTCCATGGATTTGTGTTTCAGGTAATTGTTACCTAGAAGGAAGGTGCTCTTGGAAAGACCCAAAGTCTTTTCCTATTTTAACTATTAATATATTTGTAATAATAATAATAATAATAAAGGTTGAGGTGGAGTCTCCAACAGAATCCTAAAAAGAAAACACTGCCGAAGCTGAGAAAGAGATTGTTACCCTCTGCTCTGCCATATAACTACCTAACAGATAAAGCTTAATCCCTCATTGTGGTACAACACTGATTTGTTGATAGCAAGCATTGTTTTCTTATGCTTTCATGTGTTTCTCCAGTTTTTCCTTCCTTTAAATTTAGGACAGGAAAGCTTAGAAAATAAATGGCTTGAAAACTGCCTTTCTCCTTGCCATGGAAATGATAATTCCTTCCTGAAAAGGGTACTCTGCTAAAAGGTCAGGTCTTCCCATTCCTATCTGTCTTTCATGGACAAAACTCTGCTTTTGATGTAATGGATTATTTAGGGGTTTGCAGGAAGGCCTGAGGGATCTGCTGAAATAGGTAAAATGATTATGAGTGGCAGCCTGTAATGTTGTACAGAAGTAAGAGAAACATTTTCGTGCTGTTTTAAAAAAAGAAAGAAAGAAAAAAAGACTAAAATGTAAGTTTGAATAATTGTTTTCTCTAAGGTAGAAGCAGAACTACACGATCCTGATGTTAACCGCAACATCCTCCAGAACATCTGAACTAACCTTGCATTATTGATACCACAGATCTCAATGGAAATTACTTGCTTTCTTCTACTTGAAATTTAAAAATCATGGAGTGATTGGACCCAGCAGCTGAAAGCCCAGATAGTGCATCTCCAGTTTGTTTGGTGAATTATTAACACAGCTCCAAGTTAAAAATGTAGCTTTGCTCAGAAATCTACTCCCCATTTAGCTCGAGTGCTGGTTTCAGTTTACATTATTTCTTAGGCACTGTTGTGAAACTTTCTCCTAATTGGAGGCTATTGTGGGACTTGAAGATTTTTGTTTATTTGAAAAATATAGTAAAGTGGAATTACCAGGACCTATTAATACACACGTAGTAATGACATATAATCACCCACAACTCCCTTGAGAAGGCTCTGGCACAACAACCCCGTTTCATTTTCATGAAATAAAAAGCATCCAATTACCTAAACAACCATCTATTTCACATTAACTACACACCAATAATCAGTCAGTTGGGGGAATGTTTCTTTCTGCAGTATATCATGCCTCACATCCTCTGTCCCCTCCTGGTATACCTTTCTTCCTTCACTGGGGGCTTTTATTACTAGGTGGGATGGTAGATTTACATCTCTCCACAATTCCTTTGGTAAAACTGTTCAACATATCTCCTATTTATTCAACATGCTGTAAGCAATGCTGCTGCTCAGTATTATGCTGCATGAACTTGGGCCAGGAAGCCTGCAGTACAGCCAGGCATATTTTTAAAGTGTTGCTGCATAGCAATAAACAGACCCTCATACATATATTTTTCTTCCAAAAATGCAAGGAGCCCCATCTGTACTGTAAATGCATATGTACATTTTTCACCATAATGTAATCTGTCCAAAGTTATCCTTATTATGTGTGTGGGACACTGTCCCAAGAGCAGGGTGGGCAAAGGCTTTCCAGGATAGGTTATGGATAATGCGCAGTACCCCACTGGGTTCCCTCTATTAATGCTCACTCTGCAAAAAGCAGCCCCAGGCACTGGGGTCACAAAATGTTCCAGCATCTCCCAGGAGGCCACTTTTGAAAGATAAAGGAAGGCAGAGGAAATGTCTGTATAAAACGCACACTTGGCATGAATACTTTCATATCCAACTCAGAGATGTCACTAAGAGCTCAAACTTCCTTTCCTTTCTCTGAAGAAATCTCAGATTTTAGCCCTCAAAGAGCCAAAAGGGCATGTGGAGTTCCTCACAGGTACGAACAGGATCTCAGGCACAGCAAGCACTTCTGATTATTTCAGCAGCTGAAGGAGGGAGTATGCGACAGGAGCGGCTTTTGATTACTTGATCTCTACCAATTCCACACTTTGCTAAATGTTTTCAGTGTAAAGCAGCACATCTATTGATATCAATGGAAGGACAGCCGAATCTGTACAGGGAATGATCTTGGGCATCCCTACAGAAACTCTGTTAACTCTCAAGCTTCCCTTCATGGGACACAAAGTAGCAGCAATTGCAAGAAATTTCCATCCAGTGCTACAATGCATGCCATGATCAGAAAAATAAGAAAGTAGCTGCAGTCCTTCAACTTTACAACAATACTTCCAAGCTGAAGAAAATGTCCCTTGAACTGTACCATCAAGTCAAAGCAGCCAAAAAATTGCTCCAGAAACATCAAAACTTTTCATGTTACTTACCTGCCACTGCACAAGGACAGATGAAGTCGTATGAGGAGTTACTGACACAGAACTGGGTGGTTCACCTGGAACTAAACAAGAAATAAGAGGTAACCAAAGCAGTTATAACATCAGGGTGGAAAAAGGATGGCTTTTATTCATCAGGTTCTCTTTCTTCACTGCTGAAGAAAATCTCCTATCCCAGTTACTACATGGTGGGTCTCAAAAGCAATGTGGTGTATATGACTATTGCAATCTGGGCAGAAGCCAGCCACTTCCCATACATTCCTTGCTCTACCTGTGGCCTTGGCAACTTGGAACAGGAGAAAAGTTAAGGGCATAAATCTGGAGGGAGCTGCAGCATGCCAGTTACTCGTAAACAACTGGATACACATTTGAAAGGAAGTTAAACCAGCTGCATGGAAGTTTCAGCAAGCTGCTCCCAAATTTTCCATGATATTTTTGCCCCAGCTGGGGCAAGCCCACCTTGTTTTCAGGGCTCTGTGTCACATCATCAGAGGCTATTTTAGGTAGGACAGCCTGATTTACTATGGATTAACCCATTCCTATGCCCACGGCCTACAGCACACCCCCCCACACACCAGAGCAGCTCAAATACGGCTTATCAGGAGCTCACAGCCCTCCACAGTGCAATGCTCTAGTGGCAGAACCAGGTTTGCTCAGCAGAATAAATGTAGTTTGTAAGAAGGTGAGAAGCTTTCCCAGCATTTCCCTGTTGCATTGTGAGGAGGCCAAGCACAACTCTGGATCCACTGTAACTAAATTCAAAGAGAATTGAAAATAAAATCTTAAATTCTGAAACAGTCGGTGCTGCCTCATTAGTTCCAGCCTGCACTGACACAGCAGCTGCTGTTGAGGAAGGGGGAGAGGCAGGATGCATTTAAAAGGCTGCTAGGCATGTTATTAAAGTATTACACAGGCTCTTTTTGAACTTAGGATACTCCTGAGCTCTGTCCTCTGTTTTTCTGACTTTGAGACCACCTTCTTTAAACATTCCTTTGCAAAACTGTTTCCTGTTTTTATACCTCAGTGTCATATTTAACTAGCCGTTCCTTGAGCTGCATGAAATAGTGGTTACTTCCTAGCACAATATATATGGATGCACACCAGTATTACCCCATTTCCCAGGCCAAGGGTAAGTAGTGATGCTTTCCCACACTTCACAGAGTTCCTTTCTTCATTCAAGACATCAGAGCTACTTCTGCATTCAGGCACTGACTTTATACAATCAAGGAATTAGAAGCTGATCTCTAAGGCTAAAAATAAAAACCTTGTCAATGTCATTCACAGTTTATTAGCCCTGATCTGCAGGATTAAATGCTTGTGTTTCCAGGAGCTTTATACTCTTTCTTACCTATACCTCAGCAATTTTGCCATATTGCAGACTGATGCGGTTTGTGTGGGAAAACAATTAAAGAAACTTGTTCAAATGTATGCACGGTTCTGCATTTCTTTTTAATGATCTCTTGTAAATTATTCAATTTCTGCAAAGATAATGGTTAGCGCAAAGTTTGGAAGCCAATCAAACAGAGCGTAATTCCATTTTGAGACTCCTGAAAGTATGATTCATGATGAGAGGACACAGCAGGACACTTAAGGCTGCCTGCTATTAATTCAGCCACATCTCATTACTACCTGTATCAATCTCCTATGAACAAAACTGAATTCGCTATAGAATTTTCACTCCACAGTCCTAGTGGAGAATGCATTGCAGCGGATCCAGCAAGCCCAGGCACAAGCCCATTGCCCATCCCATGGTGATTCTCCTCCTTGCTTACCATCCTGCAGAGTTGTGACTGCCTCAGTCTCTGCACTGAAGTCACTGTCTCCAATGTCATTGGTTGCTTTCACTCGCAGTTTGTAAGAGGTGAAGGGGTTCAAGCTGTGGAATGTCAAAAATAAGGGTGAAATCTCTCTGCATCATTACAAGGCCTCAGAACAAATCTCTACACAGAACCTGCCCATTGGCACCTAAAGACATTGAGCAGTTTGTCTCTTCTCCACATTGCCTTTTCTTTGCAGCCTCACTGAGCTTCCTCTGGAGTTGTTTGCACTCTTGCTGCCATCAGCATCAACTCAGATTTCCATTAGCCTGAGTTCCTGAATACACTCGTGGATTCATACCTGAGTTAGGCTCCTGAAAACAGCCATGAAGTTGCAGTTCATGGAGCAGCCTGGGGCTTGTTGGAAAGAACAAGATGTGCTGACATTCAAGTTTTCCAAGGCTACTTGGAAAGCTACAGGAAACCTGGCTTTCAAGGAGCTTTGCCTAAGATGTCCTCAAAACAGATCTGTGGGTCAGCTCATGCTCAATGCAGGGAGGAGGATGACAAGTAGAGAGGAGCTTGGCAATGTACCCAGGGCCAGCCAGGGCACAACAGGTGCTGAAATTCTGAGCACCAGCCTTATGGCTAATCCTCTACACTATACTGTTTGATAAGTGCATTTTATTCCTACTGAATTTCAAATTAATGCTATTACCTGGATTATTTAATAAAAAGAGCAACAACAGGTTCCCTGCAGATCTTTTATCTATGCAGTGCTTTAAGATATGCAAAGAGTGATTTCCAGCTGACATAACCTTTGCAAAGATCCTTCTGTCTTGGCTTGGCACAGGAAGGTTGGGGGGAGGCTGATTTTGAGTCACTTGCAAAGGCTAGAAATGCAGAACTGTGAGTTATGGGGGATTTAGCTAATTAATTGGTAGTGTCTAGCCATCAGCTGGCAGATAGAATACTGACTACAAATGCAAGTTACTTGGAAGGAATAATTAAAGAGCAAGGGATAATGCATTCTGATGGGCAGCACTCCCATCACCTGTATGCTTCTCTTCTGGACTTTGACAGGAAAATGCTTTTAGCAAGGGGGAGAAGAAATCTCTTTCAATAGTGCCACTCTATTAGGATACTATTACTTACCTACAGCACGTTGAATAATAATCTGAGTAACCTCAGATTATTTCTCTATCTTTTGCTTTCAGTAATGCCAATGTCAAGTCTAAATGACATAGTTGGTTTCCTTGATTTTACAGGTTTTGACTGGAAAGATACTGTGTATAATTCAGGGTGGCTGTAAGACCTCCAAGGTCAATGTATCAGGTCTATATTTGTACCTATAATTAACAAGCTTTATTTTTTTATGCAGTTAAGACAAAAGAATAGCAATCATAGAATCATAGAATCATAGAATAGTTAGGGTTGGAAAGGACCTTAAGATCATCAAGTTCCAACCCCCCTGCCATGGGCAGGGACACCTCGCCCTAAACCATATTACCCAAGGCCTCGTCCAACCTAGCCTTGAACACTGACAGGGATGAAGCATTCACAACCTCCCTGGGACAACCTATTCCAGTGCCTCACTACCCTAACAGGAAAGAATTTCCTCCTTATATCCAATCTAAACTTCCCCTGTTTAAGTTTTAACCCATTACCCCTTGTCCTACCACTACAGTCCCTAATGAAGAGTCCACCCCCAGCATCCCTATATGCCCCCTTCAGATACTGGAAGGCTGCTATGAGGTCTCCATGCAGCCTTCTCTTCTTCAGGCTGAACAGCCCCAACTTTCTCAGCCGATCTTTATATGGGAGGTGCTCCAGTCCCCTGATCATTCTCGTGGCCCTCCTCTGGACTTGTTCCAACAGATCCATGTCCTTTTTATGTTGAGGACACCAGAACTGTACACAATACTCCAAGTGAGGTCTCACGAGAGCAGAATAAAGGGGCAGGATCACCTCCTTCGATCTGCTGGTCATGCTCCTTTTGATGCAGCCCAGGATATGGTTAGATCTGTATTTTTTGGCACATGACCAGTGAGCTGCCATATACCATAGCCACTAATATTTTTCTAACAGACCTGAAAAATCTGCATCTGGATGCTTTGAATACTTGATTCTCCAAAAGCTCATGGCCTTTTAGAAATAATCTGATTCGTACTAGCTCATCAACAGAGGAAATGGACAGCAAAACAAGTACCTTTGCACAGACATTCAATTGCTTTCACTGCTGTTCCAAGGAGTTTAATTACAACAGCATCACTGAGGATATAATGAAGCCTGAGTAACAAAGTTTAAACATTCTGATGCTATCTATAAACTTCAGTATGGAAAATACAGATAAAAATGGTTCTCATTTCATCTGGAAAAGCTTATATAGAGATAATTGCATTGCAGCATTGAGAATGGATTTTAATACCAGTCACTGCTGAAAGGATTTTTAACTAGTTGTGTATTTTACAGAGCATTGTGTAGCTACCTATGGTTTATAGCCGCAGTAACATTATCTATGGTGCTGAGCTTTCAGGAAAGCCTTTAAAAAGATGCACTGCAGTCCAGCTTTAATTAGATTTATTGCATGACCCTCCCCAAATCTCTCAACTGCTGTTCATAACACCACCCCTAAAACAGGAGCAGTGGCCTCACTTAACCTCTCTTGCCCCGAAAGACTATGAAGCTGAGGGAAAGCATGGAATTTCTAGGCTAGCCTGAGATCATATGGTACCTTTCAATAATGCAGGATGTTGCCTCGTGGCTGATGGAAGAGGAGTAGGTTTGCCAGTCTCCATTTGGCAGTTCTCGCACTTGGACTGTAAAATATCGTATTGGTGAAGATCCATCACTTCCAGGGACCCACGCCAACAGCAGACTCCGTGATGTCACATCACCCTGGGGGGTCATCACCTGCCTGGGAGGTGCTGGTCGTTCTGCAAGTAAACCACAGTTTGGTGCTGCTTTGAGAGGAAATTCAAGCTAACATAAAATGTGACAGCCTGATCAGATTTTCATAGTGGTAACACCACAGGAGACTGAAGTGTTGGATTTGCCCAAATTACAAAAGCCATCCCATTCCTTAACCTTCTACTGCAAAGATCAGTAAAACTGATTCTGCACAAAAGGTCTCCATTGAATATATACCTTCCTAGGAACAGACCTCAAACTTGATCTAAGCCTGGCAGGTTAAGGAAGAATCACTAGGACCAGCAGCCAAGTGAACCAAGGAAACCTCTAATTAAACTCAGCTATGCTTGTACTGCAATTGCTCTTTTGACTGAATTTGCCAGTAAATTAGTTAACTTTTTAACCCGTGCTTACTACTTGTTTAACTACTTACTACTTGGTACCGTGGGACTATGTTCTCCCTCTGCTATGTAGCATCTTTCCACCAGCTGCTCCCCAGTTGAGGCATGAAGAAGAGAAAGAGATGAGCTGGAACAGGCTGCTGTGTAGCAGACTCCAAGTGCATGACTTGCATCTGATACTGAATTCCTGCATCAGCTCACTCTGTCAAGGAACTGGGAACCATCAGCAGCTCCTGCTGCTGCTGATTCCAAACCCAAGCTTGGTTATGGTGCAGAGCTGGGGCTTGAGCCCCTGCTGCAGTTCACTTCCAGACCTCCCCAGTTTTTCCCTTCATAACCACTAACCTTGAACCAGCAAAGTCAAACCAGTGCCAATGCTAAAAGAGATCTCTCCAGAGTAATTACCCGTACACCTTTTAGATGAAGCAGGGAATGGTAATGCAGGTGTAAGCATGCCAGTCCCCAACTGTTCCTATATAGATCTCCTTTCCCATCACTGTGTCTCTGCACTCCATTGATTTCAATAGAGAAACTCTATAGAGTGAGGAATAATTGTTTAATTGTTTATCATGAAGATTATTGATTCTGATTAAAATGTGTGGCATGTAATAAAGCAGGAATTGATTGGAGACACCACAGTGACTTGCTTTTGAGAAGCAATTCAATTCAACTTCATCAGCACTTGTTTCCATAAACACACCTCTGCCTGCCCGATTCCTCACATGGCGAGCACTTCATTTCCCTGCCATCCCCTAAAACCATTTCCTGTATGTTTTGGCATTTCTCTGCAGCATGCTCTTGCTGACATCAGTGCCCAAACACTTGTAAGCTATTAGCTGGAGGAAGCCCTCGGTGCCAGCAGCCTGTGAGCCAGAGTACAATGTAAAAGGTCAATGCCTTACACTGACAGGCTGAGACAGGTATTCAGGGTTATTCTAAAAAGGGAAGCAAGCGTCGTGCAGGGATTTAATACTCTCTGCTGATAAGCTTTAACTAGCTTGCAGTTTTGGGCAGGTCAGATCTTGCAGTCAGTCTCCCATGACTGGGTTTCCTTCTGCTGCTAATGGGAGATCTTAAAATCTCATGTGTTGCAAGATATACTTCCTGACTGTTTGTACAAATCCATGTGTACTTATGGGAGTTTAGCCACAAGCAAGTGCTAAGGTGAGCTCTTTGTGCAGGAATGTAAGGGAGGGTCATATGACTCAATGGACTACTTTTAATTTCTCACTACATTTACATTTTCTGATTCTGTTCTGCCCTGATTGCTGGTGTTAACTATTGTGGAGGGCATCACACCACTGTGCAAATTCAAAGCACTACAGAAGAACCTCAGGAGAATACAGCTACAATGCAACCTGGGATCTATAAATCACAGGTATCATTGCAAAATGTAAAGATTTACATTGAGATTATCTAAGGAATTTCTAATGACAAGAGTGACTGATTTTGCTGATTTTCAGGAGAATTTCTGTGATTGCCATCAAGGACTATAAGGATATTAAATGCATTTTTATTAATGGAAATAAAATATCTTTTCACTGTATTTATTGCCATATATACAAGTTTCAGGTTGGTTTGCTTGTTTAGTTGTTGGCAGAAGAGCTGCAGTGGATAAATTTATTTATCATCCCCTCATCACTCTTGCTGATGTGAGATTACACATTCTTCTCTCTACACTTTACATATGGGATCACTTCAGTTAACTCTCAGTGCCTTGGGACTTGGTTCCATAGCATGCACAGAGACCCAGCAGAGCCATCCATCAGAGAAAGGATTCATTTTATACTATGATTTGTCTATTCTAGATAACCCTAAAGCATTGATAGCAACAAGGGATCATTGTTCCCACAGCAGAGCTGGAAGTTCTGCCTTGAGCTACTGTGCATCCAGCAGCAGCTTGTGCACGGTCTGAGAAATGTAAGCACACTTCACTGAAAAGTAAAAGGCTCTGAGCTTTGAGTGCTCACATTATTGGCATGGTCGATCATTTCTGAAACTTCCATGTACTGGACTTTAAACTTTGACAGCAATCAAAGACAACTGTGGGAGAAACCTTGAGCTGATAAGTCTCTTTGATGGACAGTATCTTTAGCAGAGGCTGTTTAAGTTTCCTAATACAGTCCTAAAGGTTCTTTCTCTGAGGACTGCACTGTTATGCACTGGGGAGGCTGCACATGACCTGGAGAACTGTGCCAGTGGGAATTTTAACACCAACCACGCAGGCCAGAAGCAGCTGAATTGCACTCCACAGCTCCTCGCTGCTGGTGGTTGAACGCCAGGCCAGTATCTTGTCTTCCAGAAGAATTATAGGAAAATAGTAAGGAAGATGTTGTGGGCAAATAGCATGGAAAATCCTTACTCTTGCTCTAAGTGATTTGCAAGGTGTAGAAAGGACTTAATGCAAGAGTTTGCTAAGTAAGCACACTTTAAGAACTAAAACTAAATATAATTGGTTGTATTATAGAGCAAGGCTTGGGCAAAAGCCGAGACCGGGCACATAAGCACATGCAAAAGCGGTAACAATAGCTGAAAGAAATCAATGGAAGTCTGCCCTAGTTACCTGTTGAAGTGTGCTTCTCACTGAACTGTGATTTTTATGAATCTCAGAAGTTGAATGGTTCTAATTTTTGAGGAAGTTTTCTTAAAGATCAATGTTCAACAGTGCAATAGGTCAGGGTGACAAAAAATCCAATGATGCACAAGGGAGTCATGCTGGCATATGGTACAAGACCAGGGGAAAACCCACACTCATGCTCTCTATCAATATATTCTCTTTTAGCACTGAATTTAAAAAAAATAAGAAATGCTCATGCAGAGGTAGAAAATACATTTTTTTCTAACTGGCAGCTCTAGAGATCTGTTCTAAGACTGGAGAATGGAGCAGTTACTTAAGCCAAAGCATTAGAAACAATAATGATGCAGAGTGGATTCTGCAATACTTTATGTCTTTCACATTTGGTATGTTTGGTATCTAAGCATCTGGCTTCATTTATACACATGTAACTTCTGCTTTCTTCAAGTAAGTTCCCTACAGAACAGAATTTGATCGGAGATTCAGAATGCAAATAACCATTTTATGGCTGATACAAGAAGGAGAAAAATTCTGGGCAATCCAGATACAAACACCCTGCATGAATGTGCAGCAGAGAAAGGCCAGAGTGATTACTAACACGTTAGGTCAGGACTGACATACAATGGAGGGGCTGTGGAGAAATCCTGCAACATCACCTCCCATTTTGCATTCCCTAATCAATATAATTCATCCATCACTTACTTTCTTAAGATTTCAATCTTTCTAGAAAATGAGAGAGTGGAAAAAAAGATCTGACTGCAGAAGGAGGCTGCATATGGCCAATATAGCAGCTGATGGAAAAATCAATCTCCAACAGCCCGGCAGGTTAGAAGAACTGTGCCTCATAAAAGTCTCTCTTGCTCACCAGGTTTCTCAAATCATGATGTTGCTATGGTTTGGGGCAGGTTTATGGGGTGAGAAGGAGGAGGTGTACACGCTGTAGCCTGTTATTAAAATTCCCCTAAGTGCAACACAGGCTCCAAGGCATGCAACAGAAAGTATTTCAACTTGTGGCTGCAAGCATTACCTCTTTTTTCTGTTGTGATCACTGTGGCTTCCAGAGGCTCCCCCCAGCCCTGCCTGGTCTTGGCAGATGTCCGAAAGATGTATGCTGACTCAGGGGTGAGATCTGTAGCAGTAAACTGCCTGACTGTAGAGCCAACCTCCACCGTTGTGAACTTGTTTGGGCTGCTGCTGGCCAGACGGTAGGCGATCTGATACCCTGAAATCACAGCAGCAACAGGAGAGAGAAAAAGGGTTAGGATTTTTTTCCCAGCAGGGACAAAAGAGCACCAAAACTATTAGTTTATCATAATTACTTGTTTATCTGATAACCAAGTAATCTACTTCCTTTAGTGCTATAAAAGTGTTCTATGGCAGCTCTCCCCCCGTCTGGCAACATATATTAAGAGGTGAATCACACAGTGGCACATAAAGGTCTACTGAATATTATCTGCTATGGAACTGATTTCACTTTCCACCCTTTATACCAACAAGAGACAAAACCAGCTTAATCTTTTCTGAGCATACTGGTAACATTTTGGAAAGGCAAAGGAACAAACTGAGTTTGTGCAATTAGAGTCACCTGGTTAAGCCATTTCAAGACAACACTCTCAGCTTTCCACCCAAGCACACCTGTGCATGTGCAAGCACGCATGCTTACATGCTGTTCCACCCTCTCACAGGCTCAAACTAAAGGTTCTTCAGCTGCAGAGCAGTTAGATTGCCCAAACCATGCAGCCCCCACAGTGCTCAAGTAAAGGTTTGCTCCTGCTTTTAGCGCTTGTCTTTTTCTCAGCTCTCCCACTCCCCTGTATCTCTACAGCGAATGCCAGAACTGCCAACAAAAGCATCCTTCTTCTGTCATTCCACATTGCTGCCTTTGCCTGCAGCTCAGGGAAGAAGCCTGCATGCTGTATGGTCCTGCTTCAACCAGGCAGCACTAATAATCAATTTTGTTGATGCCTGTAAGTGATAACCCCCATTCCAACCTGCCTGATAATTAGGCCTTCACAGTTTAGTCTGTATTATTAATGATCCAACAGTGCAAAGGAGGGTTTCCAGAGTTCTCACGCACCACTAGCAACAACTGTCCCCCAAAGAGGGGGGGGGGGGGGCATTTAATATTGAACACTGCCAAATGTTCAGACCCATTCTGTAAACCCAGCAATTGAATCAGGCTCTCACTTCTGGAGCTCCATGGTAACTTTCAGTCCAGCTGCTGACTTCCAAAATCAATTAATACCAGAACTGATGTGGGGTTTTTATTGCCCAAGCTGAATACAGTTGCATGATTAAACGCTTCATGGAGTTACACAGGGCATAGGGCAGCCAACAAATCCAAGTCAAACCAGCTGAAAACAAAACAGTCACGACATGATTCTGCCAACCCTCTGCTCATCTTCTGAATGAGAAAGGGATCTGCAGCACCTGAGACCATCTCTTTCTCTTGGAATTAATGTCCCAGCTAGAGTTTGAACTCCCACCACATTTTGGCTGTAACAACAACAAGGAGTGCCAAATCTGGTGTGCTTCATTTGTGAAGGTCAGTGCATGAAAAATGTGATTTTTATCTTACCTGTGGCTATTACATGAAATCAATGACATTTATTTCCCCACTGTGAATATGCAACAATTGCCACAGGCCTACTCACAAAGAACAGAGTTCCAATGCTCTCCTGAATGAATGCCATACTTGCATGGGGTGCACGCTGTCACAAACAGTAGAATTTAATTGGGATACAGATGGTATTAATTTTGGTGTGCTGACTCTCACAGTGCCATTGACAATGCACCAGTGTTTCCCTGTCCTCTTTTCTTTGGGAGCTGCTAGGGGATGTGGAGCAACAGCCGTAGCTGCCTCACATGGAACAAATTTTATGGCACCAACACCTCAAAGAGTGACTTTGCTTTTCCAAGCACCTGTGGCTTCAGCCTGAGCTCTCACGGGCTGCACTTACAAATGGGTTTGGGTACAGAGCTGATTCACTGCAGTGCCTTAACAGGCTGTGGGCACCCACGTTTGAAAAGGGCCATCAGTAGTGAAAGGCTCCCAGCATCTGTGCAGGCTCACCTTGTGCTGCCTGGGGTACTCACAGACCCCGTAGCAACTGCTCTGTCAGGCATATTCCTACAGCAACATCTCCACAGATGGGTGGATAGCAGTAGACTGCTTAAGGGGCTGGAAAGAATGTCCTGTGAGGAGCAGTTAAGGACTTTGGGCTGGGCTAGTTTGGAGATAAAAGAAGGTGAGAGGTGACCTCATCACTCTCCACAGCTTCCTGAGGAGGCGAAGTGGAGAGGGAAATGCTGATCTCCTCTCCCTGCTATCCTGTGATACAACGTGCAGGAATGGTTCAAAGCTGCATCAGGGGAGGTTTAGATTCAACATTAAGAAGCATTTCTTTACTAAGAGGGTGAACAAACACTGGAACAGGCTTCCCAGGGAGGTGGTCGATGCCCCAGGCCTGTCAGTGCTTAAGAGGCATACGAACAATGGCCTTAACAACACACTGTAACTATCAGTCAGCCCTGAAGTGGTCACACAGTGGGACTGGATGATCACTGTAGGTCCCTTCCAACTGAAACAGTCTATTCTGTTCTACTAGCTAAAAAGTGGCCTAATTTTTCAGTTCCTGAATGTGCTTAGATCCCAGTGAAGTCTCAGGGTCTTATGCTTTGAGCAGTTCTTTTACCCACCTTCAAACTACCTTCTTTTATCCATGACACCAGCTCTCCCATTACTGACCCAATATATCTCACCAAAGTATTTCTGTACCTTTAATACTATAATATTTTGATCATTTTAGACAGATAGCAAAGGGCAGAAGGAACTGATATACCAGGATTATTTTGTTTATACAGATGGGAAGAACGGAGGAGTGGAAATGCTGGTGTAGGATCTTTATAAGGGGGAAAAAAGTCAAAGAAAAGAACTGGGGAGATTTTTACAGCAGCAGGGAAGATGAAGGAAGAAGCAACTAAGATGGCTAAAGAAGTTTGATAAAGGGACATAAGACAGAAAGAATGAGACCTGGAGGGAAACAGAGAATATTAAAAGAATAGAAAAATTGATTTATCTAGTTATTAAAAGATAAGTCTGATATCTGGGACACATCCTTGTCGAGCAATTTCCTCACTTTTCTAAACCTCTTAAAATACAAAGTGTAGTTAAAATGTAAAGAGGGAATAGAAAGATAACTATTTATTGCTAACTGATGGTACTCATGCTGGAAAGCCAATTACAAACATGCTCAGATTAGGCAAAGCAACACATACATATCTAGGCCATTATAATAACTTACACAAGAGTGGATCCTTGGCTAGTGTAAAAACTAATTTAGCCATGAGAAAGAAGAAATCACTTGTCACAGCCTGTCTCTGACATGCTCTGCAAACTCCCTTTCAATGCATCCCTGTGAAAAACACTATCAGCCCTCAATGTCCTCTCCTGTATCTGCCGTGTTGGCTGACAGTTTGGGTAAACATCTCTTTTCCTGGATATCTCAGGCAGAGTTTACACAACCAGAGCCATTACCTTTACAGATGCCTTCAGAAACTCAACACTTCCCTTGCTCTGATTCAAAGGTACATATATATCCAACCTCTGCACCTGAACTCAGCTTGCTCTTATTGCTGCCTAAAGCCCACCTGAGAGATACCGTCTGTCTTTATTCTGATCCTCTACATCGCCTTCTCCTATTAGACAATTTGGGACAGCCAGGATACACACTAGCATAAAAGGCATCACTTTTCTATGAGTGGTACAGAAGACACAGTATTTAAACTACAGCTTGGATGATAATTAGGGCTAATGTAAGATCAAAAAGATAAAATTATTACGTTGATGAATTTCAGCAACAAGGGAAGGGAGAAGACAGGAAATGTTAAGTGAAATCAAAAGGTAAATCAATAGAGGTAAATGGAAAGTGTTCAAAGAGAAATTAATGTATGCTCGAGGGCTATGAGAGGCAATAACTGCAATTGCTGCAACAGAGGAATAAGGAAGCTTTTTTCCCTTACTAGATTATGACAATAAGATGTCAAAGTATTTTAGATTTAAAAAAAATAATAAAGCCAAAGGTTATGAATGAAAGTAAAATCTTTGAAAGATGACCAGTTCTTTTTGGGGAAAAGAGTATCCTACAGAACATGAAGTATCTGGATGGTCTATAAGAAGAATTCATATTGTTTTGCTCATTTTCCCTTCTCCCCCCTCAGCATTAGATCCCAAATCTCTTCAGCTATTGGGAGTTCTGCCATTCACCAGGTAAAAACAGCATTAAAAACCAAAAAAGCCCTGAACTCTTCAGGAGTTTATTTATTCATTGAATCTTGGCTTATTTATTTTGCATTAGCATCTTCTTAAGTATTTTTTGCACAACTGCAAGCACTTTCATGAGCTATGCTTTCTGAACTCAATAAATGGCAACAGTCTGAAATGCCTGTTAAATGTTAGGTCATTGTAACACAACCAGTAGATTCCCCAAAGCAAACAGGCAGGAAGACGCCAACACACCATGAATATAAAAAAGCTTTCAAGCTCATCACCATACAAAGCCCTTCAGAACTGACAGCACCCATTCATGCAGGCCATGGTGTAAGCAGAGATACAAACACTTATTAGTTTGTCACAGAACTTAGGGAAAGCCAAATAATACTGGGAGGTGATGCTCTGCCCAGTGGAGCAGCAATCCAGTGTGTTGATTTTACTGCTTATCTGTTTAAGGACCAGTGGGTGTGCAAATGCAGTCTAGGATCAAAACATGAATTTGCAAATATGGATTACATTCAATTTCATTCTGATTCTCAGTGGAGTTCTTACACTCTTTTGCAATAGGCTTCAGGTAAACACTAAATACAAAGATACCATGAGGAATACTAACCAGGGCCTGGAAGGAATCAAATTGAGCTCTTGTTTTTAGGGGAAGGTCATAGCTAGAAGTGAACATATCACATTAACACATCTTTTTTCTTTAATAGTATTTGAAGGAACTAGGCTGGGTGCTATACAAACTGAGTGCAAAGAAGAGGGAGTGAAGCCTCAGTCTAATATTCCCAACAGGATTAATGACAATACCTAGCAGCCTTCCACAGTGAAATATTTAAACAAACAAACAAGTAGTTTTCCCTCTTGGTGCCTGCCAGCATTTTCATCCTGCTAATCTCTCTCTGAAATGCTGGAACATGTTTTGATATAGATTATAAAAATGTTAGCTGCAAAGGTGCTTGTATGCTCAGAGGACAAAGCTAGAAGAGCAGGAACATTAGTTCAAAGGTTTTGAGTAAAAGTTGCTCTTGCAAAGCAAGTGCTTTTGCTTTCCAACCCCACTGCTGAATAAAAGGGCACTGCACAAAATTATGTTAACTTATTTTTTTCAACAAGTCTACTTCAGTGCATTTGACTGGGGGGTTACAATAGTGTTTTCAAAGTTCATTACAGTAAAGGATTTAAAAGGTGTACAGGAAAGAAAAAATAAACTTGCAACTTTTATTTAGAGTGCCACACATGGTTTTTTGTCTGTTTTTGAAGCACAGCTTCTTAGGAAAGATCACAGATGTAGCCAGCATGAACAATTTTGACTTTTCTCTCTGCCATTGGCAGCTACTTCTTCCATGAACCTCAACATTCTACTATCAAAAAAAGTAAGAGTGAGAGCTATTGAATAAAGACAATCGACTTCAAAGAGGTGGAGTGGAGGAACTGGTAGGTAATGTCCCCCTGGGAAAGATTTCTAAGGGAAAAAGGAATTCGGTTTAGTTGACAATTGTAAGAGACAAAAAGAAAAAAGGTACAATATGTTTGCATTGAGAGCTCACTAATGACCTGAAAATCAAACCTGAATTGGATAAAAGGTTGAAATAGGACACATGTCTAAGGGAGTGTATAAATATACAGCACAAGCATGGAGGGACAGAATCAGAATGGCTGAAGTGCAAAGTGACTTGTAACTTCAATAGCATCAAAGGCAATGAGAAAGGTTTTATAAATACATCAGAAATCTGAGAGACAGGAGGAGGACAGGTCAACTACTGGGAAGAAAAGACACGAGCGCCAGAAACGAATGGAAGGTTGATACCTCCATTGCTTCATTTTCACACACACAAAAAGTTGATGCTGATTAGATACTTAACACAAATTAAACCTGACAACAATATAAGTAGGGATGTAGGCTGGAATAAAGAACAGGTTAAGGAGCATTTAGCTAAGTTAGATGTAATCAAGTCAGAAAGGTCTGATGAAATTTGCCCCATGGTGCTTTTATATCTAGCTGGAGCCATCTTCAAATAATTACTGATTATCTTCAAGAACTTGTGGATGACAGGTGACATCCCAGAATAATAGACAAGAAAGAGTACCCTATCTTTTAAAACAAGGAAATACCAACCGGTGGAATTATGGACAAATCAACCTAAAGTTCAATACCTAGAAGGATCCTGGGAAAAAAAAGTCAACATAGAAGCATCCATGAAGATAATATAGTACCAAGACATAGCCAAAATGTATTTGTCTGGAGCACATAATAAATATCAAATAATCTGTTTTCCGTTTTGCCAGTGTAGCTGACCAGGTGGGAAGAGTAGATATGACCCACACTGACTTTAAGTCAGGATTTAATACAGTTGCACACAGCCCCATCAAAAGCAAACAAGAGAAACAGGATTTAGGAAAAACACTACATATTTTTACTTGAACATTTGAAAAAATAGGTCAAAATATTACCAATAGTTTTTTTCCAACAAATTGGGAAGATGTTAAGTGAGCTCTCATGAGACCTTATGGATTGAGTTTGGTCCTGCTCAATATCATTAATGACCTGGCTGATGGAATTACAGTCTACTTGCAAGCTCCAAAAATAAAACCAAACTGTGAGTGGCTTGTGTACATATTCAAGGCCAAGAGTGTCATTTAAAGTGATCTTGGTAATGAGGAGAGATGGTCTGGAATCAGTAGGATGAAATTCAATAAGGGCACCTGCAAATTATCATGCTTACAAAGAAAAAGCTTAATGTACCTATAAAACAGGGACTGACTGACCTGGAAGCGTATTGCAGAAAAAGGGTAAGAATTAATAGTGGGTCATAAACCATAGTTACACCATCAGTGTTGTAAAAAAAAGTCAAGTCAGGACAGTATCAAGTATCTGGGATACATTACTGGGAATGAACTGTGCAAGACATCAGAAACATCAGTCTACATGCTAAGCATGCCAAGCATTCTTTAAGGGACATCTTTCCCCTTCCCTCCCAACCCTGCATTCATATGATCTTATCACCAATGTAGTGGCAATGAGCATGAACAAACAGAATGGGATGAACTGCACAAAGTACTCTGCAAAGACAAAATAAAACAGAGTTCCTACTCCACCAAGCTTGCAACTTCAGCAAATAAGGCTGACAAAGTGCAGCAACATGAGACATTGAAACACAGTGGGGAGAGCAAAATCGCTTTTGTACTTTCTCATCATTTCTATCAAATGATTTTTTTTTTCCTCCTTAACCACATCCCGTGATTCAAATCCCCATCTCTACTGAGAACAAGTTCTAGGACACACACTTTCTTAAAGCAACAAATCAAACCCACAAGACAACCTCGAAGTCAAGCTTCCTCAAGCTGCAGAGAAACCCTGCATGGATCCATCTCTGACTGCTGAACTCTGCCAAGCTTCCCATGGACTCTTTTCTCATGCCTAGAAAACCCCTGCAGCATCTGCCTTCCAATCCCATTTGATGATTTCCCTGCATATGCAAGCATCAGGATCACTTTGGGAAACTATATACCGGAGCAAACACTTTGAGTTCTTGACTCTTATATGCAATATAAGACTGGTTCATTATTTTTAGGGATGCCACCAAGGCAGTAGCATTTGAAGCAAGCACCCTCCACCAACAATGAAGGCTTTAGGGAATACTGCTAAAACACGCAAGCCTGAACAATGGAGGTGAAATTAGAAGCAGAAATGCCTGGCAGAGTGAGAACTAAACAAAATCCAAAAGCTTTTGCTTCTGTTTTCAGAATTGAGAGACAACTACTCACCAACTAGAACTACTGTTAGATATGTTTACCATCAGCAGAGGACAGAATATTTCCTGGTAACTACTAGCTACTTTAATTTTAGAGGCAAGAATGAATTCTTACATTGTAAAAGCCTTCACGTGTCAAGTACAAATAGCAGCTGGTGTGCATATTGCAAAGGCAACCCAGGAGTTAGGAGAGCAGGAAGGTAAGAAGGTTTTTCCCAAATTCCTGTCATGCCTTGCTGCCTCTATATCCCTTAATGAAAAGCCAAGTATGAGTTAACTCCTTGCAACCTGTCAGGGAGTATTATCCAAAGGAAGCAATAAAACGGAAGCATACTTGAAACAAGCATTGGGCATGCCTGGGAAAGGGAGAGGAGGAGGGGGAAATCCAGCTCTCCCCTACTGCAGCTCTGCAGGCAGTTTGCCCAACAGCAGCCAAATAGGTTACAAATCCCAGTGTGGATGGGAAAAGAGATGACAATTCAGTGACATGTGATTCTGGCTGTGGAAAACAAACACTGTGGAGCTTGGCAGACTTCTCCTCCTCACCACAGGATACCATGTCTCTCAGCTGACACCAACATGTTTTCTTTTCTTTAGCCACAGATTTGCTTATGTGTGGTTTCTAATCAGACATGCCAGAGGAAGGAAAACCCAACAGCCAGAGCTCGCTCTGGTCTCCAGCCCTCTCCTCCCAGCCCTGGGTTTGCAGCTCCCCCTTACCCAGAATAATTCCATTGGGCTCCTCTGGCGGCTGCCAAACGATCCGTACGGATGTTAGCCTCACCTCAGGGAACACCAGCCTCACAGGTGGCCCAGGAGCTGGAAAGAAAGACAGAGATCATGCTAGCAAGGAATGCATGTCAGAATTATAAGTCTGCTGCTCACCTTCCACAGCAGCAAGATACTATTGGTATCTTACCAACAGTAAGTAGATAGTTAGGAGTGCCTATGCACATACATAAAACACATTTTTTCTGAGGAATCCTGTCCATGGTCAAATACCTATAGCACCCACGGACACCAAACATAATGCAGAAACAGTGCACCCTACAGTGTATTCCTACACCTGTGTTTAGCAGGATGCTCTGACAAAGGAGCTTTGTGTTATCTCCCAGCAGTGTAGTGAGGAGTCCCTGTAACTGACTGCATACTACAAAGCAAGTCACGAAGCTGCCTTTACAGAGAGTTATGTGTCAGCTTAATCCACTTCATACCTGTTGGAATTGAGTAATACCTCCTTTCTGTGTCATCAGTACCAGCTCTGAACTGCCTTCTGATTTTACATGTGCATTTTAAGCACTTAGGTCTGAGCAGAAGAACCTGAGGCAGGCAAAGATGCACATTAATACAGACGGCTGGTGGCTGCACTGACCATCCCAGGTTCACAAGGTGAGGAGATGCTAATTCATACATTAGCATCTGCAAAATTTCCCCTGCAGCACAAATTCCACCTGCATTACCCCTGATGATACTTTTAATTAAGTTGAGCCCAGAGGAGACACAACATATTTCTGTCAGGAGTATGGAGATGGGAGTACAATTTGTATCATTTGCCAACATGCACTTAAGGAGGTAACTACTATAATGGGGTTATCCTAAACAAACAGTTTTAAATATTTCTCATTATAGTCTGATATGTACATTTCAGTGTGTGCTTTTTGTCTCCCTGCAGAGCTCTCCTCATGGTAATTTCTCCTTGTTTCCTTTCAAAGAAAAGCCATGTCCCCACACAAGCAGTATGAAGAGAAAAGGGCTAATAAAATGTCAGGGAGCTGCTGGCCCTGCTGCCATCCCCATCCCTACATGCTTTTACTCTTCCCCTGCACTTCACAGAAAATATCTTGTTATGCCAGAAGTCTGAAGGTGTTTTCAGCCCAACCAAATCACCTTAATGAAGTTGCTTGTAGAAACCAATGTTTATTCCATTACTACGCTGAAAAGATTTTGATGAAAAAAGAGACATTTCTTTTAGTTCATCTTCACTGGGAGCAATAAGCAGAAGCCTCTCACACTGACATTAACCTTCACTTAATACTGAAAAGGTAATGAAGCTAAAGGTAACTTTAGCATCTGCAAAGCCAAGAATATTTTAACAGCTGGACTGAATTTCTGTAGGACTACATCAGCAGGAATGCTCCCTCCACACTGGTGTGTTCACACAGCACTGCGGTAAGGGGCTCACTTCAGACTTGGGAGTGCTGGAGGCACTTGCAAAAGAAAGCCGGTATGATCATCTTCCAAGGTAAGTGCCTTGTTCTTTTTGGAAATCAAATGGGAATGGATTACTGAAGTTGCAAATTCCATCTCTCCTTCAATCCAATCAGACCCAGATTTGTTTATTGCTTTCAATTGCAGCACTCTACTTCTTTGGTTTTTTGAGCATGATTGAACTTCAATGGGAATTTATAACTGGGCTTTAAAAATTGTCTTCAGTATAAATTGTCCACACCGAGCACTGGAGAAGTCGTTTAGACATTTTAGAAGTCTTTTTCTTCTCCTGATCTGCAGGGAAAGAGGAATTGAGGGACTCTGGGTCTCCATGGTTTTGCTAAATCCTCAGCCCTTTAGGTTCAAAGTTGAAAAAGGATAATATATGTATCTCCAAACAGCCTTAGTTTAAGCTTACCGTCATCCTTTGTTCTTTCTACAACTGCAGGAGAGCTAGGGACTCCATCTCCGATACGAGTGAAAGCCAGTACCTGGATCTCATAGAGCACATACTTCCGCAAACCAGACAGGAGGAAAGACTGTGTGTGGTTACCTCTTACTACTTGGCTCTTTGGCTCAGAGTCTAAATCTTTTGCTTTGAAAAGTATCTGCAGAATAAATGTATATAAAAAATAGAAAGAAAAAGGTTGTTACATGAGGACTGAAAAGAGGACTACACAGTTTACATTCATAGAATCATAGAATGGCTTGGGTTGGAAAGGGCCTTAAAGCTCTTTCAGTTCCAGCCCCTGTCACGGGCAGGGATGCCTCACACTAGACCATGTCACACAAGGCTCTGTTCAACCTGGCCTTGAAGACCGTCAATGATGGAGCATTTACCCCTTCTTTGGGTGACGTGTGCCAGTGTCTCACCACCCTCACAGTAAAGAACTTCTTCCTTGTATCTAACCTGAATTTCCCCTGTTTAAGTTTGAATCTATTATCCCTTGTCCTGTTGCTATAGTCCCTGACGAAGAGTCCCTCTCCAGCATCCAAACCCTCTTTTGTCACAAAATACGAGATTATAATCACCAATCATCCCTTTCAAGCAGCACACTTCCTACATCTTCTTCAGCTGACTTATGAATAATATAAATAGCCAGCAGGTGAATAATGAATAACAAATGAAAAACATACCTAAGTAATGCATTAAAAATTAAATAAGCATGAAACTCCCATTGCATACCTTGTAACCCAGGATGAGACCGTTCTGCTCGGGCTCGGGGACTGCGGTCCATGTCAGAAGGATCTGGGTTGAACTCACAGCTTCAGCAGAGACATTCTCAGGAGGAGCAGAGGGAACTGGAATCAAAAAGCAGAAATCGGTAAGATATACCAGGCCATTTTGCTCAGGATTGTGCCAGGATCCCATAGAAGAGTATTCAAATACAAAAGGACTGAAATAGGTTCTAGATAATCCCAAGCCTGCCTCACAGTTTCTTGCCAGCTCACCTCAGAAACCACAATGCTTTAAAAAAGCTAAACATTTAATCCTAATCAGTGTTGACAGATAGTACAGATGGACAGATAATAATAAATTTCAAGTTCTCTATATTTGCATTAATGAGAATCAAGTTTAAATAGCTGGACTTCCACAGAAGTCTATCTCTTAGTATTCCTTTCCCATACATTTCATTTCCTTATGCCAAACATTAGAAATCTTTATGAATGGGAGTCTACCTTATGGTACTATCTGTTCTAAGAAGAAGTTTTACACCACCCTAGCTTCCTATATTATCTGAAAGGAAATTACAGCATCTTTTCTAGAGTTAGCAATAATTTCAGTCACTGCACTGCACTCCCCATTCAGTGAGAAGTTCTTTAACCTCAAAGCCTTTTAATTATGTGATAGTGCTCAACCCTTGCAATATATCATTTATAGGCGGATACATTAACACAAGGTGTATTTTCAGGCACTGGTAAGGAGTAAATGAAAGACATGCCTATTTCATTTATGATGCAAAATTGGCTCTTTCGAAATGAGAAACATCATTAGAACTGATGGCACAAGAACACTGTAATTTTCTCTGACTCCAAAGAGCAAACTTGCATTTTCTCATGGCATTAAAACTCTAACTGCTGCAAAACCACCATACAACTGCAGGCTTTTGTAGGCAAGCTTAACAGCATGCCATGTTACACAAGCACAATTTGAGGCTATTTTTAAGAGTTCACATTTTATGCTGCCCTTTTGCATCTTTTTTCCCCTGTGGCATTTCCAACATCCGAAGGGTACAATCTTTTCTAAAGCATGATACACCTGTCAGACCTCAAGGGAACATTCACCAACTTATGTTAAATGAGCACTTTTGGACAGTAAGGCTTGATTAGGTCCTGAATATACCACAAAAAAGAGCATGAATCGCTGCCAAAAGTAATGCTTTCCTGGCTGTCCGAATAAAAGGACAGATCTGCTGTTGTGAAGGCGAGCTCCTGAAGCTCCTAGCAACATGAATGAAAGAAGTGTGATACCAGAATTAATATCAATTGAAAACCAGACTGTACCACTCCCAACCCTTGTGCACTCCAGGTTAACCACAGAGGTGGTAATTTCTGAAACAATTTCCCTGCTACCAATTATGTGGGACATGAGAACCAGGGCACCAGCACATAACTGCAGCAGACTAAAATCCAATCTTTTCCGAACTCCGATGCTGAAATGCCCTTTCTTATTTCAAAAAAATCTTACCCTAGATTTATCCCTCACAAGGATATAATTATGTTAAAGGAAAATAGATCGCCAGGAGCCATGAATGTCTTTGCAGAGGTGCCATAACTTTATCTGTAGATCTCCACAAAAGCTACTCCCACATGAATCATTACTTCTGGTGAAAGGGTGGAGGTGAGTTGCAGGAAACCAGGATGTGTAGAGGAAAGAAGCCCTTTTCCAGCCACATTTATTTTTATTTTACCTGGGTTGAAGCCTCTGAAGAGAGAAAAAGTTTATTTTACCAGTATTTCATTTCGTCTTTGATCAGCAGCCCTGAGATTTCCCCAGTTCACAGAAGGTGGAGGCTGTGCCCTGAGTGCATGCTTGCTTTGAGGTGTGTGTACAGCCACGCTGCTGGCAGGGGCACTCAAAAGCTAACAAAGGAGAGCATGGTCTATCTGAAGATTTATTAGCCCATGTTCCTCTTAATTCCCTGTGCCACCCAGAGCAGCTAACTGTCCCTTCTCTCTGGAAAAGAATCTAAGCCCAGTGCTTAAATGGCAGAAATAACTTGTGTTCATTGAGTGTGCTTTAGTTCTGGAGTTCTTGTATTAGTGTTGAGGATTTTATTCTAATGTGGCTGTATGAATTCAGGACCTGCAAGTGATATCATGGATCTTATTGTTGCTAGGCTTTTATCAAGTGACAGACTTTGATCAACCCTTTAAGAACTAATTGAATCACAACATTCATTTCTCTGACCTCCCTCCTCTCTCAGGATATAGTGATACAAAGAAATTATAGTTTGCTAAGATTAATTATGGCTTAAATGAGGCCTAAAGAGCTCCCTTCTGTAATGCTGGTTTCTTTAACTGTTGCACTAAAGACTTTATTATAAGCTCCAAAGCAGAGCTCTCATTAGTAACCTGCAAGAACAGTTCAGAAACCAAGCAACAGTGTCCAAAAAAAAAAAAAAATCTTAAAGCTTGAACAAAATGAACCATAAATACTGAAACTAAATGATGAGCTAATCCAGCAAACTGCCAGCTGCACAAGGTACTTCAGAAGATCAAACATAAGAAATTATAGAGCTACTGGTGCTTTGTACTGGAATGTCAATAAGAAGTTTTTAAGGTTATTCCTGTTTGCATCTCAGATCATGCATCCTCTTTCTACATCTGACATTTGATATATAGCAAATGTTGCTGTTTCATGTCTCTAACAGGGCCAAAAGCAGCTTTTAATAAGCCAGGCTGCATTCTGGCTTTCTAAGAAAGCTAGTGGGGTGCAATGGTTCTCTCTTTTGCAGCTCATTTTAGCTCAACATCCATCACTGTTTTTTGACAGTAAAAATTAAAGTGGCATATTGTACATCTGATGTCAATTAAGAAGTGCAAATTTAGAGCAAGGTTCATGGCAAAAGCAGCAGAGCTGCAGTACACAACCATTTTGCCTATAAAATTAGCTACCGCAGGCCAAATTCGCTGCTTGTATAAACTGACAAATCCCCACAGTGACATTGGAGCACATTTGAATTATCAAGCGATGCTTTATCACACCAAAGTAACTGCTCCATGAAGGTCAGCCTCTGAAAAATCCAGAGATTGATCCTTGCCATGGATATGTGACCATGCTTGTATAATAGGTGCTTTTTGTAAGGCAAGTGTATACACATATATATAGCTGAATACTAGGAGCCCAAAAAATATTACAGCACTGGTTAGGTGTATTTGAGATGAACTGTTTGAAAATAAGAGGGTTTGTACCTAAAAGGAAGCAGCCCTGTCAAGGTTATTCTAATACATTAGAGGGCTTAGTGGTTTTTTGCTTTCTCTATACTGTACCTACTAACAATGTCAGTTATTGAGCAGAAACTGAGCTTGTTCCTCTGCAGTTATTTTATACTGTAAAATTTAATGAGCTATTTAATTTCTAGCATTATAAAACATTCTGGATTGATAAAACTTGTCTTGTTTAAGAATCCTAATTCATCCCCCTCCACATTCAGCTGCTTGCAACTCTTATCCTAGATTTTCATTTTAGGGCTTCCCAACTGTTTTTCAAGCCTGGATTACCAAAACCTCCTGCATGGTTTATTCGCCCATGGCTTCTTTAGTTGCAATATATTTTATATGCAAGAGCTTCACAAACCAGAGAGTACCTGTAAGGGCATGCTGCCCCTTTACTGTTAGCATGGGTGCTCAGCTATTAGTGATAGGACAACATATCCCAGAACAAACAGAAGTGCTCAAGTACGGCTTTATTTTCAATAAAGGGGTTGGGCTCCAGTGGCTGCACTGTCATTAAATGCAATGAGTTGATTTAGTGCCTGGGCTCTAACTTCTTAGGCTCTTTGGACAGCGTAAAATACAGAAACATGAGTTCTGTCAGCGAATAATCCTGGCCAAGGCACCTCTGGCCAGCTGTGAGGGATGTTTACAATCTGCACCAGGGAAACCCATTTCCCTAAGACTCTATGTATAAAATGGAGAAAGAAATACTTAAGCTATCTGCTTTTAAAGCACTTTGGAAATACACGATATACAGAATTGTTCTTATAGTTCAAAAGACAGACCTAAAAGTGCTTTGACCTTTCTCTCCGACTTTAGATATTTTTTATTTGCATTTTAACCCCATTTGACTCCATACATATTAACTGCAGATTCCCTGAACTTCTCCCATGCAGCTTGCTGCTATGCCAGTGCTTCTTCTATATTCTAAATCTAAGAAGATACAGCCAAGCCTGAGCCCTGACTTGCTCTATTCAAGAAATCAGATGTTAGTATCAAACACATGGAAAAAAATAAATGAGTCTTTATGGCCTAGATCACAGCTTTGTGTTATTTTGATCCCGGTTTCTGTGTGCCTCCTCCTATCAGTTTCAAGTCAACCTTCTTTTAATACTGCTAGAGGAAATGCCAAATATACACGTAACCTCTGATCTTCAGATGCTGAGCAAGAGCACTATAAACCTAAGGTTTTATGAAATGACTTAATCTTAGTGTTTACTACATTTCAAAAGAATTGTTTGAAGAACAGTGGAAAGGAGAAAGTGGAGAATGCAGTATCTTTTTATTATAATACTGAACACTTCAAAACTATTCTGTCTGGGTCACGTTATCTCTAACTCCAGCACAAGCATGCCTTGTTTAGAAATACCTCTGGCAATAGCTTTTCAATTACTACTTCTCAAAAAGCAACTAATGGAGGGGGGTGATTTTGTTTAGACTTCTTCTCAGCTGGTTCAAAGGGCAGTTATCTGCACCAGCAGACCAAATCCTGCTGTGTACAGCGGGTTCACAACTTCCCACCAAGTAAGGCTGTGTGGTACAGAGTGCACAGACATGCATATACATGTGTCTATGACTGTAGGGTATGCACAGGATTAAATTCCAACACACATTTCAGGAAGAAAAATGGGAAAATTAATAAGAGCAAGGTATCAGTGTTGAATGTGGCATAACTAAAGCTCACTACAAGTTTTTATGATTAAACTTTTAAACCATATATGTAATCCACTTTGTTATTCCCTTGCAAATATAAATTTTAATTTATCAGGTGCATGTAGGGTAGGTTTGGAAATAGGTTTTGTGGAAATTAACAGCTGGAGAGCAGCTTCTCAAGATCTGTCTTTACTGTTGCTATTAAGCTAACAATAATTTGCTGTTCTCTGAGACTGAGAGTTTGCTTCTGATATTTGAAGTCTCTATGCTAGCATGGATAATTCAGCAAGACAAGATAGTACTTGTGCTCTAGGTCTATATACAGGTTATGTCTATATAGCCCTGTACACACAATTTGAGAAGGCAGTTTCGAAAATGTGCTATCAAAAGCTCAGATAATTATTTTATTTCAGCTAGATAATGATTTTATTTCACCTCTCTAAAAGAACTTGTGCCATTTTAGAGCTACTGGGTGCTTGAAATTAAATTTCAGATAATCACAACTGCAAGAAAATCCTCCTGAGCCTGGAAGCAGACAGGGAAAGGTGGAGAATGAGGGACAATAGTGTAGTGGGGAGGGAGAGGAAGTGTGAGAGACCTGCTCAGCCAGACAAGGTTCTCTTTCTGTTGCCTGTACTGCTGCCAAATGAGGGCAGGAATGGGGAGAGGTTGTTTTGTTTGCTTTAAATACATAACCTGCAGGGTTATGCAATAAAGCATGGTAGGAATAAAAGAAATAAATAACAGCCTCAAATGTCTATATGTCTTTTTGCCTTCAGGGTAACTAGAGATTGATTTTTTTCCTTTCATTTTAGATTTAATGGATCAACAAGCCAAAAACCCCACCCAAAACCAACCAACCAACCAAGAACAAAAGGACAGAAAACACTGAAGTTCAGATGTGCCCTTCCTAGCAGCTACAGTGCTTTGACTTACCAGACTCCCGTGTACGACCTCTCACTACTTCGCTCCATGGTCCTGCCCCAATGGCATTGAAAGCCTGGATCTGCAGTTCATATTCTGTCCACTCCTCCAGATCTTCAATTGTGCACTCTCTTTCCAAGCGGTCATTAATAACCTTCATCAGGGCGGGAGACTGCACATCCACACGCCAGAACTTTATCCTGTACCCCACTGACTCTGGATTGCCATTATATTGTGTGTCAGGGAGGGGCTGGCAAACGACAAAGAAAAGGACAATATTCCTATACAGACCACACTGCCAGGGCTTCCCAAACTATATACCAAGGCTGTCTGAAGTTGTATAAGGCTATAGGAAAGTCAAAAAGATCAAGAGGTCGATTTTGTATTTTCTTTATGTTTCATGATCTCTAAATTTCTGTTGCTTGAAATTCTCTTGTTGATTTTTTCCTTATTTTTACCAAAAACATATGCCACTTGCAGTGGGTGTAGCAACAGAGATGATATGAATACAATGTATTTCAGAGCTTTGTGATTAATTATGGAAATGAATGATAAATTGCTGAAGCATGTGACAAATTCATTTATCGTAGAGTTTTTACTGATTCTCTGCCTACTCATTTATCAGCAGAGATTTCTTCTGGTATTCTAAACTCCCCAAGCAATTTCAGAGATTAAAATGTGAAATAATTAGCCTACTTCATGAAGTTTAGAGTTTTTCCCCTGTTAAACTATGTGATGCCATGGATGGCTGAGATTCAGTTCTGTGTCACTGGAAAGGTTTGATACACATTAACATTTCACAGCTTAGAAGACTATCCCGCAGGTAAGCAGGGCTAGAAATGTGACCCTTATTCTTCAGGAAGGAAGGAATTCCCAGCTCCCAGGGGTACACAGATTCACTGGAGGGTTTTGAAAAAAAAGAAGACATTAAGCACTTTCAAATACTGGTATTATTAAGCAAGAAAAAGGTGTATGAGGTCACTTTTAGCTGTGGCTGCTGCTCCTCCTGAACCCTGCACAGTTTGACTCCGAAAACCAGGCTTCTAGGTAGCACAGAAAGGAAGCATAATCTTAAAAATGTTTTGAAGTGCCTTAAAACAACCTTAAGTGAATTTTGATGGGAGATATGTAGGTCTGGATCATACCAAAGTTTTAATGATGTGGGCACGTTGTTCACACAGTAAAACCACGAGTGAGTGATGTGGGTCTTATCAAATGAACTGCAACAGCTTTTCTATGGATAGCGAGGTGACACCTTCAAGTTTTCAAGGTTCAGATTTAAGTAGTGTCCCTCTGAAAAACTGCAATTACTCCTTTCTGACAGGACAAAAACCCTCCTGTTTTTAAGCCTGATTTTCTTGACTTCCAGCCATGATGAGTTTATGCATGGAAAAGCTAACATTTGGGCAAAAGAACCTGTGCTTCATCAACTTCACACTACAGTAACCCCAGTGGAAAATTCTGCCTAACAGGGGAGAAGAAAAACCATTCTGGAGCAGGTTAATTGCCAAGTAAATCCCAATGCAGCAACTCTGCAGGCAACTGAGACAGTCAAAGGGGCATAACAATATCAGCAATCACTGCAACTTCCCAATTAATCATTTCTTTCTACATTTTATCACATAACTACACACCTTTTCACATAAATATAATGTTCGTACAGGAGTGTAATGTGCTGCCTTGGAACTCTTAGCTCAGTATTTGCAGGATGATTGCCAATGGCTGGTGTGTGCCTTCTGTTTTGTGCAAACAACTGAGCCCTAGAAAACTGCAAATTGGCTCAAGTGTTATATCCCTGTCCCACACGTTGACCCAGACTGTGCTACTAGACTCTTAAAAGCCAAGGTTTTACACACAGGCATATATTTATAGACTCAGAATGGTTTGAGTTGGAAGAGACCTTAAAGACCATCCAGTTCCAACCCCCTGCCATGGGCAGGGACACCTTCCACTAGAGCAGGTTGCTCCAAGCCCCGTCCAAACACGAACACTGCCAAGGATGGGACAGTCACAGCTTCTCTAGGCACCCTGTGCCAGTGCCTCACCACCCTCATAGTGAAGAGCTTCCAAATGTCTAACCTAAATCTCCCCTCTTTCAGTTTGAAATCATTTCCCCTTGTCCTGTCACTACATGCCCTTGTAAAAAGAATCCCTCTCCAGCTTTCTTGTTGGCCCCTTTAGGTACTGGAAGAGTATATCCTCTGATGAAGTGGCAGAATAGTGGCAGTATGCAGTTCCTGTGATTAATAAAGCACTTAAGGTAAGTCTCAGATTTCCGACTATTCTGAAAAGGAAATAATTTTGCTATTACTCCTTCTGCCGAACACAAGGAAAAGTCATTCTGTAGCACTGGTCTGACCCCTGGGGAAGTGGCCACATCCCAAGCACCAGTCCCTGGCTCTCCTCTGTCCCCGTTTCCCTGCCCAGCTCACCACCCATCGCAGCCGGAGGCTGGTCTCGCTGGCTGTGCGTGCGGTGACACTCCCAGGGGCCACGTCTGGTGGGGCCTGCAGTGTCTGGATGACGCGGGAGGGTTGGCTCAATGGGCTGGGGCCCACCACGTTCACCTGCCTCATCCGGAACCTGGAGCAGAGGAAAGAGATGCAGTGCACACTGTAACAGCTCAGTGACTGGTACCTCTCTATCCAGAATGAGAAAAAAAGATGGAAAAGTACAAATTAGGTCTTTCTAAATATTCCACAAAGGTCGCTGTGCGCTGGTCCCCTTTGTATTCACAGCTGAATGCTTTATGGTAACTGCTTTCAGATCCTCTCAGGTATTAAAAAAAATGAAAATGAGATTAGCTGAAGGTCTATTAGAAACGTCAGTATTTGTGTGAGAAATTTATGTTAATTATACCAAGCCTGATGAGCTTATGCTAGCGGTAAGTGATTTTCTCTTGCAATGCTTGTACAATACATTCAGAAAGGTATTAAAATATCAAACTTCAGATATTCTCATTCCCTGTCAATATAAAAAATATACTAGTGATAACATTTCCCCTCAATTAGTGCTTGGAAGAAGCTGATTTATTCCTGTGCTGCATTTTCATCCTTCCTGCACAGGAAAGATTAGGTTAGTTAATATGGGTATATGCCCTTAAAAAAATACCCTGTCTGCTTGAAACGATCTTTTCTGCAACAGAAATTCCTACTGGGTCACAAAAGATTTAGGGAAATCTTTTAGTTATGAAGCACAAAATAATTAAGACGTGCTGTACATTTCAGATACTCCCACCCATCATAAGCAATGACAGGTATCCAGCACTTGCACATACATATTTAACCTGTTCATACTAAGCACAGCAGTTTGGGACCTAATGACTGAGCTTGGGAAAAGGGTGAATTAGTCAACATTACAGTGTTTATTTATCTGCTCTGATCTCCCTAGAAAATGCATTAAAGGAAACACATTAAAAAATACTGTCTTTTGTAGATCACTCTCAAACACTGGCACCATATATAGAAAATAAACTGGTCGATAAAGACGTGGTCTGAGAATTAGTGCTCATGATGTATTTCCTCAGTAGGCAATGACTGAAGTTGACCAGAAGACAGCAAATCAATTTGGCAACAACTTCCTAGGTTTCAAAATATTATATAAAATTGCTCTACACTGAAAGAAAACAAAAAAAAGCTCGTAGCTGTGCATGCATGAGGGAAAAAAAAAACCACAGGCAAATTCAAGGAGCTGATTAATGATGAAAAGAATCAGAGAACTGGAAGTGTGAAAGCTCCCAGCATAACTGGGATCACTCCAGAATTCAATGGATACAAGACAGAAATGACATGTAGCAGTAAAATAAACCAAGAAGTTTAACAACACAAAAACCCAACCACCCTGAATGCCTCATATACTTCCTCATTATCTTTTATCCCCAAAACATTTCTCCATCATCTGCTAGATGTGCAAGTCTGGCTTATTTTGCATGGACACTAACTGCTGAATTCTGGTACAGCTGCACTTTATTATTCGCCTCTGCCTTTTGAGCTTTAAGGAACCACCTTTATGAGAAAAAAATCTCAACCTGAAGATCATTTTTCTAAACCTCTGCACCAGAAATCTCTGCTCACATTCAAAAACTTTCAAAGAGCTTTTAGTAAAATGTTTAGCTCTTGAGGATGAGGTTTAAAACCACTTCAGTGGAGAGTCTGTGAGAAATTTAATGTTCTATGCTGCTGACAAAGGGAAGAAATTAGCGTACCAGTGCTGAATTAGTTGTAAATCATATGAGCTTTACTTGGTTGCACCTAGTACTAGCGCACAACATCACATCGGCAAGCTAAAAGGTGCTACAACCAGCACAAAATGGACAAGTTTCTAGTAAGCTGATGTAACACTTGCCTCCTTGCAACCCCAGCCTTCACATTATTTCATGATATTTCATGAAACTATTTCCTGAACGTATTTTCCACTGGGATTAAGTCACTCAAATGCTCAAATCTTGTCTATATTAAAGCAACATATCACTTGAATTGAATTGATATAGAAATCAATCTCGTTTAACTGAGGTGCACCCATAATGTAAATTCACTTGAGTCAGATTAAGCACTTCATATATCTATTTAGCTTCACTTGGTAAATTCTTATAAACAAAGGTTTCATCTAACTGATGTTATCAAATCCAGCTAAATCAATAAAATGATGTTTAAACCGACGTAAATATGTAATCATAAGTTTGTATCAGTTTAACCACAATTGATTTGTCACTGTCTGATGTTACACTGGTGTGTAACCCCTTAGATAAGGGAAGCCACAAAATATCAGTTATCCATAAAAGCATTTCACTGTGCACTTGGATTTCCTTTTAAAGTTATGAAATGTATTGTATGTAAATTGTAATTAACAATATTAGGCAAGTAATTTTAAGTATAAATTATGAAAACAGCAAAGCTTTTCCCTTTTGTTTAAAATATAAACCGCAACCAGATGTTTCTGATTAGGAAAGCTGTTCCATGCTGCTATTTACTAATTTTTTTCATGCTGCAGCTAATTACCTGCTGTTCTTACCTGTAATGAGTGTAAGGAGTAAGGTTTGGTACCTCTAGCATCTGAGCATCAGGTTCATTCTCAACCTCATGAAGGCTCACCCACTCTTCTTCATCACCCAGTACACCAACCTGTACATGGAAAGGTCAGAAAGAACACAAAACAGAATAAACACAGATAAAAGATTACATATATAACCTCTTTTAGAAGGTGTGTCATCAAAGCAGTGGAAGGACTAGGCATATTATCTAGTTAATAGTAATTTTTATATGACAAGGCACTAGCTATTTACAGCCAAGTTTCCTTGTACCTGTTGGGACTTCACTGGGATCCTCTGACAAGATCTATTCCAAAAACACACCATGAGAGCACTAATACCCTGTTCAATCTCACTGGCACAATAGAGAAGTATTGAGTAGTGATATAAGGAAATGAAAAATAGCCTTGCTAATAACTCATAGGAGCTGATGCATACTAACCAATTCTCAATGGAGGCAGAATGCCACAGAAATGAAAATAGAGAAAGAAGAACAAAGTCAAAGAACAAAAGTGTTTTATCCTTATCTGCTGGTCTGCACTTAGACAAGATTTTTCCATGTGCAGTCCTTTGTATTAATTAATCATAACATGTTGCCCAACACAGTCCCTCAGCTATGGCAGAGTTAAAAGAGACAAAATGGTGATGAGAATTGAGAGTATTACTTTCCATACAGCTTTCTAGAGATAAAATGAAGCTGAATCGGGACTTAAAAGGAAGTCAATAAGACATGATATGAAGATCAGAGTCTGACTTGGGACCCTGGACTATGGTAGCATCTGTAAGCAGGGTTGTGGAGCACACAGGAGTGTGGAGGAGACAGAAGAGATGTGGTAGAGGCTGGGCTTTGGAGATTCATAAGTGCTGAAACACATGGGATCCTCAAAAACACTCACCAAGAGAATTCTCTAGGACTATGTACATTTGCTCTGGTGTTTCAACCATAGTACAAAGGGCAGTACCTGCAGTGCAGTTCCTTCTCCCTACTCTGGTATCCACAATCATGGACTGAGGGATATCAGAGGGTACATAGACAGCTATTCCCTTTAGCATCTATTTACAGACTTATTATTATCCCTGAAGATGCCTAATCCTTTTTCAACCTAGTGACACTATCTGCTCCCACAGACTGCTGTGGCAACAAATCCAGAAGCTCACAACCCACTGTGTAAAGAGCTATTTCCTTTAATCTTTTTTAAACAGATCCCTTACGAGTTCTAAATACTGGTTACAACCATAGACACTGTCAAAGCACTCAATACCCAAGTACTTAGAAACAAAAGTTAGGTTTCATTCATTTTTTTTTTTTCCCCTTCAGAGAAGCAGCCTGATTTATTTATAGATGTTTTAGTTCTTTGCTCACCCAGGATTTGATGTGCTACATATTTATGTTTGTGTATGAAGAAATGACACAAGGAAAATTAGGTCAAAGAAATAAGTTTTGCATTGCACTGTGAAAAGAAGCCACTGTGATCTTCTAGCAAAGGACTGCTTTCATGAAGGGATGTGGTTGCACAGGTCTGGATGGGCCTTTCAGTCTTCGTAGTTACAAAGGACATTGCCATGCACCAAACAACATATAGAATAGATGTCAGTGAAGATTATGAGCCTTTCAAAATTCCCAGTCCCAACTGAGCTCCATAAGTTTTAGTAGATTTGGGGCAGGTCTGCACAGTGAAACAGAACAGCCCTAAACTGAACCCAGAGAACAGATGATAAAGAGCATTTTTCAAAACACCCTGTCTGAACAAAGAAAGGAAGTGAGGGTTGATCTCAGTGAGGGAAACAGAAAACACTTTTTATTGATGGAGTTTTTGATTAATACTTTTAAAATGTCTATAGTAAATGCTTATTTTTGCAAAACTCCTTGCTCTTAACAACATCACCTTGAAGTGCTGCAGTAATTCTATAGCAACAATCCGCAGTGCTTTGGAGGCAGCAAATAATCTCCAGTAGTGAGGTAGCTGTCCTTTTGTATTCTAAGAACAGTAAGAGCTTATTAAAGTATTTCTTGCAAAGCAAAAATAAAAAAAAGAAATGGAATAAAAAGAAAAAAGACCGCAGGTTTCAATTGTCATGCAGCAGCAGGCAGGTCATTAATACCCATTAAGGACCACATGGTTCAGACCCAGAGGCTCACAGGGCTGTGAACAATTGACATCGACTCAAACCTGAGAGGTGTCCAAACTCCCCCCCCCCATCCTGCCTGCTCTGCAGCTAGACATTTACCAGCTGGCTGCAAAGGTGGAAAGATTAAGGTTTTTTACTGATTGAGAAGCAGCAAAAGCTTCCATGTGCCCAGGACTATGGCAAATGCCTCAAAAGCTATTCCAGGAGAGAGCTTTTCTGGTTGTGAATGCTCTAGGAATGATGGGTGCAGCCTACTGATGAAATGGCAGATGCCAACCAAGCCCATCACATTGGCTGTTCCCAAGCTCTGGTGGCCGCTACCCATACCGGGAGGTGGGAGACCCTGGGGCAAAGCATCAGTGTTGACAGTCCCCATTAACCGCTTTCAGACTCATTTTCTGCCAAATCATAGTGATGAAGAGGCAGCAAAACAATCACCCACACATATAGTGCTGTGACTCAACAAAAGACCTTAAGACAAATATACTAGGAACTTGCTTTAGCTAGAATAATACCTTGTAATGATCCCAGGATCTGGTGCCAGCATTTGGGAAACTAACTCAGCGGGTTAGATCTCATACTGAAATCAGCAGTATGTTTTAAAAGAGTGCTGATTGTGTGGGGAGGATTAAAGGGTGAATGTAGGGCAGCTTGGTGAACAGCCTGGGGACTTTTTCATGACCTCTGCCTTGTACAGCCAAGCAATTCTGGGTCAATGTTACTCAAAATCAGTTTAATTTATAGCAATAATCTGTGAAATGAGTCTTAGGAAAGAACTTTCAGTGATGGACTTCTATATTTTTAACTTCCACGAGATCTATAGTAGATTCCAATTTCAGCCTCTTCAATCAAAAGGAAATTATTTCTGCTGAAACACTCTGATGTCAGATCAGAGGAAACATATCAGTTTCAAGAATCCGAGTACAAAGGGATTCCCATGGGGCAAAAAGAACTATGGGCAGTGGTAAAGATAAAAGAGTCCTTTGAGGGGCAAGAGAGTCCACTGTGAGCTGCTCTGCATAGAATAAAGTCAGAGGCTTCTTTCTTGAAACTGTTTTTTGGATAACACTGTACGCAAACTTCAGAAGAGGATCATGTTTGTTGAGAAATGCACATGTGTGCGTTGGTTTTGGAGGCAGATGAGAACACCAACTGCTTTTCTGTTACTCTTGGCATTAAAACTCCTTAAGAAATGTACTCTGCATCTCCACAGTTCTCTGTACGATAGGGCCACAATCCCCCGGAGGCTCCAGGACTGCCACAATGAAAACACCTATGCCCACTGTGACACTTCATATAACTCTTCATAATGATCAGCCACCACAAGTTAGCACATCCATTCCCATCTCTCAGGGCATTACATTCAATAAAAGGGCATATTCATTTACTATTACGGAAATGAGGCAGTATAAAACAACGCTGGGTGTGATGGCAGAACCACTTCTCCCTGCATTAGCTTCTCCAAAAAGGAAAACAGTACACATTTTATAAAGCAACTCAATGTTTTCTGATGGAATGCACTAGATAAGCAAAACTGCAGCCATGTGACTTAAAAGAAACCCACAATAATTAAAATTTGGAATGAAAAATTAATTTGCTGTGATATTTTGTAGAAGACTGTAATGCTTCCAAAATTTTGACCAGTTATGAAGTACTAACTGCAGGAAAGGAAAACACAGTGCTTCTGTACATTATAGAAGTACCCTGTGTTCTACTACAGTTCAAGATATGTCACAGTTTTCATTTTAGAGGTCCATAACTCACAGTCTGAAGCTACTTTGGGAGAAATCCGGTTTACAGGGTGTCAGCCTGGGTGCCATTTTTTAACTTACAAAATCCTTAAATCGATTCAGCCATTTTTGATTTAAAGATTGGCAAAGGCATAAAATTGTCCAGAGTTTCAGACACTTTATATTTATCAGCTCCAAAGTAAAACAAGACACACCAAGAGACATCACCTTGTACAATGAATGAAGCCTGTCCGGGTCACTGACTTAACCCACAAAACCAAATCAATTCATGGTTAAAGTTACGACGTCTTTCCCAGCTCACAGCTTTACAAGCGAATACAGTGATAATACTTTAAAGGTTTTGCTATGCTGAAACTCTGCTTCTGCTCACCATGATATTCATACAAAACCTCCCTAAAACCAGCAGAAAGGCTTTAAGCAAACCCACTCCATATTAGTGCATATACTCATGGCTTTATGACATGCAACAACTCTTCGTGAGCAGCCTTCCGCCATTCCACAGGTCATCTGCTGTCTGCACAGTAGCATTAACCACCCAAAACCCACACCAAACTCAGAAGTTAGCCCAGCTTTTCTGATCAGCCTCTGGAAAAGTCCAAGCTGTGGACTGAGCACCCACCAAGGGGCACTCATGATGATGTCACTTATGCACTTCTCCTGGCAAAACCCCAGGAAAAATCCAGTGTGCAAAGAATAAGCTGAAACTGGATTGCAGCAGACAAGAGACTACAAACATGAAACCACATGAACAGCAGCAGGGATTCATAGTCATGCTTGGCTGAAAATTGCCAGAAAAAATATCAGCAATATATAGTCTAACTGCATCTGAGAGTACAAGATGATTGGAAGGATTTACTGGAATTCTTTGGGGATCAACACATTACCCATGAGTGTCAATGCCAGAAGACTGTTGCTGCTGGTCCCTCTGAACAAGTCTCAGCAGAACCTTTATATTACATTATGCCCTCCTCTCTTTAAATTATACTGTATGTAATGGAAAAATAATGTTAGAAATCTTCTTTAAACAGCATTCGTCCATTTTTTTAGCCCTCTGGAAATCCAGTTTCCTCCACTCCTCTGAGTCTAGATTGAATGATGGAAAAAAAACAGCCTAATGTTTAAGAAATCCCTTCAGAAGTACAAAATGCAGCTTCACTGGAAACACAGACGCAGGAGTTTTTTAAAGCTTGATACTTTGGTATCTACCAGCACTAAAATCTTAAAGACCTGATTCTCCCCTCATGCTCACTGACATAATTGAGAATTAGTTCCACAGTGGCCCCTGTGAATTTACACCCCAGCACAAAAAGCAGAAGCCAAGGCCAGATGTACAAAATTTCACGTCATCTGCAATTCCCAGCTGTGTTTTTCATACAAATTGTTCATGAAGTATCAGACTTCAGAAATGGCACTTAGCCAAAATGGAATACTTGAAACATTTTCTACACCTGCCCTTATCAAGGAAGCTTCATGCCACATAAAGGAATAAAGAAAAACATGTTGGTGGCAGGCTATTTGTGTGCGTGAATATAAAACAGCTGAAATTTGTCTGTAAGGACTTGGACATTCAGAGTAAAGAGTGTATTCCCAGTAGATATGAAAGAGAAGTCACAGTATATAAGGAATGTCCAATGGAAAGCTATCACCTGGCCACACAGTCAGATCCCAGATAAATGCATGACAGTACCAGGTATTTGTTGGTCATATTGAACCCACCAAGAGCAGAAGTACTGTGCAGAAGGAACAGACCTGTGTGTGAGATCAATCTGGTTCTCCTTCTTCAGGAGAGGTCATGCTGCACAAGGACTTAGTAAACTGCAACACACTTTTTTGCAATCTATTAGCTGTTTTCACCTACTGTGAACCTTGTTGCAAGCTTTCAGAAAGGCTAATGGTCAAAACATTTGTGAATGGATAGAGATATAGTGCCTGAACCTGCTTGGACAGATTAGTTAGTCTCTAATTCAACTGATTAATTGCAAAGTAGAACATATAAATTAGTGTTTTAAAAGTTAATTGCGATCCTAACACTTGGCAATTCTACCTGTTTTAAAATCAGAGTATGCAAAACCACACCTTAAGTGGCTTTTAATTTAATGCTAAGGCATGAAACATAACACTGCTATTAAAAGCTGTACATGGGCCAGTGAACAAAAGACCCAGAAGGAAAAAACATCCTCCCTATATGTTCATGTTCAATGTTCATAGAAAACACTGTGGTGGCTTGGGTATACCTACTGCCCTCCTATCTAATGTGGTCCTAAGGAACAGTTATGGTTGTCTATGATAAAATAAAGGTGTTGCAACAGTAGACTGCATCCCAGCACAGATATTTAACTGCCTACAACAAACTACATGAAAGGCAAAAGTGAACACTGGGGTGTGACTTGCAGCTGTTTTGTGAAAGCCTGAGTGTCTTTGAAAGGTAGGCAGGGAAACCTGTCAAGTCCAGAAGGCAGGTTCAAGGCAGCTTAGATCAATGTCATTTTTGCCCTCATCTCTGCTCCCGCTACCATGTTCCCATCCCCTCCCCTTGTAATGGGGCTCTTCTGATCACACATAGTCTGTGCAGAGTTAAACTGTCTGAAACTCATTTGTTCTTGGCTGGATCAAGTCTTGTTGCAGCTCTGGGTATGATCACACCAGAACTGGTGTGTGCAGACGGCAGGAGTAAGAAAGTCAGAACAAGAGTGATGAGGATGAGGAGAGAGAATGGGAGCAGAACAACCAGAGCTCTGGTTTAGACTGGCTAAGGATGCTGTGAAATGCCACTTTAAGAGAGAGAGAGTTGGAGTACTGGCAGAAAGGGGCTGTGAACAAAGGATCATATGCAGCTGTCATGCTGGGAACAAGATTTGCTATATCCTTAAGGAGCCACCAATTTACCTGCATATCTGAAAAGATTTTTGTTAATCATGGGAGCAAGATTACTCTTTTGCTTGCTTAATTGAATCCACTCGGAACAGCATTTCTTGTTACACCAAAGCTAATGAGGTACAGTGCAGAGAAACTTGCAGGGTATTTGGTGAAAAGAACTGCCTGGACTCCACAAAGATTTTGCTGTGCTCCTTCCCCAAGTGGAGCAAAGACTCCTGGATCCAGGATCTATCAGAACCACTAAGCCCTTGACTTTTCTGGCAACATGTGAGATGATGATGAGGGTTTGTGAACAAGATCGCCCTTTCCTCCCTGCACACCAAAAATCCTTCAACCCCTATTTGTACCTGGGACGCTTCAAGCATGCAGATGAACTTAATGGGAATTATTATCGCAGTTTTAAAGCATTCATTTCACTTCAGTGGTGCTCTGAAACTCACAGAATTAACAAATTCCTAGCAACAACAATTTATCCACCACAAAAATGCTTCTCAGAATGTGCCAAGCCACTATATTATAGGATTTCAGTGTTTGATTCTGTTATATGCATTGAGTATGTAAATGGTACAGAATGTACCAACTTGTTCACAACAATCTCATTACCAAGTAAAGTGATTGTATCAACATGTCGAGGTGGTGACGATGATTTAAGAAGTCCAACATTTGGTCTTAAAAACAGATTATATTATTTATAAAGATCTGTGGGTGGGAATGAAGAAGCAAAGCTCATCTGTCAAGAGAACAAATGAGGAATATGTAACTCCTCCAAGGCATAATGACAGCAGAAAGAGGGATATTGTTTAAAGCTGATGAAGAAGAGAATTCACCCTGTTCATATATAGAAGCCTGGACAGAAAACCTCAGTATATTTCATTATAAGACAGAAAACTACACTCAGTCTCATGAGTAATGGTATCTTTACTGTTCAGTGCAGTTCTTCCTATACCTCTGCCTGTCTGAGATAATAATTCCAGGTTTGCATCTGGTTTGAAAATACATCCAACAGAACCTAAACACAGGTTTCAAATCCTTTCCTAAGTAAATGGATGGACTGAAGTTCTGCTGTAGGTGTTGCTGATGATGCATCCGATGTTATTCTGAACCTAAAAGCTACTTTACAAAAATCCATATGCATTACTTAAAGGATAAGCATTCTCTCTCTCTCTCTCTCACACACACACACACACACACATAGATATAAATACCAAACTTTTTTCTTTTGTTCTTTTGAACAGAGGTTACAGCATTCACACATCCCTTTTGTCACTGGCTACCACACAGACATTTCTCAGCTAAGCCTCTCAAGTGCCCCCACATTCAAACCTTTCCAGGATCCCCTGGACAGGTACCACCAGGCCATTTACTGAAGAGCTTTGATCCAAAGTTAAACAAAACCTGTAATCAAACAGCAGTTCACTAATTAGACCCTTTTTAACTCCTCTGAAACTTAACTAAGAGCTTTTTGTCAGGGACATACCTGGCCTTCAACTATCCACTTGGAGATGGTGGTTTTGCCATCATAGCCTGGCCGGAACTGAAGTGTGGCAGAGCGAGGACTGATGTTGGAAATCACCAGGTTGGATGGAGGACCTGGAAGCTCTGAAGAAATAGAAATGTAAATGAGTGTGGAAAAGCTCTTTGTCTAGGGCCCTGTAACACAGGCTGACGTTCAGTGTTTCAGCATATAAAATACCTTGGTAACAATTGCAACAAAACAAATAGCTGTGGGTTTTTTCTTTTTGGTAGACCATTACTATATTTGGTACACCATTACAGCATTACTCGTTCTGCTGCTCTGGGCACACACCACATCTTTACAGGTCAAATGAGAAAAGACAGAGCCCATCTACAGGATTACTACTACTATTTTAGAGAAGCTGCACAAGTGACAAAGCGTGGTGGCTCAAGGGAGGAAGGTACTTCCCAATTCCAGATCTGCCAGTCACTCACCAGGTCACCTAACTCCACTGTATTTCTGTTTCTCCAGAATCAAATGACAATAATTTTTACTTACTTCTTAGAGTACATACAACTATGATTATTAACAGCAGAATAAGACTCTAATTTTAGTATAGTGTATGGGAAGGACTTTGTGATACTTACGTTAGCCTATAATAAGATGGGGTTTAGAGAGCATTTCTGATGCCTGAATAAAGTAGCTTTTGTTGTTGTTGTTTAATTTCTGTTCCAGATAAAGAGGGTGACCTTCTACAAGGAAGAATCTGGGGCCTCAATCAGATTTTTCCTTCCCATCAGTCAAGCTCACAGCAGTATGTACATTTTTAATATTATCTGAATTATCAACAAAAGCAAGCCCAGCAAAGAGATTAAATATAGATTGCTTAGAATAAATTCCCAATAGTACCTGTATTGGTAAGTAATGGAAATTACTTACCAATTATCAGTAATTATTCATAATACTGCACTATGTGCAAATGCAACAGGTAAAAAATAAGCAGCTTTTTGGCATATACTTCAAGTCTGCACAAATCCACAGTATTTCTTGATTCTTACTTCAAGTTTGTGGGAACTACAATCAATAAACTAACCCTGACCAAGCAGGATAATGCTGTTATCTGGCTAACAACAGGGAGCATGGCATTGATCCAGTCTATAGCTTGTCACAATTACCTGTGATTAGGGAAAAGAAAGGCAAACATACTTCAAGACATCCAGAAAAGTTCAAAAATACCGGAAAAGGTAAAAAGTGGATTACCCTCAGTGACGTACAGTAACTGCTCACTTTGGAAAATTCTACTTCTATAACCTATACACTAACTGAGACTGCTTGTTTGTGTGAATTGGTTTTCTAGACTGGTTGAGGGAGAGGGTAGAATGTTAAAACCAAAATGCAAACAAGGGTGAATTTAGAGGTGCCCAAATGGTAATTCAAACAGTGCAGCACAGGACAACCTCCTCCCAAACCCTTCTTGGGCCACAACTCCCTTATCTTGTAAATAAGATTTTAGTTTCTTTATACAAGTGACCTCCCATAGGCGACATAAGCTATACAGCACAGAAATGAAAAAAACTTCCCCTTATACAAACTCTGTTTCTCCCCCAAAGCAGCACTTTTTCAAATGATTCAGGTACATTCTTATGTTACTTTGTAAATGTCAAGAGATTTTGTATGGTATCCACTTTATTGTTTGTCCATTCCTTCTGCCACCCCTGTAACTTCTTTTGTATTTGTATTAAACAGCCTAAACTTTCTGGTAATCTCAAATTGCAAGTTTGTTCATGTTAACTTTTTCACCTGTTCTAAAAATGAAATTGGTGTAAAGAATTCCAATGCTTTATAAAGAAAACCATTTTAATTATTACTGAATTAAAACAATTTGTGATCTTTGGAACACACAGACTTGAAGAATCATAGAATGGTTTGGGTTGGAAAGAACCTTAAGATCATCTGGTTCCAACCCCCTGTCATGGGCAGGGACACCTCACACCAGACCACGCTGACCAAGGCTCTGTCCAACCTGGGCTTGAACACTGACAAGAATGGAGCATTCACAGCCTCCTTGGGCAGCCTGTTCCAGTGCCTCACCATTTTCACAGTAAAGAATTTCTTCCTTATGTCCAAATAAAATCCCTGTTTCAGTTTAAACCCATCACCCCTTGTCCTGTCAGTGCAGTCTCTGATGAATAGTCCCTTTCTGGCATTCTTCAGACCCCCTTCAGATACTGGATGGCTGCTATGAGGTCTCCACACAGCTTCTCTTCTCCAGGCTGAGCAGCCCTATTTTAACTTGTTTCACCAACCTGGGGGCACACCAGAAGAGATGGTGGAAGACGTAATCCATCCACTCCCTTTTGCAGTCACAGCTGCCACCTCAATGGTGTAGGTAGTGAGTGATGACAGCCCTGTGATCTTGTACTCCAGCGTGGTGTTAGGCAGCATGCGGGCAAAACGAGACTCATTCCTGCCATACACCTCCCAGGAGATCTGGTACCCTGAAAAGCAATCACACAGAAGTCAGGGGACTCTGAGCAGTGGTGGGCTCTAGTTTTTCTTCTAAAGCACAGTTTCACAATAACCTAGACACTGGTAAATTCCTTCATCTGAAAGATTTGCTTCTGATCCATGCTGGTATGACTTATTTCTTACTCTGCTCCATTGTGGTCACCTTTTATAAGCAGAAAAAAAAGGTTGAAATAAACATTGGCTACAATACCCAAGTATTTTTTCTAATCTTATTTCCAATACACAATTGATGTAGGTACCCCATCTGGTATCATCTACCCACCAGATTACAGATGGAGGAGGACATGGAGTCTCAACAGATTGTCTCTTTTTATGACGATAAAGTGCTTGCTACAAACTGACTAGAAAATCTGGGGATAATCTCTCTGAAGGGTGGTCTCACATTCCGTGAACTCTATGAAACAAATAGGAAGAAACACTGGAAAATACAACATCTTCTCACCAGCAGAAATATCTAATTAAAATTCTGTATGTGCTTAGTAGAGCTATCCCCCTTTCAGGCTGAAGTAACCTTTGCTGCTGTGTATCTAGAAACACAAATCTGACAATAACAATCAGGCAGGAATAATATGGAAATCTTCTAGGAACTGAAAAACCTCTACTTCCCACTGCTTGCTCCTTGCACAAATCTTTCAGCAGGGTGAATCATTATCCTTTCTTTCAAAACCAGAGTGTAGCCCATGTATTGTCCAAAATTGACTCACCTTGACCTCCGTATTATTCTTCTCTCATAACCAGGCTTTCCTTTTTGTCACTTTTATAACCATTTGCCTTCCAAGAACTTTTGAAACTTTCTACTGGCTGATTTGCTCAATTTTACCTCCAGATCTCCTTGTCCTCCTCCTGCCCAGCCCCACTTTATTCACGTTTGAACCCATTTGAACCTCACTGTGCCAGTCTCCAGAAAGACTGTCTGAAAAGTTTGCCTGATTGCAGCTTTCTTTGTGATTTGACTCAGGGGGGGAAAAGCCACAACACAGCTCTTGAATGCCTGTGAAATGGAAGTGAGTGAAAAGGACTAACAGAAAGGAACCCCACTGAGTGAACCATGCACGAGGCAAGCTGGCTAGAGAAACTCCCTACTGGGTTCCTGTTCCCATCATCGAAGGTGAGGAATTCAGCCCAGCTGGGGGGCTTGAGGGTTTTTTTTTTTTCTTTAAAAATATCATGACAAGCTGATTAACATATACAAATTGTCATAGCAAAATACCTTATGGCATTAATCAACAAGGAAACATCATCTCATGAACTCAAAAAGCATGGTGAGACAAATATTTCTGTGAGTTTAAGAGATGTGAGCTGTTATCCTTCCTCTAAGCTAGCTGCCATCACTGACAAGGATTCATGCTAATCTAATTTTGCATGAAAAATGGGCTCAGAGTGCTCACATAGTCACTAATTATGTTTCAGGTAGGGGGCAGAGATACAGAGAGGTGATACTTGACTGCAACCGCTTGCCTGACTTTGCACTAGCTAGGGGAAAGGGAAAACCTCCTGAATGCTCATCTGGAACCGGTTTTAAGCAAGTGTCTGAATGGGATTTGATTAAGTCAGTAATTTACTACTATCTCGGCGATACTGTGGCATTCTGATGCTCTCTGAAAAGGCTTGAGCATTGATTACCAGTGATCATAGTTTATGTAGTACATGCAAAATTATAGTCTATATGAAGTTTCTGACAATGTTTAAGGACTCTACTGCTTTTCTTAACAGAGAGCAAACAGAAAGGTGGAGGGTGGCTGTTCAGTCTGATGCTCAGTGAAGAGGCATGAAGAAGTTGCAAACAGAATGATGATCACCCTCCTACACCCTTTCCTTCAGAACCTGTGGGCAATGTGGAAGAATGAGGAGTCTGAGGAAGGTGCAGTTGTGCATCTCCCCACTTCCCAACAGAGGACATAAGCCCAGCAGCTGTGTTCCCAGCCAGCAGAACATCCATGTGCAGCCATGGATGGAGCAGAGGCTGGGCAAGGGCCGTGATGTAGCTCATCTGTCTGCCTGGGAGCTGCGGGTGACCTGGCTATGCCTGCTGTGAACCCTACACATGGGCTGGCAGAGGGAACCGAGGACTGTCACCTCAGAATAAAACAAAACAGGTTGTTGAAAGCAATAAATAACCACAAGCAAATAAGCTTATGAACAACAGAAAGTTTCATCCACCATGCATTAGGCAATATGAAGTGATTGAGATGTCTTCTCTCCTGTCTAGATAATATTTGGATATACATCAAATGCTGGCAATTATTCTTTGAACATTTTGTTTTCTCCCTTGTGACCACAGGGATGAGACCCAGCTTTCCTGCCCATTAGGTATATAGTTTCTATGTATTTATTTTCTGAGAAAACATTCCCCAAGAAAAACATCCTGTCTTCATACGCAAATTGAAGACAAGGCAAAGAGGCATCATTTACTGTTGGATATTTCAGTCCCAAATGTACAGTTAAATTCTAGTCATATAAAAAAATGCAAATAGAAAGCAGATACACACAGAGCAGACACAAAGCCAAATGTAATCATGCATAGCAAAACCACAAGAAAAAATGCTGAAGGAAAAGAACAACATCCACCATACCCCCAAGTAGCACTTAAGCCACAATGACTGACAGATGGGCAGGACTTTAGGACATGTGGTTGGTAAAACTGTGCTCGCTGTTTTACAGATGTGAGCACTGCCAGAAATGTGCACGGGGGAGCCCACGGCCTGCACTGAGAGTGTTTCCTCTGGCTTCAGTATAAACGAGAACAGAATAGGTGCCACGGAGCCTTCCCGTATGCTTTGGCACTCCACCCTCGCCACAAGATGCTGCCTAACGGAAACTAATGACCAGGGGAGTTTCAGAAATAATTTTCTGTTGATCTGGAGTAAATTCTCTACACGAGAGCAGTACATCCAATCACAAACTGTCCGTCTACATCCAGATCCTCATAAATCAATGTTTACCGAGAGAATGAGGAAGATACTGAAATTTATAGCCAGAGTAATGGGCAATTTCCCAGCGCAGGCAGCTGCCGGGCACCACCCTTCGCGCCTTCCTCCTCCCAGCTCTGGTGCAGGGAACAAGAATGTCCAGTAAAGTTATCAATGAGCAGAAATGATGAATAATTGCCTCCGTGAGCACTCAGGTCTCCAAGCAGCCATCTATAAACCTTTCAGGTACTCAGAGCATGAACAGTTTTGCTGTTCTTTTCTTCTATCCCAAATGCAATTTGCCTCATTTAAGGATATTTCTTTTTCCTTCAATACTTTGCTGGGCTTTTTTACTCTGGTGTTTCTTTACGAACTAAAGAGCTTATTGAGTTCATTCTTTCTGAAACAATTTGCCCCAAATATAACACAGTCCATCTATGTGTTCCAACAGGTTTCAACCCATTCTGGGAGGCAGCAGCTTGTTTCTAGCAAAGCAATTCTGGAACACTAAGCATAATGCTGCTGACTTGTGCTTAATCAGGATGAGTATTACATCATCTTAGAGAGCTAGGCTGGATTTAGGTACCTAAATTTAAGCACTCAGGCTTGAAGGCTTTGGCCACCTTCACTGAATCAATACTGCTCTTCTTTCAGAAGTCATTAGTTTCTGTTCTCAAGCCACTTAAATCAATGGATATTTCAGGGAGGTTACTATGGTATATAGGCATAAGGTGATCTGCATAAAGACTCCACATACACTATAGACAGCAAAAAGACACATAAAAATGGTGCATGTTACAGGTGTACAGAACACAAGTCCTACCAAAATAATTAGACCTGTCAAAGTTAAAATGCTTCAGGAAATCAGACTGACAGAACATTTTAATGTTCAGGAGCCAGAAAGTCTGATATATTTTTAACTGCTGAATCATATTTTGTTCTTATAAATTATATATATTTTTAAATGAAACATCTCAATGTCAACGCTCCCAAAGCAAAATATTTTGATCCATGTGAAATGATCGTCTCCCTTCCCAAGTATGACTTTTAACTCCAGTAATTTAAAATTGGGAGCTTTTCTGTACTTCAAAACCTTGAAAGCCTTTGTTCAATGGAATGTCTATCCTGTGCAGTTCTAAGTTTCCCATCTGAAAACAATATTGTCTCTGTTGATAAGAACTAGGGTTTTTCACAACTACTTATAGCTTCCTTTATGAAACATAATGAAGTTGCTGCTGTACCTACACTGGCATAGAGTAAATAGATAAATAGCTTGTCATATGGCAAGCTCATCAAAGAGAAACAAGAGAGGTTTGAACCCTTGTGATGGTTTATAAAAGATTAAGTAATGACATGCAAATTCTGTCATACAGTCCACAGCCAGAGCACTTGATCACAGATGAAGGATTCCACTGATTTCAGGCTCAGGCTTGATTGCAAATCTTAGCAATCCCAATACAGTTTTTGCAGCTGTAAACTCCATGTAGGAACCCCGCACCCACGCAGCAAAGACCAAACACTATCTCACTAAGTTTCAGAGATGCAGTAACACAAGTGGTGGTCATGGAAGATTTAACAAGACCAGAAAGTCCATGGGGTGCTGATTTCCGATATAGAACTGTGAATAGTGGCCACAATCATGAAGTACCAGTAATTGGACCAGTACTTTCCATAACGTGTCCTAACTGACATTTCAATTACCAAAAAGAGGGAACAGGAAACCAGTGCTTGCAGTAGGCAGATCTCCCTAAAAGCTCTATTCCACAAACATTTTTTCACTGCAATGCTACATTCCACCATACACACACTTAGACAGAAAGGAGATAGCAGCTGACACTTGCCTGTAATGATGCCATTTTTCTCCACTGGTTCTTGCCAGCTGACCTTGAGAGATGTGTCCAGAATCTCAGTAAAACTCAGATGTCCCACTGCTCCTGGCTCTGGCAATCAGAAAAGAAAATCTGTTAACAGTAGAACCCCACTTACTTTTGATCTGATTCATGTGGCAAGGTTAGGGCTGAAGAAATAAAACACTGAGACAGGGCCAAGGGAAGCCTTCTGGAAACATCTGCGAAAGCTGTAGGGAAGAGTAGACACACAAGGTGTTAAGAAGCACTCTGGCTACCATCACATAAATTATTTTATCCAGTCTTCATCCTAACTGTGCAGAGAACTAAAGAGAGTGGCAGCAGGAGACTTGCACACAACTTGTTCACTGCCTGTCTTCTTGAGCTAACCTAATAAGAACAATCAAGCTGGCAATCCTGGAAGTACTTGTGTTTGCTGTTTTCCCCTGGTGATGGCATTCAGCATTTGCTCGTGCCTCTGTGGTAGCTTATCTAGCCTTAGGTTTGTAGCAACATCACCAGCACGCCCCTCATCTGAAAAGAGCCTTTTGCCTCTGCAAGGTGAAAGCTACTACAAAGTCACCGAGCCCCTGCTTGGATAGGTTCTCTCAAAACAACCCTAAAAAGTCCAACATAATGGCAACTGTCTTTTGGAAAATGAACACAAGTATGTGAAACTTTTAAAGGATTTTTATGATGTAGCTCAAGAGCCCTTAAAAATTTCAGCTCCCCAGTGTGCAATGAAAGAGTATAAAACAGAATGACTGTCAAGAATATGCCATCCTGCCTCAATTTTGATCTTCAAGGAAGACATCCTGACTGATTTTTGATCCAACTGCTGTTCTTTCCTCAATCGATGCACTGGAAAAAGGAGTTTTTGTTCACTTTATATTCACTGTGCTTCTGTCACTGGATCCCTGCCCGAGTATCCTCCAGCTTCACTGACATCAGTTGGCAATTTCTCGTCTGCAATTTCATATTTTGTTTCCTCTTCAATTTAGTCCAGCTTCTCATTCCCCTCCAGCTATGATGAAAAAAAACCCCAAGCCTGCCAGTAGGTCAGCTACAACCACATTTGCAATTCTGCAATCCTAGTGAGGAAAATTTCCAAATCCATTCTGCAGTATCTAGTAGTCTAAGCACTACAGAAAGAAGTGCTGATCTGGTACTGATCTCGGGAATACCCAACAAGAGCACAGCAATTATGTGCTATTCAGGACTATGGATCTGCAGACATGCAAACCTCATACTCACAAAGCTTTACTCCAATTAGCTCCTGCAGTTGCAGTCCAACTTTCATGTCATAATGAAAACCAGGTGCAGGTTACTCCAAGCCAGGACACAATGCTTCTGACTGGACATCAGATTTTATTTGACCTACAGTTCATCAGCAAACAGATCTGTTTGCACTGTTTTTTTTCCTAAAGGATTGCCTAACTTGGCTATACAGACAGGAAATTATCACCTGAGAACACGAATGTCAGTCCTTTCAAGTACTTTTTCCCCACCACGTAAATCCTGAAGCAACTTAGATTTAACAAGTTCTCTGCAAAGATGCATTATACGATCCTGCACTTGACTTCTCTGTCACCAAGAAAACTGAGGAAAACAACTGTGAAGGATTAAAAAGGAAAAAAAGAAAACTGCTCATCTTTACTGCTGAGGCTCCTTGCAGCATACAGCTGCATGCACCAAGAAATGTTTTAAATGTCTTGCAAAACACAAGTCTAGTTTTCTCTTGATTTATGTTTCATGATGGAATTTCCTTGTGTTTAAAATGGCACTTGATGCCAACCTCTCTCTGAGATACTCTCAAGGTCTTTGCTGTGCTCCTTCTCCCACTTCTCTGCAAAGTCTTTAAGGCTCATTTCAGCAGCCTTGCCTTCAGCAGAAATATTAATAGACTCTTTCCTCTTCCCAGCTGATCCATTTTCACAAAATCTTAGGAGCTCGTATCTTTGGTTTCTTATTCTTCTTTACTCACTGAAATTAGCCACAGGTTTCAAATGTTGTTGAAGGGAGAAAGACAGATGAACCCAAGACAGACAGTCAAATATATTTACAAACCCTCATAGTCAAAAGCTTAATTTCCTTAGGAAACCACACAAAAAAAGGTTAATATTATACCGAGGAATGTAGTGCAGGTTTCTCACAGAATCATACCTTTTCTCCATGCTTTCCTTTTAACTGCAGATGAACAAGTCTGAGTTCATATTCATGGTTCACATGGATTTCCGTTAGGTAAACTGCTATCTCTGTGATCTTCTAACAATCAAAGGTTTAAGCCTACAATTTGCTCTTGGGGCACAGGTCTGGCTTATGGAGAAGACTAACCACAAAATGAAAATCCATGGGGAATTACTTGATTTTCTTCATGTTCTTTCGGGAATATCTCATGAAAAATTGGACTAGTACTTTAAGCCTTACTTCTGTGAATGTAACGACAATCAGTTTTCTTTACAGGAACACTGACTAACCTAAAAGATGCCTATTAAAGCAAAGCAAAAACAATTCCTTCATGGATTTATTGGACTTTTTTTATTCTGATTTGGATCTGTAAATGTGCAGCAATGTTTCTGATGAACCATGACAGGAAGATACTGAAGCACTGGCTGGAGCCAAGATCACTGTGGGGACACAGTTAGCTGTGAAGGCCACTGCAATTCAGTTATCTGCATCAGATGCACACTAGACTTGTTAGTTGCAAATATGTCTTGAGCAAACATTTCCAAGGGGCCACAGAGGCCAAAGTACTTTCTGATGCAGGGAATAATTTATATGCTGAACTATCTATTTCATTTTATTTCAACCTGACTCCAGTTTTGCAGAATGAAAGTTATTGCATTGTTATGATTCTGGTAAATAATTGCAATATAATATAAATACAGATATTTTCACTATATTGATTAACAGAAGAAAACAGTTGAAAACTAAATATATACTTGTGGCTGCCCTGTCCCTGGCAGTATTCAAAGACAGGCTGGATAGAGCTTTGAGTAGCCTGGTCTAGTGGAAGGTGTGCCTGACTGTGTTAAGGGGTTGGAACTAGCTGAGATGGTTTAAAGTCCCCTCCAACCCAAACCATTCTATGAATCATTGACCTCCACAGGAAGTTCCAGTGCTCAGTTCCTAAGCAGACCACTTCACATTTGTCTGGTGCTTGAACATGGATTTAAGAGCATAAGGATTCACAGACATAAATGACATGTTCTATGTTAGCTGAATCAGACCATGAAGCTTTCAGCTTCCATCTAATGTAAAAAAAAAATCATCCATATTTAATCAATAATGAAAAAAACATTAAATATCTTTAATTTGGCTAAAGGAACACAACTGGACAATTGGCTGAGGTCATTACGCAAAGTAACTTGACAAGAGATTGCAAACTGATTGTGAGCCTGAGGTCGAAATTTAAGATTTAAATATTTTGGCTTTTATATCCAAGTAAACAAAATCTGAGCACTGAGATTCTCCATGAGTACTGAATACTCACTGTCTTCAAGGGTGCGCAGGAGCTGGGGTGTGCTGCGTGGTCCATCGCCAGGTGTGGTGAAACACAGAACTGATGTGTAGTAAGTAGTGTATTTCTTCAGGTTGGTGATGCAGCCACTATGAACACCATGAAAATCTGGAGCAATGGTGACTATAGTCACAGTCTCTGGAGTATCCACTGGCCATGCTAGAAGCTAGAAAATTTAAACATGGATGAGCTCTCATCAGAAGTTGTGTCTGTTTGGAATCAAAGCATGCTTGGCTGCCAAACCCATCTTAATCTGATTGTGAAAAAACAAGCAATGCTGTTAAACTACTGTCAGCTCTGACGCTGAACAGATGGATAGAACACTGTTACTATGAGAACTGGAGGGATGTGTGTAATACTAGTGATGGGGGACATACAGATACCATGGAGGTACTGCAATCCTCAATTTCTACTACTGAACAGTGCCAAAATTACAGCAAATTATTATTTGTATGACACAAGTCTTTTGGCTTTCTCTGGGCTGCTCTGACCAGCATGGACAGGCTCTGCTGCTGAAACAAAGCTGAAGGAAGAAAAATACTTTCAGTGGTACCCTGAGATAAATACTTCCTCTTATTTTGGGATTCCTTTAAGATCCCACTAGTTAGAGAGGTTAGTGGGATAAAGGGGAGAAGGAGGAGAGGGACACACATCCTCCTACCCCTCCTCTACTCCCTCCCCAATATCCCCTTGACCAGCCTTGCCTAACAGGCTAAGAGTATTCCAGCGTTGGGTGGTTTGGGGATATCTATGCTGTGAATGATTCAAGCAGTTCGGGAACTACAGAAAGAATAGAAAATGGTTGGAAAGATTATTACTACAATTTTCAACACCTGGGTCCCAAAAGTTCAACTTCTGAAGACATTTTCATGCATTTAAAATAACATGATTGTCAGATGTGCTCAGTCCTTCAAGGTTTCATTCATCTCTGTTGATCTTCTCAGTGATGGATATGTTTTAGAGCGGAGTTCCTTATGTGTAGGTACTTAAACGAGGGCTTAAAAAATTCATGTTTGGCAAATGACTTTGAAATTTTAAAACAATTTTTGAAATTGCCTGAACAAGCTCCAGGATCTAAAACTTGAAAGTGCTGATGAAATTTTTATTTGGTCCAAAAATCCTTATGGTGAGGCCTGTTAAAATTCTAGGCCTTACTCAGTGTCTGTGTAAATCTTGCCCCTTGCATTGATTTCAGGCTCATAAACATGAATAGATGCCTGAAATTAATGAGCCACAGGTGACAGTTTTGCCAATGTCTATAGTTTCCGATAATCAGAAAGCAGTGGGAGGACTGTAAGGAGTAATTTTGTGAGGGATATTTCATATTTGCAAAGGTGCACTTTACAACTTCTTGAAATGCAAATAAATTGCAAAGAAATGATAAAAATGGAAAATGGATGATGGGATAGTAAGCTTTATTTTCTTTTCTAAATCATCTTTGTGGATTACAGTTGGCACTTAGAACTTTGGAGGACTAAATCTCTCTTTTTTGAGTATATTTCATTGCACATTCTTTGGGAAATGCGCAAGAAATACAGGAGAACAATTCTGTCAGTTAGAGGAAAAAATGGGTTTCATCCTTAAGAAAAAGAAAGGCCCAGCTTTGATTACTACAAGTGATTTATAAACCATGCAAAAAACTATGGGAGTAACTGACAGACATGCTCTCACAGTCTTCATACTGCAACTCACAACTCCTGTGAGAACCAGGAAAGATAAAGCTGTTGCAATTTACTGCAAAGAAATCCAAAGAAAGAAAATTTTGATCATTTCAAAAGTTTTCACTGACCATTGACAGATAAAATCATGGTTTTAATTATTTTATACCATTACTAAAGAAACAGAAACATAAATTAGAGGCAGCTATGCAAGAGACTAGGGATCTTCAGACTGAAACCCTGTTTGAATAAAACAAAGAATAAAAATCTGAAATATGACATTTTCAAATCAGACTGGGCTCACAATGCTTGGGCTTGCACCAGAAAATTATAGTGCATTGGAAACCACTAAGCCCCAAAAGTGCTGTTATTCTCCAGAGTATAAACAGGAGCCAAGTACTGCTTCTGTATTGAGGTTTCAGGATACACTCCTCCAGCCCTGTCAGTCACCTAGTCTTGAAAGCTGATACTGTCTCTGGGAAAAACAGACATACATATGATCTTAAAGGTCTTTTCCAATCTAGTCGATCCTATGATTCTATACATGTACACAGTATTTCAGCAGTGGGAGTCTGAAACCATTTAATGAGAAGAAATCTGCTCAAAAATACCAAAGCTCCCATGCATGCCTCTGTCTCAGTTTCTCCATCACTCTGAGACATGCTCAGAGAAGGATCAAGTCTTCTGAAACTTCTTAAATCCACCTACAATCCCCCAATTCACAGCTTGTCTTCTGAACATTCTTCTCAGCCCACTCAACATTCCTGCACCTAACACCTAAATCAGCCTTCCTCCTCCCTGCTCCTAAACCATACCTGTCCTCCCTTTCCCTGCTCTGTGATTCCTACAAGATTCCTCTTTGTTCTTTCCATGAATGTTTTTAACCCCTTCATTTATTATGCCCCTACTGCTGAACCACTGAAGGAGTTTCTATTAAACAGTCCTTCTGAGAGACAGAAATAAACCACTCCAGTTACCTTCTCAGCATACACTCCACTGGTCAAAGTATCAACAAGTGCTCTGTTAAGCACACTATGCTCTGCGTACTGTAATAGATACTGCCAGCTGCCACATCAGCAGGGACTTGCCATGCTAAATCCATGTCATCAAGCATGATTAGTACATTTTACATTCTTACATCTCCCAAATCATCACAGCGGGAAAGTTAAGACAAATATTTAGGGTGATGTCTTGGTTTCTAATGAAACTAATGGGAATTTTGCATTAGAGTAAATAGAAATGTCAAGGCTGATTTTCAGTAGCAGGACGATCTGTATCTCCTGTGTTGACTTACCAGCCTGTTTGACATTGAACTGTGTTTTGGCTTTGGAAACTCTCCAGATAAATGACGAAGGTATTAAGACTTTTAGTCTATGACATATTCCCTTTTCAGAACTTACACAAATTGCAAATGTTGGGAGCAACAACTGCTCCCTTCTGACTTCATTCTACTTCTGTAAGATACCCCTGAGGATATATAGTCACTTTGGAGATTCAGAGATTATTAGATTCAACTTCTAATTGCTATCTACCAGAACTGCTAAGGCAAATGCTATTTGAAGTCACAGAAATCTTGTTTTTATTTACCTTGTATCCTTGGTTAATACCATTGATGAACTGCTGGGGTGGAGGGGTCCAGAGGAACTGGATGGTTGTAGAGTTCACAGCTTCCACTTGCACATTCTGTGGTGGAGCTGTAGGCACTGAGGCAGCAGATATGGAAAGAAAATAAAACAGTGTGAAGGATGGATGAGGGGACAAAAGAGAAAGATGAACCCAGAACCCACTAACTGTCACTTGCAAGTCATAAAGTAAGAACAACCTTGAGAGAAGAATGCACTTCCTGTGCAAGAGTAGCCAGCAGTGACTTGGAAAGAAGAGTAATTGGGTTAATTTCTCATTCTGTATTGAAGAATCTTTCAAGGAGAGGGGGTGAAATGATTTCTGCAGCTTATTATTCCACAGCTGAGTTTCTCATAGAGACTTGACATAGAAGCTACGTAATGATAGGTAAACACATCTCTTTCAATTATCCATGACTGCACAGAGAATGAACAGCTTCAAAAAGAGATTTCTTGAGTCTTAATACCGCTCAATTCCCCAGATCAGACAAGGAAACATGGAGTCTGCACAATTAACAGTTCTAATTGAGAATTATAATCTAGCAACAGCATCTGTTTGTTATTTACTGCTGCTTAAAGAATTAAGACCAGTCATATCACACACAATAACAATTTTTCTTGGGAATTGGAGATGTTCTCATTTTATCTTGATATGATATTCATTCATGTATATTGAATTGATTATATATATTCTGAGCCAATATACCCTCTAATCTACTAAAGGTTGCATAAACATTTTAAGCCAAGTATTTAATTAGACAGATGTTTTCTCAATACAAAAAACCCACCATAAACATAAAGGCTTCAAACAACAAAAAATAACACCTAGATATTTTGCCATTTAATATAATGTTTCTTTAAATGCCTTCTAGGCAATTTCTTAACTTATTGATTCAGGATGTCATTTCTATAGTTCTCAGAGGAAAGAATACTAATAGACAGGTCTGATTTTCTGAAATTACCAAGCTTATAGTAAGTTTAAGAAGAAAACTGCTATTTGAGTATAAAAAATGGACTAATACACTTTAAATCCTATAAAATAAGTTTAATAATGCTTCAAAAATATTGCTATTGACAGCCATGTGCATTTGTATTCCACAAAAAAAAGGAACTATCCACAAGTGGTTTTGAAGCCTGAAAAGCTTTGTTCCTTTTGTTTCCAAGGGAAAACTTGTACCAAAACCCAATGATCTATGATTCTAAAAAGTATCCACAATTCCTACTGAGAATAGTGGTTTGCTTCATACTTTTAAAAAACAGGTCACAAACTTTAAAAGCTTCAAAGCACTTTTGGAAGACGAGTCTTTGTATGGAGAAAAAATTAAGTTCAAACATGTAAAGATGCCCCTTTTTCTACCAAAAGCTGTTTTGTTTGAAAGACACACAAAGGGTCACTATTCTTAACTGGTGTACAAGCTACAGTAAGGCTGCAGCCAACAGAGCTAGGGCAGGGTACACTTATCAAAGACATCGACAACCTAGAAATCTCAACACAGAAAAGTGGAGAAACTCTTAAAGATGTCAAGTTTGGAATGTCGGGAACATCTACTTTCATGCCCTCTGTCACTAAGCCCCCCTGATGACTGCACCATGGCTTGAAAATTTAGCTCTGCCTACATTTTTAACCTCAGAAACCACACATTATTCAGAATTTTCTGACCCTAATTTGAAACCTGATGTCACAATTTATGAACTGTGCATAATTATTGAGTTCTAATAGCAGAATTTATCTGGTACTACTCTAATGTTTCATTAGAATCTGGGCCTTACTTCCTGCCATGTATCATAACTCTCTGTATGCTTTGTGAAGGTTATAATATCATCTTAATGGCCTGTAGACATCATAAAGTTTTTGTACTTAAAGAGATTCACCAAATCATCCTGATACAGAGTCATAAACATTAAAGTAATGACAAGCTGCTTTGGCTACAGTCCCCTACTAAAAAGTATTTTTGTCTTCTTCATGTCCTTTGATGAAACTGTTTATTATGAGAGCCACAATATATGTTTCAATTTGGTTTTGTGTGCAGCACTTCACATAATTAATGGTTAAAATGGTTAATGTGAATCAGATTTCTTCCAATCATCAAAATTCTTTCTTTTCTGCATATTTGCATATTCAGATAACGTTAACACCCAGAGTTTTGTTCTTGTGGAAGAAAAAAATCTCCAATTTAGTTTTTTTATCAGAACGTTACCTCTATTTGTAGATGCTAGGTTGATTTTGTAACGTAATTATTATACAGAAAATTTATACATAAAGCCATGTGCTGCTCAGGGACAGCCACACTTGAAGAAATATAGAATTTCAGCAGTGGTAGTAAGAGCCTGCTTTTCCCAAAGCATAACACACACAAAGAGACCTGAGAGTTGACAGTACAACCTCTCCCAGTGCCTTTGGTTTCCTGGAACACAAATCAGCATGCACATTGCTGCTTCATTTCTGTGGGCATTATTTTCTTTAGCAGAGGATCCCACAGATGCTGTATAAGGAATAGCAAAATTCCAGTTATTTCAAAATCACAGCCATTTTATTCTAAGGGTTTTATGATACATTTCTACTTAACATTTTCAAACTTAAACAGGGAAATTCAGGTTAGATATAAGGAAGAATTTCTTTACTGTGAGTGAGTGGTGGGGCACTTGAACAGGTTGCCCAAAGAAGCGGCAAATGCTCCATCTCTGGCAGCGTTCAAGGCCAGGTTGGATGGGGCTTGATGCAACCTGCTCTAATGTGAGGTGCCCCTTGCCCGTGGCAGAAGGATTGGTAGGTGACCTTAAGGTCTTTTCCAACCCAAACCATGCTGTGCTACTATGATTTCAAAATACTGAAAACTGCATCAGCAAGCTCAAGTTTTCATTTGCAGTCCTTTAAGTCCTCAAAAAAGCTCAGGCAGGCACTCCAGAACAGGTTTAATAGTTTCAGAAATGTGGATAACCAAATGCATTAGTTATTTCTTTCATTAGGAGTTAATTTCCTGAAACAAGAACAAATGATCATAGCACAAAAAGTACCTGTTTCAAAAGGAAAAATAGTTAAAATTATGAAGAGAAAGCATAAAACATTCAGAATGTTGTGAATCATTATTTATATTACAATTCCTCTTTGGACATCTTTATTGAAAAATCAACATCTGCATCTCAATGAATGCATTTAAAAGATGGAAAGAACATGGTCCATCTGATATGCATAAGCTTAATTATACTGCAGAAGACATAATATATTTTATATTTTTAGTCAGTAAAATATTGGCATTATAATCTCAAATCTAAGTGCCAGTATGAAGCTCTCCTTTTATGTCCTGATATTAAAGACTTCCTTGGGTATCTGAACAGTTTTGCATTAAAAAAAGAAAAGAAGTTTGACAGAAGCTAAATAAGAATTGAACTCCTGGCCACTTCAAAACTCAAATACTTTTCCAAGATCATGGTTAGTATCTCGCTGAAACTGTGACTGTCCACATAATGGATTTTGTAATTTAGTGGTAGGTATCTATTGTGTCCCTGCAAGTTTGTTGTCGAGCAGTATGGAAGCTACCAATGTCAAATAAGTATTCCAAGAGTAATCCCCAAGCAGCTACATTCTTAGTCTTTAAACTTGTACTTCATCATGTTTGCAAGTATTCCTGAACTGTCTCACAGTGGAGATCCATCTGGGAGTCATCTCAGAATCGCAGATCAAATTGGTCAGACAAAACCAACTTTACTTTCTTCCCAATAAAGCTCATGTGGTTTGAAATCTGCTAATAGCTCAGCCACTGGGACTGCAAGTTAATGCACAGCATTACAAGTAGAAAAGGTCATAGAAGCACTCTAGATAAGTCATTAAAAGGGCTTTGCTGACGAGCTAATGGAGAGGAGGCATTATGGTTAAGCATGTGTACATGTCATTGTTCTGTCTCTAACTACGTGCAAATAGCATGTAAATCCTGCAGAGATTCTGACAGCCAGACTACTGGTCTTAAATACAGATCTTTAGCAGAGGCTTGTAGAAAAGTCTGCTACTCCTCTGGAGCACCTGATCTTTGAAGTAGCAGCTTCCATACCTCAAATAAGGCAGGCTCGGGGAATGTCAGGTTTTGCTATGTGTGAAGATTTGGTTGTTCTTTTAATGAACTGCATGGAAGTGCTAAAGCTGCACATTCCTGGTAGGAACGGTAAGGAGAGTTTGCCATGGAGGCATGAGATTCCTCCCACAAATTCTATTCCCCTACAATCTCGGCTGACACCTTCTGCTGTGCTATGAACTGCAGCATGTGTGTAGAAAAAATGGCCTGTGCAATTCTACACATGCCCTTATTTGAAATTCAGTAGTATGAGGTTTGGCACTACCTGATGAGTTTTGCTTCCTGAAGCTGGGAAATGCCCTCTTCCTTTCTTGCATGCCTCTCCCAAGGACAAGATTTTATTTCTTCATTAAGAGCTGGGGGCCAGGGCCTCACTGAGACAACTGCTCTTTTCATTCCCTTTGTAAAATCATTTAACCCCACCCCAGCCCCAAATCCCCCAAAACAACAACCAAACAACAAGAAAGCAGCAGATGGCAAATGACACCTAACAGTGACAAAGCTGAGAGATAAAAAATCCAGCCACTACAATTCCAACCTGCTTCTGCACAGGAGCAGCTGGGCCCAAAATGGCCATGGATGCTCCTCAGCTTTTGGTAGGCTCCCAAAAGGAACTGAATGAGGAAGATGGTTTTGCCAAAAAATATGTGAGGGAAAACTAAAGGAAGTATTTTTTTAGTGAGATAAAACTGAATGGTTGCAGAGAACTCTCCTTATTCATAGATTCCTTTTTCAAGATTATTTCCTATATAAAGTAGGAAGCTTTCAGGCAGCCAGGTTTTCTCTAGGTTTTTTGCCTCAGTCTTATAAACGTCTCTGATTCACCTCCCACTGCCTGACGAAGAGACTACTTTTGACCTGACTCATTTTGCTTTCATCTTTCTCTCCACACCACCAAGACTCACTAGCCTGGTGATTCTTACACGTCTTAATGGAGGAAGGGCCCTTTTCTCAGGCTTTCCTATCTTTTCAAAGTGTCCATGCAAGGCACAGAAGGGAAAACAAGACAATAAGAACTAAATGGTGAGACCTATGAACTTTAGGACATAAGACTGGCTTTTGGGATATGCATCACAAGAAAGCTGTAGCACTCTTAGTAGAAACAAAAGTGGGCTAATGTTAATACAAAGAGCCTAAGGAAAGTTTAGTCTCTGCTTTTAAACCTTGCCTTACCTAAATTTAAGGAGCACTGTGAATTTTTCAAAGAGAGAGATGTTCAGAAGTATTCATGATAGTGAGATAAAAGGAACAGACCCAAAATAAAGGAAGCTTTTGCTTTTTCAAAACAACCTGCTGGAAAAGGTAAACATGTCCAATAGTACAGAGCAGAGCAATATCAGCATCCAGAAAGATTCTTATATTTCTCAGAAATCTATCCTTCTATAAAAAGGTATTGGAAAATTTCAGTTTTCATATGTTACTGGAAAGTCCTGCACGACACTGTTTAAATAAGTAAAAACTGCCCTATGCAGAAGGCTGGCACAAATCCCTGTGAAAAGTAACATCAAAGTAAGGAACAGCTGGAGAAACCTCTGATGAAGAAAGATCTGTATATACAGAGCATCAAAGGATTAGGCTTAATATCACTCTGAAAAGACTTTCAAGATTTAGTGACAGTCAACCTGCCTGACCTTAGTGTTAGGATGTTCAGTGCTTTGCCAATAAGTCTTTCTGACATTTTATCTAAGTGAAACTATATGCCAGTTCCTCTCTAAGTTTCGATTTTTCAGCATCTTCTGAGTTCAGCCACATTCTAGAAGTTGGTGATTTTTGAAGAGCTTTGAGTAGCTGATTAGTTATCAGTGGCTAAAGCAATGCCAGGGAACTAATAAGGGATTAATAGACCACGTTCTGGTATAAATCCACAGCTTATATGGCCAGTCAATATTCCCTGTGACAAAGATGCCAACGTGCTGATCTGCTCCTGGCAATGAGTTGATCTGCTCCCAGTGCTCATTTCCTCCCAGGCTGAGCTGCATAGCACACTTGATTAATATGAGGTGTTTCAGGTATTTTTCATCTGCAGACAGACAGGTTCTTGCCAGCACAGCTCACATCATTTAATGCATGTCAGGATAGAGGCAGCAGCAGTCGTAGTAGGAGAGGGGGATGGATGCGACTGTATGTCTCTGACATTTATCTCCACTCATATTAAAATCAGAATATGATTTACAAGGCAGTTTTACACATGGCTTTTTTTTTTTTTTTTACTCCTGCTGGTTTGGTTTAGGAAGGACATTCTGGAGCAAGAAACAGTCACTGGCTTTTCCTGTCATTTCCTAACTACAAGAAGGATAAAGGAGCAGAGTTTCGGTCAGCAGTGCGTTACATATGGAGACAGCCATAATCCAGTTTCAAATGATACTGATACCAACCAGCCTCCCTTTTCAACTCTAAAAGTAAAAAGGCTTCATACCCAGCAAGGCATTCATTAGGAGATGGCAGCACCCATGAAACAGTTAATTACTGCTATTATTAAATACCGATATAAAATAAATAAAAAATATCCATTACTTCTAAGTCTATCCACCATTGAGCATTTAGGAAGTACATAAAGACAAACAGGCCATTGCAGGTTGTCCTGCAGTCTAAACACTCTTGCTGATTAATATGAATGCAGGACTGACTATACTTTATTACAGAGGATTTATATCCTTATAAATGACAACAGACAGCCAATAAATAAAGGATGATAATAACAGTGCATAACATCAAGGGGAATTAGAGTCAATTGACAGGTTTAAGAACAAGAGTGTGATGTCCAAACCTAAGTCTTAATAGATGGAAGGTTAAGGTGCTATGATAGTTTAAAATGTGCAAATAAACAAAGAGATGAATTACAAGCCTGTTCACAAAAGAGATTCAAATTCTCTGTGCAAACCAATTCTCAGCAGAGATCTGGTCTTTAGTTGGATAAAAACCATTAATCCTGGCTGTGAGGAGAGGACTAAGAAAAACATTTCAAGGTCTGCTATAAATACTTCCAGAAAGAGTTTGAGTGTGTCTACACTCCTCTATGACTTTACATGCCCTAAGACAAAAAATAGCTTCCTTCTTTTAATTGTTGTGGTTAAAGAGTGTTGCACATGAATAATCTTTTCTTAAATATCTCCCTACACCTCAAATTGTATCTAATCATGTTCTAATGTACTCCTAGTAACAATTAACAAACAACTACATCTTCTTCTCTCATTGTAAATTAACTGATGTACTGTAAATCTGCAAGTTGTTAAAACTTTAATTGTTTTATGACCAATAAAGTAGAGACTGTGTACTGTCCAGTGCTCAGCACCCAGCACAACCCTGTAATTATGGGAATATATGAAAGCTCTAAGGGCCTGGTGCTTAATTATCCTATGGATTTTTATACCAATCTAGAGGTGTAAACATGCCTTACACTGGTTATAAAAAGTAATTACATATCCTTTTGTTGATGTAATGTATACTTTTCTTAAAGCACTTAGCAGAAAGATGTGTAGGAGCTGTAGCATAAAAATCAGGGCTTTAAAGATAAAACTATCTTCCTCTGTGCAAATGTATGCACCATTCCTGAAATACTACAAACCACTCTTTCTCCACAGGCTTTAATTCTCTTAGTATAGTTTCCTTATAAACTTATTCTGTATTACTAAAACAAGGTATTCTATGATTATCTGAATATAGCCGGTTTACTCAGCTTTTGTCTCCTGTACTGCATACATAGCATATTGCATACCTTGACCATGATAAACCCAATTCCCTGCCACATTCTTTCCGACTCTCCTGGCAGAGTAACCTCAGTCCCTGCCTGTCACGGGCCCTATAAATCCATTCTCAGCTCTTTTCAGCATTTCTATTTATTCTTCATGCTGCAGCCAACTCTGACCTGCAAGTGTCATCATGAGGGTCAACCAGAATAGATAATTTTTTAATTCACTCACAGCTTCTTCTACAGAGATAACAGCAGAGACTTATCTTGTCTCTACTCCAGCATTTGAAATTTGTAGGTGTTTCCTACCCCAAGCTGTCTGTCAAATTTGACCAAAATGACCACTAATTTTACAAGTTGTTAGCAGGACTATCAGAGAGCGCATCTCCTTAGGAAAGCATGTTATAAATTGTAATGCTAAAGGATATATTGGTCCAATTTGCTCACCTCCCTGTAAAGTGTACTCTGTCACAGGTCTGCTGAATACTCCCAGCCCAGCTCCATTGTAAGATGCCACTTGGATCTCATACTGGGTCCAAATGATCAGGTCTTTCACTAAGCAGTAGTTGATTTCTGCACTGGTGATGTTCTTATACTGGTATTCTCCAGGGAGGCCGGCCAGGCGATACCTACCATATGGGAAGAAATATTTGATAGTGAATTAGATGGTATCAATTACAGCAAATATCCTGAGTAGCAAAACTGCTTCCTTTGTCAAGAGGCAAGATTCTACAGCAGAATTATACAAAGAATAATTAAAAATAATCAGAAAGAACAAACTAACTCCTGATAAAACCATATCGTGTTTGGCTCCTATAGTATTGCTAATCTGATCTCACTGAGATTACACGCTCAGGGCTGAACAAAATGGGTATTTTATCCTGTTTTATGGCTGCAGAAAAATTACAGCTTTTTAAATGTAGCTTGTCTAGTAAAAGCTGTAATTTAGTAGAAAAAATTGCCCAGATGTGATTTTTTTTAGCAAGATGCTGCTGTAAATCAGCTTGAGAAATGTCTTTCTCTCCTCCTCTGAAATCTGAAAAGGAAGAGCTCAGAGGGCTCTGGCCTTCCAGAGACACAATTCCATCTCATTCCACTTCCTTCCAGGTGCTGTCATCTCTAGCTTCCACCAGGATTTACTTCACGGATAAAATAAGGATGGAATATAGTTGAGGCCGAAGGGTTGGTTAAGCATTGGAATTCCAGGAGGGATGTACCAAATACAGGTGAGTACAGGTAAGCATCCTGCCTGTACAATACAGGTAAACATCCTGTCAAACTTTCTGCTGAGCCATAGGAAGCTGAAACACTGAATATATTTTCCCATGTAAAAACTGCATTGCAGAAAATAGATCCCCTTTGATATGTCTCTTCAGCCTAAGGAACTATGGAGAAGAACTAAATCACAGAAAATGAACCATGCAGATCTGTGAATGTGAGTAATACTGTTGTTTCCCTTCCTTTAGGTGCTTACAGTATGCTAATTCAGAAACAGATAAACCAGAAAAAAACAGAGGCCAGGCAAGGGGCACGAGGTGTTACTATTCCATCAGAAAGACAAATCTGGAAACATTTGTATTTTTATTCACCACACCACTTTCATGCACTCTTACTCATCTTTTGCTTCACAGTAATCACTAAAAGCTTACTGACATCGAACAATTTCATTGACATCTTACAGTCTGATTTTAAATTTATCTAAGTTAAATTGGTACAGTTTCTATGACTAGACAACTTTGTGTATTTCAGCCACAGATTTTGTTCTAAAGTCTTATTATAAAGAGATCAGTTCTTAATCACTGACAACCCCTCTATTTTCTGCTGAGCAGCTGCTTGCCTGACCGTATTTTGGCATATTTAATGTTTGTAATGCTACACTGGTGCGATTCAATTTATGAAGTACAAACGGAAATAAAGAGATATCAGCCCTCATCCGAGTTTATCAAATGCCGCCTTCTTCTTCTTCAACTTTACACAATATCTTTTTCATTCTTCTGTCCCCTGGGAAGGGTGTATGCTTCCTAGCAAAGTCAATTCTTTGTGCAGCAATGTTTTGTCTCACACCTAGCAGACAAGGTGTAGAGTGCTCCTGCGATTTAATCCATTATGCTGTTAGCATGGCAGTCATCTAAATGCAATACTGCCAGCAAGAAAAAGGGCAGAGGAAGGAGGCCAGTTCAGAAATGTCACGTCTTCATGATTTTTCTCACCATGGACTTTGATGTATACTCCATATGACTTGTGCAGTGCACCTTCACTTTTAAAGATCAGGTGTTCCATCAATTTAGTATCTTGCATGTCTTGAGGACTGGGTCTCTGGGACGCATGGTGGTTTTCATTTTGTTATACCCCAATTCTATAGAGATCAGTGCAAGAAGACTTTTCTTTAGAGCACATTGCTGTCACCACACAATTTGACTTGGAACAGTCTGGTTTATTACTTGGGACAGTTGTGCTTTTATATGATAATCTTAAATTCCTGTTAAATAAATGGTTTCTCTGCTCTGTAGTCAAGACAAAGCATGTAGACATCAAAAATGTTCAAGGACCTAGTAGAATGAATATGATAACTCTCTACTGAAATGGAAAGCGATGTTACAGCAAGGATAGGGATCAATTATGCTGGTAGATGTTGTAGAAAATACTTTATGTAAACATTGAAAACACTATAGGGAGAAAACAGAACAGGTTACCAGAAGTAGGAGGCTATGGGATTGCTTTCTCAAAGAACTTAAAGCTGAGACTGGGTTACATTCATTGGGAATAGCTAAGGAATTAATAATATTATCAAATAAACCAGTTTAAATGCAAGAATAGTACAAGCAACAGTTGTACCCTGTGCAAATAGGTACCCAAGTCTCATGACAAGATTATACCTATAGGTAAAAATTGAAGCACCTCTTCCTGCCTGTCACTAATGACTGGCACTGCTTTCAAACTGAGTCCAGCTCTTAAAACTGCAGGCACTTGCACAAGTGGCCCACCAGCATAATAGGCTCTATGCAGGTGACAGAGAGGTTAACAGACTTTCAACTCTGCCTGCAAAGAGAGAGAACTTTCTGGGACTATTTTGGGAGCTCACCAACACTCTTAACATCACAAAAACATTTCCATCCAAGCCAGCAAAAGTAGAAGCACAGCGTGAACAGGATGTTGGCATCTAACCGTAGATTTAGTTATCTTTTAGCAGGTGCGGAGAACACTGTATTAAAAATGTCAGCAGCCAGCCCACAGTAGGCTGTAACCATGACTTGGAAGCATGTCAGAGTTGGTGCAATGCTTGGGAGTTTCTCACAAATACCTAATTTAGATAATGCCTCTTTTACTAAAGGTGTGGCCCTAGCTGGCTGCTAGCACCGGAGGATATGTAGGCTGTCAAATGAGCAAGTGAGCTGCAGCTGAATTGAGCAGGAGTGAATAACTGAGTGCCCAAAAATCACAAAAAGGAAATGCCCTGCAAGGTTCCTTAGAATGGCAACACCATTTCCAGCACAATATATGCTGTATAAGCAGAAAGACTGGATGTATTCTAGATTCCAAATTACCTGCTGGAATCTGTTTCTCATTAATAAATACAGAAGGGGCTGAAAGAATCTTACTCACCTGACTGATTTTCAAAGCCACATTAAGGTCTGCCATGAAGCATCTGACCTGGCATTCTCTCTCTTCATTTTGTTTGGCACAAAACTGAAGCTTCTTGATTCTATTCTTGTCTTCCATCATGAAGGAGCCCTATTGTGTCTTTGATAAATTTAATTAACCTTTCTAGCAGGAAGCTGAGATTGTAATAAGCAAATATTCATCTCCGGTGCATAGGCTGCACTGTACTAACCTCCCCTGTGAACACTTTTAGTACTTGCTGCACTTCACTTTGAAAATGGAAAAAAGCTATCTGGATGTAGAGAGTCTCCATAGGGAGCTAGTCCACTTAGGCAGTCCTTTCAGAGCAGCTAGCAGAAACCCCAGCTCATTGACTCTCTAGAACAGGCAGGCTAGAATTTAAGTGCCTACACTCATGTGGCCACTTGAACAGAGGTGTTTTCTTCTGTAATAAAACAGGGCAGCCACAGCATTTGTAAATAATAATGAATGTATTTACAGAATCACAGAATCATTTGAGTCAGAAAAGACCTTTAAGATCATTGAGTCCAAATGTTAACCCAGCACTGCCGAGTCCACCATGTCCCCAAGCACCACAGCTACACACCTTCTAAACACCTCCAGGGATGGTGCATTTGCCACTGCCCTGGACAGCCTGTTCCATTGCCTGGCAACCCTTTGGGTGAAGAAATTTTTCCTAATATCCAATCTAAACTTCCCCTAGTGCAGCTTGAAGAAGCTTCCTCTTTCCTATTGCTTGTTACTTGAGGGGAAAGACCGACACCCACCTCACTACAACCTCCATTCAGGTAGTAGTAGAGAGTGATAAGGTCTCCCCTGAGCCTCCTTCTCTCCAGGCTAAACAACCCCAGTTCTATCAGCTGCCCTCACAGGACTTGTCCTTGAGACCCTTCACCAGCTTTGTTGCCCTCCTTTAATTTCATGGAATGGAATTAGAAGTAGTTTTAAGTACACTCTTAAGTCACACCATTCTGAATTCCCTCATGCACACATGGATCTATCTCCAGACTCTCCAGGTTAGGAAATCACTTACCTTAGGACATACCCATGAAGAACTCCATTATGTTCACTCTCGGGAGGAGGTTGCCACTGGACCATGATAGACTGATTGGTGCGCCCACTGGCCACTATGTTTTTAGGTGGAGCACTTGGGGGCTCCTCAGGTAGCATCAGCCTAAGTACAAAAGAATGTGATTGAGGTGGGTGTTGAAATAAATCATTGATAACATTTCTATTTCATGTATCCATTCCATGTGAACCAGTTTCTTTTATCAAAGTCTGATGACTAGAAGGAAATATAACTCTGATCAAACTGCTGAAGACATGCATGAAATAGTTACAACAAATCAACATAACAGGAAATCAGTTAAGTAAGCAACAAGACAGACAGCTGAAGTAACCTTATTCTCTCTGAATCACTCAGGCTGCTACAACTCTTTAAAAAGATTACAAGCCTGAATGAGTTAGAGCTCAGGTCCAGTGTCTGTGACTCCTTCCAAATTGTTTCTTTCAGCTCTTTCAATATTTTTCATATCAAACTCCTACATTTTGAAAAAGCCATTTAGAGTTCAGCTGTTCTGCAATTCAAGCTCAGCAAGCTTTGGTTCAGAAGAAGGGGGATGCATCTGAAACTAAATTTGATGAAGCCATCCTTCTGTGTCACATCTGGGTGAGTTCCAGAAGTGACATTAGGAGAATGCTGTCTTCCTTTCTGGGCTAACTGCTGGGGCTTAGCACAAGAGCAAAAAAATTCTGCTTAACTGATACTCTGGAAGTATGAGGGCACCTCCATGGTGTGCTGATATCCTGCATCATCTAATTGCCATGCTCACTAATTACTGGCAGCCGCAGGGCACTCTCCAGAGACTTGGGTAACGCTAACTGCTCCCTTCCCCAGTTATTGTGCAACAAGTAACTTCATTCATTCACAAACAATGAGCAGTTTTTTTCCCCAGTGGTTCTAGCTTATTGTACCTCCAGTACCCAGATATTTATTTTCACTGTACCTGCTGGTCTCAGAGCTGTACTGGCCCTTTCCCACCTGGTTAACAGCACACACCCTGAACTGGTAGGTTCTGGCTGGAGTTAGTCCACTCACAGTGACACCGGTCATCTTTGGGTCAAGGTTTGAGAGGTGAACCTTCCAGGGAGAATCTGTTGGAATAATTTAGATGTGAAAGAAGATGACAGTGCTTGTTAAAAGCCCTGCAGAAGTGAGAAAACGCCTCTGACTGCTCAGAGCTCTTTGTGCTTGTTTTCCTCAGAGGAACTTTGGGAAGAAGTTTCTTTTCAGCAGAAGAAACCTTCCTGTCAGCCCACACGGTTATGCAGATTGCACATTTGTCTACTGGAAAGTGATGCTGCACATGTCATGGCATAATAAATAAAAACTATATTCATTAGCATTTTAATAAAAGAGTAAACAAGCATGATAAAGACAGATGGGCTGTGTATTTCATAACCCATCTGTTTGGCAGGCCATTACACCACCACACCCATGAGTGGCTCTGGTGGAAGGACTGTAATGAAATTCACAGTCAGTTTGGAATATCTTCCTACCCAGCTTGCAAGCAGGTGTAGAAGCATGACTCTCTCTGCCAAATCAGACCTTTGCTGTAAGACCTGAGAAAGCTTCTGCTGCAAATTCTACACGTCTGCATTTTTTTCTTTTCCTAGAGACAGTATATGGCATTTGGTCTAATCATTTCCTAGGAAGATTGCCTGGTATAAACAGCCCTGGCAGCACTATAAAACCCTCTTCGTCAGTTCACATACTTGACATACTGAGCTCCTCTGATGCCCAAATTGCATTTTCAAGTTTTCAAAGAGGTCAGAAAAAGAAACATGTTGAAAATTAAATATACTGATTTCTTTTCTTCATAGCCTGGTGTCACACATTCTCCCTGAAGCCATGACTGAAAGAGTCAGGGAGAAGTGACATTTGGTCTGTGTTGCAACAGTACAGCAATGGAATCAGCCAATTTAAAGATTTGTTCAGATTTTAAATAATACCAGCTGTTTCCATGCTCCCTGCTCAAAATTACCAACACTTCTGGAAATGACTGAAGAGCTAGCTGTAGATTTTGGCAACATATCTGTACATGTTGCTCATCAGAAGTGCATTGCAGCTCCTGGCAGGTCACCTAGACGTCTGCCTGAAAATGAAGATGAGATGTCCCAAATGTGGAAGCTTGCTAAAATTCACACCAAGATATAAAACACTAATTTAGCGCTTTTCTGGCAGATTCCTTAGCAAGTTTAAGTCTTCTGGGGTCTGCTGCCAGAGGAGCTATAAACACTGCATCTTTGAATTACTCAAAACATATTTATTCCAGTAATGGCTTTCCGAGAACAAAATCTTTTTTAACAGGAAAACTGACACAGCAGAATACTGGGAATGTTGGAAAGGGACATTTGCCCAGCAGTCAAGTTCTGTCCTCACCAGCTGATGATTTACCAGAAGCCACTGCAGCTGCAAGACAAAGATGGCAATTCTGAGCATCAAACTTCTTTTACAAAGACCTTAGAGGAAGCACTCCTGTGCTGTCCAGAAAAGCATTGGTTAGGAGGTTTTTGCATCATAGTTCCCTCTGGATTTTATCAATCTTCTCCTGAGGCTTCACAAACAACTGTTCACCTGGTTACAGCCAGAGTACATAGTAACAAATCAAGGTAAGTCAAAGTTAAGGTATGGCTGACTTAGTACAATGCCTGAAGCAGCTTCCTGAGGAAAATGTAAGAGCAGACGCCACCAAGAGAGTGAAATACCCCTGTATGAGCTACTTGGGTAGTGGTCCGTTTCCTACAGCATTTCATTTGTTTATTGCTAGTGTAAACACCACCTGAGAGTGCTTAACCCAAGCGCTCAATGTAGTGAGGAGTTTGATTCAACAACAGGGCCTATTAATCTCTTCAGCACCTTGGGGCTTTACTCTGTTTATATGCTGCATCTGTAGAATACTTTATTAATTCCTTTTCCTCTCCTGGTGGAAGATAAAAGATCTGGCAGGAAAGAGAGATTAAACTGAAACCTAATATAAACGGAGCCTATTCATCTCCTAGGCACTCTGATTCAGAAAGTAAGGTGGTTTGGGGAGGATTTGCTTACTCACAGAGCAGTGGATACAGTGACTATGCAGAGTAGCTTTAAAATTTAAATGTCAAGCCTTTTTTCTTTTGATAATCAATAAACCAAACATTTCAAAACAAACCCCAGAATTGCACAGAGCAGCAATTGTGACAGCAGAAACATGCCATAACATTTTTAACAATCTCTTCTCCTCCAGGGGTGACTGTCACTCGCCCATCCCAGGAAGCCTGGAGAAGCTCCATGGTGACAAAAGAGCTGCAAGGTCAAACTATTAAATAAGCCTCCGTTAGATTGAGCAGACTGTGCTAATCCTTCATTTAATTTAAGCTGCCTAGAATGTACTCTGGGCTTTGTTTGCTCTGCTGCTGCAATTGCTGCTGTCTGAAGCACTTCCATGTTTAGCTGGCTATCATCTTAAGGATATCAGGTATTTTGAATTAAAGGGGTGGAAGGCCAGAAGGAAAGTAGAGGCTGAAAATGGGTGGGAGGCTGAACAAGAGTGGGAGAGTGAAAACTGAGGATGATCAGGGGGCTGGAACATTCCCCATACTAAGGCTGAGAAAGTTGGGGCTGCTGAGCCTGGAGAAGAGAAACTGCACAGATACCTCAGAGCAGCTTCCAGTATCTGAAGAGGGACTACAAGGATGCCAGAGAGGGACTCTTCATGAGGGACTGTAGTGACATGACAAGGGTGAATAGGTTCAAACTTAAACAGGGAGATTTAGGTTACATTTAAGGAAGAAATTTTTCACTATGACAGTGGTGAGGCACTGGCACAGGGTGTCCAGAGAAGCTGTGGCTGCCCCATTCCCAGCAGTGTTCAAGGCCAGGTTGGATGGGGCTAGGAGCAACCTGCTCTAGTGGAAAGTGGCATAGGGTTGGAACCAGATAGTCTTAAGGTCCTTTCCAACCCAAACCATCCTATGATTTTTTTATTTTAACTCTGAGTGCCTCTCCAAGTTAATTTACTGGAAACAAAGAAATCTCACAGGCTACTCTCTATGTGTGATTTGTGAAGTTTTAGAAATTACTTTTGTTCTGTCAAGAATTTTTGGATGTATTTGTGATATGTTTCATAACACTGGTTACTCACCAAAAGGCATTTCTTCTGTATTTCCCTATCTACCTTACAATTCGTGCATTAATTGCAAATTCCTCAAAAACAATGTCTAATTTGATATTACAGATTAGGTCTATTGCAGAAAGCTGGTTTCTGCAGGTTTGGAGCACATTTCCATCTCCTTCCTTCTCCAGGGTGGTTTTGCGTAGATGGTAGTATTGGAATTTGCTATACTGCTGTGGTTACTCAAGTCATCTTTCAAATCTTCATGACAATATATGATATTGCAAAAAAAGCTCAAATAAAAATTAAGTGGTCCATCCTTCGTTTGGTAGGGCTTCAACAAGGTCTACTAATGGCCTGAGAAAAAGTATCTTTTAACACTATCATAGAATCATAGAAGAGTCAAGGTTGGAAAGGGCCTTAAGATCATCTAGCTCCAACACTCCCTGCAGGGACGCCTCCTGCTAGACCTTGTTGCCCAAGGCTCTGTCCAACCTGGCCTTGAACACTGCCAGGGATGGAACTTTCCAGTGTCTGAAGGGGGGCTACAGGGATGCTGGGGATGGACTACTCGTTAGAGACTGTAGTGACAGGACAAGGGGTAATGGGTTAAAACTTAAATGGGGGAAGTTTAGATTGGATACAAGGAAGAAGTTCTTCACTGTGAGGGTGGTGAGGCACTGGAATGGGTTGCCCAGGGAAGCTGTGAATGCTCCATCCTTGGTGGTGTTCAAGGCCAGGTTGGACAGAGCCTTGGGTGACATGGTCTGGTGTGAGGTGTCCCTGCCCATGGCAAGGGGTTTGAACTAGATCATCTTAATGTCCTTTCCAACCCTAACTATTCTATGATTCACCACTTCGTTGGGCAACCTGTTCCAGTGCCTCGGCACCCCCACAGTGAACAACTTCCTTATGCACATCTGAGTCCCAGTTGTAACAAACATAATAGTTTTATTATGATTTTTGCAAAGATTCGTCAACGTGTCCGATTTTTGTCATCTGAATATTCCTACCAAATTCAGGATGACAGCTTCTAGGCTTTAGGCTAAGCAGGTATAGACATTTTCCATAGGAGCTTTTATTATCTCCTCCTTGGCAGAATGTGATGAATTGGAGTTACACGATTACACCACACAGCACAGACATCCCAGAATATGATAAAATAAAAAAGGGCTTTTATCTTCATTGTACTCAGCAGAATTCTTTAAGTATTAATTTATTTCTTCAGTTAAAAGACTACTCAGAATAATTTTGATTAATCCCTAAAATCTAAACCTCTTTGGAATAAAATAAGCCAATCCCCTTCTAACCCCATGAAGATACTTCACTGGAATTCCTAGATATATCGCGACAGGGGCTAATGCAGGTCATGAAACACCCCAAAACCACATTAGTGCAAATCACTTCAATGCATGGCCCTATTTATTTGAAAATCCTATTTCCAATGAAGGTTCCCATTTCTGGCTCTGTGTGGGCAGGAATACTTAATGACTGTGTTTCTCTGGAACTGTGTTTTTCAAATTAGGTTATAAATTTGCCCCCAAATGTTTAAGGCCATATGTCTCAAGTCACCCACAGACACGGGCTACTATGAATACTTGTAATTTGAGAATTATTGCATTGTGCCAAGTACATTCATTTTAAAAATTAGGTGACAAGAGTCGTTCATAGTTCCAGCAATTTATGAGCACGATCTGCTACTGTTTTTTTTTCCCTCTAATTAAAATAAGGGGTTTATATCTCTTTTCTGAAATGATATTAATGAAAAGGAGTTCTAATCCATGCCAGGTGGAGAGACACTCCTCTCTCTAATGCAGCCAGTAATTATCCCCCTGAAATTTAGTCATTGTTTTGAACCCTCTTCAGCTATATCTCTGAAACAGATACTGTTATTACGTATTCATTTATGGTACATGCTTCAGAACGTACAATGGATCCTAAAGCTATTAGAAAGTGATTCAAAACAGCTAAAAAATTAACGAAGCTAGACTACATTTCAGCACCTGTAACTGCAAAGCAAAGCTCATGTATCAAAACTCCACAGAACTAAGAAGAAAGTCTCCTATGCAGCTTTGCTAACTGGGAAATAAATCATAATTTTGATGTCCCTCCCTAACCTTTACACATGTGAAAGGAAATGGGGATTAGGAGTCAAGCACATTGCACTGCTGCTGACAGTGAAGGATCTACTGATGCAGGCAGATGAGCTCACAGAGGGCATATGTTGACTCCTTGACAGTTACTCTTTCTGTGGCACAAACAGGACTGACAGAAAACCTGAAAGGAATTTTTCTTTGAAAAGCAAAGAGAGATTCTGCACAGTCATATCAGACAAAACTATACCTACACAAGATCAAATATCAGCTTCATTCACAAACATCACTTGGGATGGGTGGGAACAAAGGCAAGGTGGTGTTTTCCAAAGGAGTAGGAGGTCTGTAGAAACTAAATATTAACCACACACTACTGAGATCAAAACAACTCTGAAAAACAAACACTTCAAGAAAATAAAAACCAAAACAAGACAGACACAATATGCAGACATCAAAGTCAGCTTTCCAAACCAAAGTCACTGCTGATGTTGTTTCTACTTTTCTACCGGCATCTGTACAGCTGAGCAATAATATATGAAATGAGAGAACACAACAATAGCGGAATATTTAAAGACTTAGGTTCTTCTCTTCTCACAGAAGTCCTACTTCTGCGAGTAACCACTTGGACGCTGTACATATAAAGATGAAGACTGAAAGGAGCAAGATCCAGAGTATTCCTGGGAGTTAAGATACTCAATTCACAATAAGTCAGCTCTGTGTTTGTTTTTTTGCAGCTACAAGCTTGCTGAATACATCTACCTATGATTTGTGATAATGAGACTCTCTCAGTGGCAGACTGCAATGCCATCAGCCAAAATTATTGGATCTATCATGGAGTGAGCAAGGGTTCACAGGATCCTGTGGAGTTCTGAGGGACTGTCTGCATGATTTCTGGAAAACTATTGTTGTTTTTTTGCTGTGCCTTGCATATATTTCAATGAATGAGTTACAGCATTTTCAGAATGATGGCACATTTACCCCACTCCTACCCCCTAGACCAAATGCAAAGCATCCTTGCTAGAAAAGCACCTGAAGACCTTTCAAACTTCTGGCATCAAGTGAGCTGCCTCTTCTTTGCATGACTCTTCTCAGTCAAGAAGATTCCCAACCAATGGTCCTGCAGCCGAGTGCAGAACCCACATTCTGCCAGCTCTGTGCTGTTTCTGTGTACAAACCTACCTCTAGTACCTTTGCATCATGTTCCCAGACTGGGGCTTTATTAGCTTGTCATTGTCAAAGCCTCTTGGAAACATGAAACACGAGTGTAATGTCCTTGGGTGAAAGAACAAGTTAGGAAAAGCTAGAAAGCAGTTACTAGCTTGAAACTCCTTAATAGGAGGGGAAGGGCAGAAGAGTCAAAATAAAAAAGAAGGTGGTGATAAAAAGGTAGAGAGGGGTTGTGAGTGCAGAACATTGCATTTTCTCAGTCATTTGCTTCACCAAAAGATCAGGATTCTTTGCTCAAAAAGAAATGTTTTAAGGACAGCAGTCCTGGCCATGACTTGGGATTTCTGCTAGGATTAGAAAACTGCACTGTGCTTAACAGATGTAAAGATCATCAGTTCTGGGACCTCCACATCTGAAAAGCTATGCACTCCTGCCTGCCAAGCAAAAGGTCTGTATGTGATCTGAAGCTCAAGTTTCATCTCAAGCTCTCTGTGTGGTGAAACAAAATGCTTCTCTCCCGTTAATCAGAAATCAGGACTGCTTCACATTCAGTTATGCAGTGGCTAATTTCCACATGTCAGAAAAAGTGATGCTCTTAATTTTTTCATCAAGAATCAATTGTTAGGCTTGAATTTCCAGCTTCTACGGTGATAGAGATTACAAAGCATTGCCAAGGTGACTGATTTCCACAAAACCTCATCTTTCCATCAACTCCTAAAGAGGCATTAGCAATGACCCTGAATAACCTTGCAAACTGAGAGCCACAAAGGACCAGATACAGCATGACAAAACCATGAGAAATGGCATTTTGCAATGACCAGGTTTGTAATCCATGAAGCTAGGTATTTGGATATCTTAGAGTTAGGCATCCTTCTCCTACCAAATTGAAGGGTGTAAAATTATGACCTAGGGAAAACAGAGAAAATATATGAGCCCATATACAGTTAAGATAGTGGCTCCTACTGACATTCAAGTTTATTCCTCTGACAGACCATCAGTTCCTTCTTACTATCCTCCTGCCTGCATTTTTCAGGTGAAACTGGGGCTCTGAATGCATCCAGTTATCTATGAAATTAGAGCAAAAGACAACAATAGGAAGACATAAAACGACTACTGCCATTTTACAAATGCTGAATTGAAGCACTGAGGAATGAACTGCTGTGCTTCAAGTCTGGCTGGCAATGCTAGAGGTGGAATTAAGGCTTTCCTGTATCACATTCCACATCTCAAGCCTCTTTTTGTTGTGTAACTCTTACAGCATGCACATAGTCAAGTGTAAAACCCTCCATTCACAGTCTCTCATTTAGCATACAACATATAATGTTTTGTTAGTAGCTCTGGTAAAGGTGAGTCTGAAAGAAGGCTGAATAATTGAGAAGAACATGAGGTTGAAACTTCACTCACTGTTCTCGGAGAGCTCGACCATGTAGTAGAGAACAGGGCTGTTTCCATCAAAGGGGCGCACCCAGGAGAGCATCACACTGCGGCTGTATGAGGAATTTAGAGTGGCCAGAAGATTCTGAGGGGAATGAGGCAGCTCACTGTGCAGGGTAAGAGAAAGGGAGAAAAAACAGCAGAGAAAAATCAATCTACATTTCATTCAGCAACAGCCTTACAGGCAGTTAAAGGCACATGACATCAGACTCACATGATGATAGATACAAAAACTACCAGCAGCTATCCTCCAATTAAATAAATGAAAGACATCTTGGAATTCTTGACTATCTTATCCTATTTGGCAGAAAAAAATAAATTATGCTGAAAGTCCCAAGGCTGACTCTTAGAACAGCTAATGGAAATGTTGTTAAATGTGGAAAAAAGCCAGTTTTCATACTGGTTTTGATTGAGACAAGTCGGTCAATAAATTTCCTCTCTCACTTTTTTCCCCTTCTTACGATGATATCCCAGCAATGTGACAGCAGTAATACATATGAACAGTAAAACACATGGGAGATACAATTTAACATGGAATTTTTCATACTCAAGGAAGCAGAAGACATTGACACTATCCATATAGAGCTACTAATCAAAATTACCATATGTATTCTTAGGCTACAGAACAGCTTGATTTACTCATGGATTCAGGCTTATCCTGTCATGGGTAGAATCTTTCCTTCCTATAATAAGGATTTTTTTGGAAGCACCCAACCAGAAAATGTAGTGAAAATGCCTGAAGAAACCCCATGGAAATACAAAATGAAACATTTCAAAACCCAGAATAAAACAGCAGCTCAATTAAAATGTGTAATTTCTCCACATAAAGGCAATTTGTGGAAAAAACATTTCTTTTGTACTCATGGCTGCACGGTGCAGTGAGAAAACAAAATTCTGCTGCGTCCCTTAAACGCTCATGTGTACTAAAGGATAAAAGCCCTTCAGCCATTATATTTTAACCTGACTTCTGCACCTTATCATCAGGGTTCCTGAGGAGGACAAGGATCTCAGGGTGAAGGAAAAGCAAGGAGAGCCAGTTTTCACCCATTCAACGTACTTCTCCTACCTAGGAAAGCCGAAGGCAAACCTTCCTCAATGAGTACTACTTCTAATCTGCTCTGGTCACAGCAGAAATCCATGAGGGCACCTCATACGCTTAATCTAAAAATGTAGTAATTCCTGGTTGTAAAATATCATGCAACTGAAGGCTTACAGTTACTTAAAAACCACAACTCCTTAGCCACTCAAAGAAGCAAATAGAGACTGGCTGTAAGCCAGAACAATAAATGTGTCCTAGAGTGGGGTTTTTACTGGAAGACTGAGGAACATATGGAGAGGCAGACAATAGTTTGATTGTTTTTCTGTTAAAATTGTGAATGCTTTTGCTTATGTGTTTATGATGGCCTACACTATGGAGTTAGCACTAAAATAAAAAAGGCATGCACCAATCAGGCTTCGGAGTTCTCATACACAGAAACTTAGGATCTGGTTGCTTTTGGGCTGGAAGAAACACCAGGCACATGAAATGGTATGTATGAGCCCAGAGGAAGCATACTTTGAACACAGCACTGCAAAAGCTTGGAGAAACAAGTTTAGGGAAGAGTGGGACCTGGAAACAAGCTAGGAAGGCAACTGACCTGCAAGGCAAAAATGGTAAAATAAACCTGTCATTTTAAAGCGTGGAGTGGGGGTTTAATATATGGCCAGAGACTACAGGGCCATGCTACTTAATTCTGAATGAAACATCAAATTATAATAAACACTTATCCTCCACTACAATTTATCATTATGCCCTAAGCAAGCTGGTTGGGAAAGTGTTTTTGTGATTAAGGTGGCAAAGGGAATTATTGAAGGAGAGTGAAACATCTCATTGTGACGTGGCTCACAGAAGTCCCAGTCCCCACTTCATTTATCACCAAGCCCTATGAGGAAGAGCTCAGAGATGGGTTGTGGCTTCGGCTTCTTCCAGAAGATGGTCACACAGGGAGCAATGTAGGAGGGATGGCTGAGGTGGAGCTCACAGCAAACTTGTCTCCATGTAACTCCTTTTCTGGGAACTAGATAAACACTCCTAGTATATATTAAGGATATTTTCAGGGCACGCATTTCACTAGTCTTGTTTCCCCACACATTTAGAAGGGCTGAATTAAGAACTCATTTGAGGACAGAGGCTAAATAACTAGGAAAAACTTTACAGCTCAGTCTCTTTCTTATCGTACAAGCCTCAGAAGACTTTTGGAGGAAAGGGGACATTCCCCTTTTCATATTTTTTAAAGCACAAATTGAGTTTAAAGATGGGTTCTGTCTTCCTTAGGATTTGGATTTCTTTGATTATTCTCTTAGCTTGACACAAAATTGTAATCGCTCAGCAGCATGAAGGAAATGGGCACTTTCTGTTCAGACAGAGATTGAGTAGCGTGAGCTGCAGCAGCCATACCCCTATCTCCACTAATATCATATTCTTTAGCCATATGTGTCCACACCAAACAGCAACAGATGGTGCTTACAAATTCAAATCCCTCAAGGCAGACATAACAAGTGCCTAAGAAACACACCTGGACAGAAACAAATATTTAAAACTACACAAACATTTCAGCACAGAAGTGTACTACTTTGTAGTATACAAAAGCAGAGATTAATAAATAGCAATTCCTACTTTAGCAAGCTCTTACACTTTGCCTCCTGCTCATTCGCTACCACATGCTGTGTGGAAGGGATGATAAATGAAACCTGTACCACCATCATGAATATTCACGTTCCCAAAAGAGATCATTGCTTCTTTTTTTTCCTTTAAGAGAATTACTTTTCCTTGATGCTAACATCCAAGAAATCATTGCACAGAATGGTAATTTCAAGAGTTCTTTAGGATGAGAAGGACCGCAGACTAAAATTGCTCAACTTGTGATACACCAAGGAAGCGGATGAGGGTTAGTATAACAACACACAGGGCACAGAAGAGCACTTGAACGGACACTGGAAGTTTAATTCCAGCATGATCATCTTTCTTTTGTTCACTGAAGCCCCAAATAGGAAATACATGAAGGTTTTTCAATATAGGGTATTTTAAGACCTCACTCCTCTAATGAAGAGTTGCATAGAGGCAAGTTTTCCATAACTTATTTTGCATGATAGCAAAATAAGTATACGGACACTTTTAAATCTGTAATTGAAAGATAAGCCCAAGGTTAATGGCATAGCCGCCCAGGTGACCTAAAGGGCCTCTGAAAATGCAATTAAAGTAGCAGATTTGCAAGAAAGGAACGTGAAGTCACTGTGACAATCTAGGAGAGAAATATTAGCTAGCTGCAGATGATACATGTTCAAAACAGAAACCCTAATGTTTAGAGTCAGCTCATCACTGCCAGAGGGCAGCTGAAATATTCACTCAGCAAACACATACAGTGTTTTATAAAATCAGCTAAAAGGAGACTATTTGCTGAGGGAAATAAACCAGACTTGGTTTGGAGAGATTTCTGAGAAAAAGCGTCTAACAGCAGGTAATTAGAGACTGGGACTGAAGAGAGGATTACTCAAAAGGCAAGGGAGATTAAACAAGTTTTCTTGTCAGTTTATAAAAAGTCTCACTCCTATTTTATAAATGATTTCCTAAATCAGGTCCACCACACAAGTTTCACTCAGGAGCAGGTGGTTCATCTGCTAGCCCCGATAACGTGCTAAGATGTTGAGGCAGGAAGCCTAGCAAAGCACTAAGCCTAGCCTGATGGTTTTGCTCATATAAGTTTATAATGTTTTAAATTAAGGGATGTTTCACCTGTTGCTCAGGACTTTCCAATTTCTCTTGCAAAAGAATCTTCTCCAATTTCTAAACACAGGAAGGATTCCTGCAAGGCATCCACGAGTTATGAGGCTTTTTGTCTCTTGCAAGCCTATTTTGAGGTGGACTTGTGAAACTGAAGGTTTGACAAGTCCCAGAGTGCACAGATGTATTTCCCACTTCATTTTGGTGGTCACCACAAACTCAAATCTACAGATGACTGGGAAAGGCTTTTGAATTTTATGCCTTCTTTTTGCTAAAACCATGTTTCTGATATACTTTCAATGATGAACATACACAAATGTATTTCTGAGTGTATTTGGAGGTGGTATTTCTCTTTTGAGTATCAAATGCATTTAGACTCGGCAGTGAACCTTACTTCTTGGATGACACCTCAACAGAGCGCTTGGAAAAATAAGCAGAAGCTTTCTTTCTATTGAGGAGGGACTAGTATATTTTCAAGTTTGACATCCTTCCTGTTTTCAGTCCCTTCAGAAAGAGAAAGAGATGGGCTACTGGATCCAAGGGATATGGGATCTATATGAAAAGTTTGCAATAAGACATCATTCTGACTTATTACTCTGCACTGCTCTTACTTATTTTACTTTTATTAAATCAAGCCTTTTTTTTTCTGGGATATATTGGGGGGAAATTTGGAAAAGTAGCAATACTCTGGTAAAAAGAGCATCAAAATTCATGTATAAATGACTGACAAAGGCAATACTGCGCATTCCTGGCAACCCACTGGGTTTTATTGTAACTGGTTACTCCCCTCACCTGCTTTTGATGAAGACAGAACGATAATAGTTCTTTCTCTCGTGAAAGAGAACTGAAGATGATGAATTTGCTGCCAGGAATAAATTGTCTATTTTTATATGACTTTGTCCTCCCCATATTTTTGCATAGAGAAAGAACCTAAAAGATTTTACTGTATGTTGTGACATAACAGAGGCTTGTACAGGGCTTTGATTTTCCAACAATGCAGCATTACCATACTTCTCAGTCACATTCATACAACAAAGAGTTTCTTGAGTACGGACTGCAGACAGATTGATATTGAGCAGCAGTTATCATCACGCATAGACAGTGGTAATTCTGCATATTTTATATACACTGGGAACCCTCAGGATACTTTAAGCTGGAATCGGTACAGTTTCCTGTCAGGTGAGTGATACATGGTGATAACTCAGTTTTTTGCAGCTATTTTACCCTCTGTATACATTTCAGGATGGTATTTACAGGACTATAAAAGTAAACTAAATGAAGATGGGATGTTTCATAACATAATTACTTCCAGGATCAAATTCTATGACTTGTAGGAATGCAAGAGAAGCACAAGCTCATCGACAAAAGACCTGCAAATGTTTCTGTATTTGCAGTGAAGAAGCTGTAGTAGGAAAGGGGGAAAAAAGGTAAGTAAAAAATTAAAATTTCTCTCTTGCAGAACAGAAACATCACTCGCAAATGTTTCACCTCGTGCAAATCAAATCAAGCAACGTACATGAAGAATAAACACATTTAGAGGGAAGACAAATGAATGACTAGAGTATCTTGACTAGCAATTAGTTTCTGTGCCCAAGTACCATCAGTGAAAAATTGATGAGCGAGGTAACCTTTGGCTGCACTTTAGCAAGTTCTTCATTAGTTTTCTGGCTTTCCTTTTCAAATATTTTACCTCATCATAGACACACTGAGAAAAATAATCCACCCTGCTTGCACCACCAAAGTATACCATGCTGTGCTATAAACCTGTGTTCCTTTAACAAGAAATGGTACCTTTTCCCTCAATCCTGTCTTCCAACAAGGGAAGACAAAGGAAAAGAATAGTTTTCTTCCCTTCTTTTCACAGATTAGAAAACCAGACCACTCAGAGATTAAATAACTGAAGGTCACCCTGGAGGGTAATGGTTTTGAATTGAATCAGTTTGAATAGAAATCAGTAACAAACTTATTTGTGCCTTTGGAAATTCCTCTTGACATACCTCTAAGTAGAGGAGGGACATGCAGGTTCCTGGGGGATAAAAGGTGATGAGACAATTGCAGTTGTCAGATGAAGCTAGGTACGCTATGATATTATCCGTTGGTAGACTGCTCCAGTCTATAATTGGTTGAGAGGCCTCCTTTGAACATTTGCCTGACATTAGTGCTATTCAAGGCACTGAAGTGTAAGTGCTCATCGATGGGAATGTACATGCCCTGTTTGTTAATGTTCTGCACAAGAGAATTATCCGGGAGAATAGGGGATGTTATAGATCTGTCATTCATATACAACCTAGAATTTAATTTAAGCTTTACTTCAGACATTTCCTTTCCACATATTTTCTTCTTCATTTCACTTCTGTTGTATCATGTATCTCTATTTCTTACAGATTTGTGCTGCTGAGCCACACTATGATGATGAAAGCAGCAAAGGAATGCAATGTTCTTTGGCATTATTGCACTACCTGCAGCACTACTTTGAAATAAAATGTCACAATTCAAGGTATGATGGAGTGACTTATCAGTTACAGTTACTAAAAGAGTGAGTCTGATTTATTTCTTTAATTCCTTCAGGAAAAAGAAGCGATAGGTGATGGGTAACAGTAGATTGGAGGAAGCAGAGATAGGGGCTTAAGAGCCAATCCCAGTGTATGGAGAGCCAGCCAACACAAGTGGAACAAGCTGGGGTGTAAGAAAGGCAGCCTCAGCAACATACACAAGATGTGCCTCTCCAAGCTAAATTCTAGTCTGAATTTTATGGAGTATAAAACTGTTCCTCAGTGGTCAACAGGGAACTGCAAGTAAATACACCTGCTGGGCTGTACTGGGTAGTGTAGGGCATCTTTTGTTATTTAGGATTAAGAAATGGTTAGACTGCTGAAGTGTTTAGCACATATTTATAGCTTTGCTTCAAAATCCAAGTTTTAACATTCTTCACTCCATAATTTTCTGCCCTCCATTCAAAAAATGCCTCAGAGAAAAGCAAGTATGATTATATAGTTGCAATATGTTTTGAATTGTCTTCTGCTCTTGGATTCAAACCAGCAGTAAAATGCACTCCGGCAGGAGAGCTGAGGAGTGCTTAATTAGAGAAAGGATGTATGACCACTCTCTGAAAATGGGCATCTGACCCGGCACTGTCACAGTAATGCTGTACAAACAGCCTTCTGCATAGCGGATCTCGGAGGTGAATTCATTACACTGCCAAGAGAAGTTGCCATTTTCTCAGAGAGATCAGGCATGACCAGCAGAAACAGATGCAATTTTAGTTAAATTAAAGCATGTGGCATTACTCAAATAACACACACACAAAAAGTCTACATAAAACATTACCTCCTTATTCATTTGATCTGCTCCACACATGTACCAAAAGCACAGTTGTTGCTTTTAGTGATAAAAATAAAAGGGAAGGGCACTTCCCCCCAGTGGAATAACAGAAATGTGGAACCCCATAATGACATTTTAATAAACCTTCTTCAGAATAGAACTGCACTTTAAACATTTTCTTGGTTTTATTTTTAAAGATCCTTAGGAATAAAGAAAGATGTACATAAAAATATTTTTCCCCTGAAAAACAACATATAAAGAGAATGCAAGAGTAAGCAATGCCTGTCCAGGGACCAGCGAGTCTGATACATGCTTAACTGAGAAAAACTACTAAAAGGAGGAAAACGTTTTTGGACAATCCTGGCATCACAGCACAGCACCTGGGCTTCATGGGAAGGCCTTACAGCCTGGGGATGACAGAAGGATTCAGGCTGGAAGGGACCTCAGCAGGTCTCCTGGTTCAACCTCCTGCTCCAAGCAGGGTCAACCATGGGATCAGATCAGTTTATTCATTCTGGTCTTTAATAAGACTGGAGACAATATTCAAGTTGTAGACTAGTAAGTGCAATAAAAGGGGGTAATTATCAATCTACTATGCTTGCGCTACCCATTTTTGTTGCCAGGGCACATGGCTGGCTCTCTACCAAGATCCCCAGTTTCTTTCCAGAAGAACTGCTGCCAGCCACTGAGTATTACTACAAAAGATTATCCCTCCTAGATGCAGACACTGTATTTATCCATGGTGAATTTCATAAGGTTCTTGTTGGCTCATTTCTCAGCCTACTGCCCTCTGAATGGTGGCCCTGCCCACAAGTGTATCAACTGTCCCCCATCCATTCTGTGCCATCCACAGACTTGTTGAGCAACTTCAGCGCCTCCTCCAGGTCACGGATGTTGAAGGGGGCATGTCCCATTACACTCCCCTATTGGCTACAAGTGGACCACCACCTCTTAATTGCTATCCCCTGAGCTCAATCACCCAACCAGATCGGTATGTACATGTTGTGATTTGGAGAGAGAACTTCCAAGGCTCCAGCTGTTTGGTGTGGGATGGCAGCATGCAAAAGAAGGACATTTCAAGGCAATTTGATCAGGAACGAACTAGGCCTAATGTCTCCTCAAAAGCCCCACAACAAATATCAAACTTAGAAGCTCCCAAGATCACTAGAATGAAATGCTAAAAAAAAATGCCCAAGTGTATCTGAAACGAAACATAGTTTGTTTAAGGAGGAATACTCACATCACTTCTAGTCGAGCCATTCTGGAGTCATTTCCTCCAAGAGAAATGACCTCACAGGTATAGTCTCCAATGTCACCAGACCATGTCTGACTGATGAGGAGGGTGCCATCTTTCTCTACTGTGATCCTGGAAGTGCTGGATGGATTTATTACAACACTGTCCTTCTTCCAAAGATACCTATGTATTGCAATATTTCAGTTATTAATTACTCATAAGAGCATCAAAACAGATTATTTGAACCGTGATGTAAGGTACCAGCATCTGTAATCACACACTGAAAACGACAGGCTCCTACAGTTACTTTCAGGATCAGTGTCGAATTTAAGTTTCAGATCACTGATCAGAATGAGAAATGTAATTGCATCCAAGATACTATGTATTTTATAAACAATGCTATGTGTTTTACATGGAAAAAGTCCAGTACTCATAAATGTCCAAGTTCTTATACCACCTGTATCAGCATTTTAAACTAACCATCACACTGTTACTTTCAGGATCAGTGTCGAATTTAAGTTTCAGATCACTGATCAGAATGAGAAATGTAATTGCACCCAAGATACTATGTATTTTATAAACAATGCTATGTGTTTTACATGGAAAAAGTCCAGTACTCATAAATGTCCAAGTTCTTATACCACCTGTATCAGCATTTTAAACTAACCATCACACTCTGCAATTAACAGCTGAGGTGTTGGCCTATCTCTGCTAAGGCTTTAATAACATTAGACTACCATGATCAATAACATCATGAAACGCTGTGGCAGTTTCCATCAAAACACTCACAGAGATGACTATAGCCCATGGTCTTACAATTAGGTATATCTACATGATGTATATACACCTGGATTTCTCTTTCCAAAGTTCTTTCTGCACTTCACCTGTCTAGCACCCTTCAAGCTGTACCTTGCATTTTAGTGTTGCTTTCAGACTACATGAATTTTCATGGCAAATTTATTTTAAAATTATGAGCTTCCTCTAAACGCCCTAGTGAAAATTTTAATAGTTCAGGCAAATTCTGTTTTCCTTTACACAGTTAAAGCAGAATATAGCCCCTAGTTATTAAGTTGTTTCCAAGAACATGGGCATCTCTTGTGCAGCTTTCACGCACTCTAACGTAAACACTTCAGCAATCCTATTCCTTCTCTTTGACTTTTACTCTCATTAAGTATCAGCTTCTGACAAGTTGGTTTTATTGATAGTGTATTAACCTTGACAGTAAAATCATGAAAGGCTATATTGAAGTCATGAAGTGGAACATAGCTCATTGTAAATAATATATAAGACTGAAATGGAAGATGAAATTTATATGATTAATGATACAGTGTACAACTTTATAATGCAGTAATCAGGGGTCTGGTTAAAATCTGGGGTCCTGAAACTTTTCACCTAATGCTATTCATATAGCTTATAAAATTAAGCTTGGATAAACCACACAAACAAGAACTGACATTACCAACCTGATTGAAATTCTAGGATCATGAGTTGCTTCACATCGCAGAGTTGCTGTGGTTCCTTTGATCACCGTGCTATTCTCAGGAGGATGAACAATGACAGTGCGATCTGAAAGGAACACAAGTCATAGTACAGGTGAAATTACAGCATTTTGACTTGGGTATTCACTCAGAGAGCAGTCAGCTTAACACCTGTCACTCAAAGCAAGCAGGCTATTCCTCTTCAGGTCTTCACTAGGAAGGCTCCCCTCCCTTTAATGTCATCGTGTCAAGAAGAGGTGGTAGGCTGTGGGGTGCAGAGAAGCAAACACAGCAGAGGGTATGAGTCTAAGTTGGCAGTGATTTGGATAGGAAGAGTGCTAAAGCTCTTTCACTTGTCTTATGGTAAACACTGATGTCAACTCCCTACAGTCATAAGGCAGCAAGTATGTTTGTAATGCATTATGAACGAATCCAAACGTACACTGAGTCAAGAAAGAAGTCACACTGTTTGGAGAAGGGAAAACAAACAAAACCAAAGAAAATCTGTGCAAAGAATGCAACAGAAAAATACCCAGAAAGAGGAAAACCTAAATGGCACCCTACAATCTTGTCAAATGCAGGAAAGAGGTTAAAGAAGGAAGAGCTTCTGGTAGTCTCATTTTCCCATATAAGAAAGATTTGCTGTTTATCCAAATTTTTCAGAACATCCTTTTTCAAGGACCTCCTGAAGACCCAGAACACAGTAATTGCTGTAACTACAGCAACCAGATCTGGTGTGAAAGATCTCTGTTATGCTTAACACACAGGAACAGCAGCAGATAACATCAGCTGAAGCAGTTAGCCAACTAGGATGAGTACGGAAGATATGTGGATAATGTTAGTCAGTCCCGAATCCCTACAGAGATAATCAAGGTCTACTGAGATATCTAATAGATGCACAAGAAGTCACCAAAAGCTACGTCTAATAACATGAAATTTTTATCATTATTCCTGATGTACTTACGTATGCCTTCTAGGTTTATAATGGTGCTGTTGCTACACAAATATTAGGTTATAGTCACTTTTCTTTTCCCTCTCCAATGCAATACAATGAACCAGAACTATCTTTAATACATAGAAGAACCATGACTTAAGGACCTCCTTCACTTGATCCATATACCTGGCTATCACTCAATTTACAACATCCTGATACATATACCAACCTCATATTGCCGGTAAGATACAAATATGGCCATATGACACAAGCACATTTCATTTACTGCCAGTATTGTTTTCAGACATTCCCAAATTCAAAGGGAAAACATGTTGATTTAACTTGCAAAGTTTGGGGATTAAAAATGCCAAATGTGCACCACACATGAGAAGCATTATCAGTAGTTTAAGTTCAGGAAAGGAGAGAAGGCCACAACACTTCTGTATTTATCACCATCATCTTCACAGGTTTTAATTATTTTCACAGTTCCAGCTCAGGGCTCATTATTTCCTACCCTTAGTAGCAAAAAAAGACATTTTACACTTAAGCTGAACTCATGAGTAACACAGGTGAACCTGTTGGATCAGACTCTCTTCCCCAACAGAAGAAAGAAAAAAAATAAAGATCAAGGGCAAATAGTGAAGGAAAAAAATCATTTCATGGGTTGCTCTGTGCCGTGCCAATCTGCAGCATGAGAGGATAGCTGCACTGTGGTTTGGTTTCAAACAGTGCCCAGGACCACAAAGAAATACAAAGGTATGAGGAATATCATACCCGCTGGAACTGTGGCCACAGCCTTAGTAACAGCATAGGCTGGTCTACACTGCGCGCAGAGTCCTGGAGTCAAAAACCAGTGGCAAATAGCCAGTTAAAAGGTCTGATCTGCAATGCAAGATTCAGTAAGGCAAAACCTGAGTCAAACTGTAGTTGTGATTAAAACTATATTTAAATACACTTCCCTTCACAAAATATAAGAGTTTATATGCACAATTTTACAAACAAAAAGGGTATTTTTTATAGGTTTCCTAAAATAGAGACATTATTCTTATTAAATCATACAAGTATCTCTGTTAAATAGAAAAGTATAATTACTCATGAAATGTTCCTGAGCACACAGCAAAAACTGATTAATACTTGATTAAAGTTAGACTTTAAACAAAGCATTATCCTTACTCCAGACTGTCAGCATCACAAAAGCATTCAGAGCTCCTTCAGAGTTGACTGCACAGCAAGTATAATTGCCAGCATCCTGAAGGAAAACGGGTGTTATCTGGAGCCCTCCAGATTCAAGAAGAATGAACCGAGGAATCCGAACTGAGCCACTGGCTAAGATCTGGCTTCCTGAAACACAGAAGAGAAAAACAGCGTGATTAGTGTCACGTAGACTGCACAGACTAAGCACTGCAATTCTGGTCCTTCCAAAAAGACTATTACAGACTATCCAGGCCATTGGCTCACAACAGCCCCACAACAAACCTTCTGCTTGCAGAACCAGAGAAATGAAGAAATATGCACTAAATGGATCTACAGCATCTCAGTAATAGGAAAGGACAAGAAAACATGGATTACAGCTTTTCTACAACTTAATAACTGGCTAACCTTTCTTCCAGGAAATGGCGGGTTTTGGAGCCCCTGAAACTTCACAGGCTAGCACGGCGGTCATCCCCTCCGTGACAGTGGTATCCTCTGGAGGCTGTATAAATGCTGGTTTAATGTCTGGAATCAAAAATTCAAAAACCTCAATGCATCAGCTACCAGAAAGATCCTTTAGTTATTATCATGGACTATTTTACATCTGCTTTTATGGAGCTGATCATGGAGAAGGACATGACAGTAATACATGAAAACCTTTCAGCAGTGACTGTAACCTTTCATTATTCATCTCCTAGGAATTGCCTAATTCAGTTTATTACCTGCATGGAAAATAAAAATCTATCAGCGCTTGTACATGTACAAGTAAGATGTCTTTTAGAAAAAAGAAGATAAACTTCAAAATGGGTGTTTGGGGGGAAGTTGAGAAATCTAGATAAACAAAATTATTTTCTTTCATCTTCATAACAGAGCTCTTTAAGATGAAAAGCAACTTGAGAAAGGCATTAACTTTGAAACTTAAATGTCAGCCAAAAGAATTTAGAACCTGAGTCTTATCCAAGACATTTCCCAAATTTCCTTCTTCCTTATTTCCCCCCAGTTGCATTTTTTAATGTTTTTCTCCTGCAGTTTCCTAGATATATACTGATCTGGAGATGATCTATTTTCTGAGGCCAGTAGGAATACTGGTCAGTATGTGCAAACTGCTCTTGGGCTAAAAATCAGTTTCCTGAAGAGAAGTGAGAGTATTATAAATGGCTGCTAATAACTGCCTTTAAAATAGACTACTAAGATTTGTAGTTTTTCCATAGAGATAAATGTACGTCATTAACAAAATCATTTGGTCAGACATTTTGGCCAAAAAAAAGGCATTTAGCCTGAACTTTCTTTCTTTCCCCTACTAAATGTAGTTGTAGACAAAAGGTAGATAAAATGATAAGATGCACAATCATGAAGCAGTAGCTCAAATTCAGAACAGAATTACATTAGAGTAGATCTAAATTATTTAAGAATAAAGGGAAGATAAAAGTATTTCACAATTTACCTTTTTTTTTTTTTTTTTTTTTTGCTTTTCACTGATTTCTCCTTTTGTAGTGTGAAATAGAGTTCACCTCAAACCCTTACTGTCAAAGTTTTTCAGGCTTCAGCAGATTGTGTTTAAGCCACAGAGGGCATTTTGGGGTACCTTACAGCTAGGGCGGATACACCTGACAAAAATCAAGGTTCTATGAGTTGAACTACAGCAGCACAGAGCAGGGGAGAAGTCTGATGGATACAGAGTCACCTATAAGGGAGTTGTTACAAGACAACTCACTGATCTCATATCACAGCTCCTTACTCACTGGTCACATCCAGGTAGGTGTATGTCTGTATCTCCCCAGCTTTATTACTAGCAAAACACTGGAAGATTCCAGCATCCTGAGGATGCAGCTTGTGGATCCGGAGCCCACCACTCAGCAGTACTTTGTAGCGGGGGTTTTCCAGCTTGCTGAGGGGAACAGAGTCCTTATACCAGACAAGGGTGGGAATGGGAACACCTATTAAAGAAAGAAGAATAATTTCACTATTAGTTTCTGCAAAACATGGTTTAGGTAGTCAAAATACCTAGCACTGTTGTAGCCATATCCCTTCTGCACCAATTATTTATATTTTTACAAGCTGGTTTTGATAAAAGGAGGCTGCGTCTTACATTATCAATGGTAACAATACACTGCAGAACATGTGGGAATAAAACCAGCAAATAGTAAAAGGGGGAATGTTGAGAAAACATGTTATCAAATTACTTTCCTCACCCAATCATATTTCATGCTACTACAAAATAAGATTTACAGCAATTTCATGTTGAAAGCCAGAATCATGCTACTTAAAGAGCAGCAGCGTGGCAATGTAGCAATTCTGTAAGACTTTTCCATCCCAAATAAGATTTCTCTGTGCTACTGTAATGAAGATGTCAAAATAAAAAGGAAATGGCAAATTACACATAAAAAATTAAGTGCTCACATGGCTGTATCCAAGCCCTAATTTGGCAGCTTAGTTTGAGCTGATGTACAAAGAGCATGTTGCCAACAATGGGACAGCTTTAAATTATTTTAATTTTTATTCATTCTCAAGCTTCACCTGTTATTTAACAAATGCAGACATTAGGAGAAACAAAAATTCTACCCTAAATATCACTTGCAGTTCCATTTATTCCTATTTTCTTTCATGTGCATGTTCTACAAACCCTGACACAGTTATTTTATGCATCTTTTTGCTGCAGTCATAACCCAGTCAGCTGGGATGAAGTGGCTATAAATTCAGTATATACAAACAGTGTAGGATTATCTTTTCTTCAAGAGATGTTGTGGCCTAGGACAGTCATACACAGATGTTCCCATCCAGCTCCTCTTATCATTCAATGTTTTATCTTTACATCCCAGAAATCCTTAACTGATCAAATGCTGAGGGCCCTATGCAGGGATCTGAAGCGAAGCATATATTTTGTGATTAGATAATCACAGGATCACAAGGGTATCAAACTGATTTAAGTTATCTCGGCTCCAAACATGGCATTTTCACAATTGGTAGGTATTTTTGAATACTTCTCACTTGAAACCTCAGAGCTTCACATTCCCTTGTAATAAGGGAAGTAACTATGGACTTAAATTCATGGATGAGTGCAATTTGCCTAAACAGAAAAAAGCCAGGTATCACAGAAGTATTAAGGATGGGATGTCACTGATGAATTGAGTGTCTGCAGACAATGAATCTTACTGCAATGTAGGCAATGACTTAAGGGTTCTCACAGTGAAAGCACTATGGGAAGATCTATATTATCATCCTTATAATTTTATAAATCCTTAAGTTAAATACTATTGTATTATACTTCCATTCATATTTTCTCTCAGTGTACTTATACAGACAAAAGCTATACTAACTCCTGGAGAGAAAGTACAATGTATGGGAGGACTGAAAATCAACACTGAATTGCTCCTGTTACTTTCATAAACACACATAATTTACTACAATAATCTCTGATGCTTTTGTTCTGCTGATAAAATAAAATGTACTCATAATCCTGACGGTAATCATCTCAGGAAGAAATTCACTACATAGAACGCACTGCCTGACAGAAGATAGATGTAGTGTATGCTTGCAATAGGCATAATTTAAATTTCATACAACAGCCCATATACAGAATTAGCGTAAATTTCAGTGTTCAGAATTCTCGGTGAGAGTGTTATTCATCTCTTGAAAATCCTCCTGGGCAAATACAAATTATCACTGAGTAATGAAGAAACAGATGATGCAAAATGGAATAGTTCTCCTGATGCTGAGAAGCCTGGAAATGATTTCAAGTTTAAATAATAGCAACTCCATTTTCGCACATATTAGCCTTGATAGGCACCTAGGAAATAATGAAATCCTGCATTCAGTACCCTCGAACCTTTAACACTGGTGTCATTCCATAAATCCCATTCTACTAACAGTATTGGCAAACCTTCTAATCCTATAGTCACTGAGAAATACACCTTACTATCACCAACTCAGCTGACAAACCGAATATTACCATCTCTATTTTTCTGTATTTCAGTTACAGATATCTTCTACTCAAAGCTATGAGTCTGAATAATAGGATCTTATCTAAGCACTCTGATGCCCGTCAGCAGCATTCATTTGGGCTGTAGTGATCTTCCCAGAGATATTTATCTTCCAAGTTGCATGCATTTTATCACTTTGCTACCTCTTTGGCTGTAAGAATGGTTCAAACCAGCTTCCTTTCTTCTCCTGCTCTCCTACCCACAGCCTTTCTTCTCCCCACACTGCCAAAAGAATTTTGTTTCTTTTCCTCTCTAAACACTGCTAGTAAAAAAAATATGAACAGAAGAAAACACTTTAAAGATCTTTTGGGTTATACTTTTCTACCCAGGCAGCATCAATCCCACCTTACTGTTTGAGAAATTAGAGTGGTCTAAAAGACTAGTAACAAATAAAATAAGCTTATTTCTCAGCATGTATGCAGCACTATTCTTTCACTCACAGACAAATCAATCTAGTGTTATGGAGGAAATGGCAAGGCAGGAACCTTAGACTCTGGTGCTGGCTCTGCCACTTTCTCTCTAACCTTGGACAAATGATTTACGCAATCTGAGGCGCAGTTTTCCCACCTGCCAAATTTAACTTACTTAAGAACCTGGATAAAAGACTCAAAAGATTCACTCTGTCATTTTTGTTATTTATTTTTTATGGCCTTCTCTAGATCCCAGTGGGTTACTGGGGAATCCCCAAAGCATCTTTGCATCTTCTTGTCTAAACAGGTAGAACTAAAGTCCAATTAACTGCTCTCCCTAGACACCACCACCGCTGCCTGCAGCTCTAAACTTTCTATAAGCAAATAAGAAAAAGCATTCAAAGGAAAGCCATTGAAAATGCAGGCAGCATCAGCAGCTGCTGAGAGATATACAGCAGAGCATGGTTACCGTGCAGCCTGATACACTGGAACTCCATTACAGGGAAGTATAAAGCTAGTCTGTGCAAGTTGCAATTTTATTTACAGTTAATCTCTGTTTATACTGTGGAATTAATCTGTCTCTCACACATTCAAAGTGCACCAAGACTTGGCAAATGGTCTTTGTGCACAGAACTTGATGGGTCTGGGGGAAATAGAATCTATCTTCCTATTTGTAGCAAAGATACAGGGAAGCTTTGCAGTTCCCCATGTACTTTATTATAGCTCCTAGCTCAGAGCAGGGAGGCAGCCACCTTCATTTACCCTCTTTTTAAATGCTGGCGACTGCCAGATTTGGGTAATAATGGATCAAAACTCGCTATTTAACATTAGCACCTGCCCTTTGTAGTCTGTATTACAGATACTTAGCAAAATAAGAGGTTTCCATGCTCCTGCACCACATTCATCAGCAAATTGGATGTTCACTAGAAGAGTTCAGCGTTTTGTCTAGTAAGGGTTCCCATATAGAATCATAGAATGGTTAAGGTTAGAAAGGACCTTAAGATCATCCAGTTCCAACCCCCTGCCATGGGCAGGGACACCTCACACTAAACCATGGCACCCAAGGCTCTGTCCAACCTGGCCTTGAACACTGCCAGGATGGAGCATTCACAACTTCCTTGGGCAACCCATTCCAGTGCCTCACCACCCTCACAGTAAAAAATTTCCTCCTTATATCCAATCTAAACTTCCCCCATTTAAGTTTTAACCCATTACCCCTTGTCCTATCACTACAGTCCCTGATGAAGACTCCATCCCCAGCATCCCTATATGCCCCCTTCAGATACTGGAAGGTGCCATCTCCAGTAAGACCCCATCTTTTGAAGTCCCTATTAATCCCCTTGGGAACTAAACTGCTCAGAGTTAGGGTAGAAGGAAGAGTTAGAAATCAACCTCTTCCCAATTCTTCCAGGTTTAGGGTTTTTTTGTTGTAATAATGAAAGATATCTGAGACAGCAGGTAGGGTTTTTCAGTAACATAGTCCAGAGATTCACCAAACAGTTGTGCAGCACTGAAATAAAAATACCTCAAAAATGCTTTTTAACTCAATTTCTCTAACAATACGACAGTTAGATTTAATTCTGCTACTTGAGATATCTTTTCCCATGAGAAAAAAAGACAATATATTTGTAATAACGCAGGCTGAAACATGAGGTTGGTGACACACAGTCAGAATAAATGTCTAGCTAGTTACATCCTTTGGAATCCTCCTGTCTTGGATGCTCAGGCACAAAACTCAAGAGCAGTCCAAGGACAGAACGCTATTTCCACGTTCTCAGCTCTGGTCATCTGTGCTTCAGCTATTTCCTGAGCCAGAGGTTGCATACACACAGCTCTCTTTAACAGTGCTTACTGGGGTTTTCTAACATAAATTTTGTTTTTCTAAATAGTTTCTATTTCCGGGCAGCTACACTGTTAGGAGGTACCTCTGTCCGGGTCACCACGCCCTTTCAGGCCAGCAGAAAGGACGTTTCCTTTGCTTTCTGCCGAGGGGCCGCCATCCTTTTGCCCCTTCTCTCTGGCCAGGGGCTGAGTTTACTTCAGGATTCCCGCCCAAACTCCCTGAGGCGCCACGCGCCGTTCCCGCCCTCGGGGCCGCTCGCGCTCCCCTGTCAGGCACCGCTGGGTGCTGAGGGGACGCTGGGGCTGCTCCGTGCCTCCGGTCCCTCAGGAACGAGACTCCTGGGCTCTGCGTTTCCCCCACGCTGCAGTGCTGAAGGCTGCCTCTCCGGAACATTCACATCAGTAAACGGTACAGTGTCTCTTATAACCTCATAGCTTCATTTTCATAAGAATCTGATCAAAGGCTTCTGAAATCTTAAGTCAGTCAGAGCACCCTTACACACGGTTGCTTATCACACTGCTTGCAAAGCTTCCATCTAGAAAAGCAGTGTTGGGTCTTTCCTACGTAAAGCATTGAAAAAAATGCTTAAATCACAGTGGAAATATTATAATCACACAACAAATAACTTTATTGGCACTGATCAGGAGAAAGAACCCATCCAAACAAGCTCTTAGTTAGGTTTGAGTGTTCCTTTAATCAAGGTTGTGTACTTTCTGCCTAAGGATCTCATGACACTTTTATGTGTATTGATTGTTAAACTCAGCTTCGGGGAGAGTGAGACAACAGGAACGTCAGTCACTTGCCAAAGTCATGGAGCAATTTGGTGCCATGGGCAGACGTGCTCTGATCACAAGATGTCTCCTGTCTCACCAGAGTGCTAAAACAGGAGATGCTTCTATTTCTCTGGAACTGAATCTTAAAATCCGCTTTGTTTTAGGTGGAATTCCAGACATCTGAAGCCTTCTATGTTATTAAAACCTGTCAATTAAAAGCTGCCTATTATAGACCTCCTGCGGCATTCTTAACTACATTTAAATGCTACAGTTACTGACATTTCTATTTGTATGAAAGTTCCATAATGTTTAGAAAAAAGAACATTTGAACTGTTGACAATACTGCTTACATTGCAAATGATAGGTTCCATAACCACACGTTCACCTCAGCTGGTATTCTGGCTCAGGAGAATGATGCCTATTATATAGTGACAGCTAAGCAGCAAAGGCAGGCTACCAGAGGGAAAGGAGTAGAAGTTGCCCTGCCCAACAGACAGACATGAATGTGCCAGCATTACCTGTGTGAAGTGCACTACAAAGTCTGCCCAATTTTCCAAGGGCAAAGTCCGTCCTTCTCCCTTGTACCTGGGCTCTGTGATGATAAGCAACAAGGCAGAAGCCTTCAAACATTAAAAGTTTCTGTAAGATGCTTTCTTCAGTACTGGATATCACAGTATCACAGTATGTTAGAGATTGGAAGGGACCTCAAAAGATCATCTAGTCCAATCCCCCTGCCGGAGCAGGAACACCTAGATAAGGTTACACAGGAACGTGCCCAGGCGGGTTTTGAATGTCTCCAGAGAAGGAGACTCCACAACCTCCCTGGGCAGCCTGTTCCAGTGTTCCGTCACCCTCACTGAGAAGAAGTTTCTTCTCAAGTTTAAGTGGAACCTCTTGTGTTCCAGTTTGTACCCATTGCCCCTTGTCCTATCATTGTTTGCCACTGAGAAGAGCCTGGCTCCATCCTCGTGACACTCCCCCTTTATATATTTATATACACTAATAAGGTCACCCCTCAATCTCCTCTTCTCCAAACTATAGAGACCCAGCTCCCTCAGTCTTTCCTCATAAGGGAGATGCTCCACTCCCTTAATCATCTTAGTTGCCCTGCGCTGGACTCTCTCCAGCAGGTCCCTGTCCTTAAACTGAGGGGCCCAGAACTGGACACAATATTCCAGATGAGGTCTCACCAGGGCTGAGTAGAGGGGAAGGAGGACCTCTCTCGACCTACTAACCACCCCCCTTCTAATACACCCCAGGATGCCATTGGCCTTCTTGGCCACAAGGGCACAGTGTCGGCTCATGGTCACCCTGTCGTCCACCAGGACCCCCAGGTCCCTCTCCCCTACACTGCTCTCTAACAGGTCGTTCCCCAACCTATACTGGAACCTGGGGTTGTTCCTGCCCAGATGCAGGACTCTACACTTTCCCTTGTTATATTTCATCAAGTTACTCCCTGCCCAACTCTCCAGCCTGTCCAGGTCTCGCTGAATGGCAGCACAGCCTTCTGGTGTGTCGGCCACTCCTCCCAGCTTAGTGTCATCAGCAAACTTGCTGATAGTACACTCAATTCCCTCATCTAAATCATTGATGAATATATTAAATAATACGTATCTATATTATAGATATCCAAGATGGAACACCTATGCCCACTTACCCATTGCCTGGCACAGAATGTCCACGTCTTTGTCTGCTTCAGCCAAAATCACACTCTCAGGTTCAGCCGTGAAATACGGTGGTTCTTTAGAATAGGGAAAGCAAACAGGAGTAAACAAGCAAAGTCACAGCAAAATGAAAAACTGCTACTGATTTAAAGATATCAATCCTGTAAATCCCCCACACATACTGCATCTAATAGTGTGTTGCAAACAGACTGGTTTCTAGTCTCAGTGTCTTCTAAGTTTGTCTCTATTTGGAGGGATTATTTTCAGTAGTAAAAATATCATTAAAAAAGCCAACCATTTTTTGCTGCATGGAATTCCAGAGAGTTAGTTCAATGTAAGATAAGATTTAGGGGTTTGCACTGCAAATTAATACTCAGAGCAGGGGCTACTTTTCATTTTATATATGAATCATGGAAGATTTTAATTCTTTGTTCAGAAAGGCCCTCCCAAGGGGTTTATAAAGGTTTATTTTTACAACACACCATTTTATAGGGTAGTTTGCTTCAGTGTCTGAACTAAATTCCACCTCTTGAAGGCATGAAGCATGTCAAATAAAGTACCATAGCATGTCAGGGAGCTGGCAGCAGAGGACAAGTGCAGCATGATTAAAAAAAATTCTTCTCAACTGTTTTATTTCTTGAAAGCAAACAGATTTAATGCTTTAATTGAAGTTCTAGTAATAGTAATAAAAATCCACACTTTATCATTAGGACTAAAGAAAAGATATTAGACATTTAATTAACGAAAGACAAGATTTCAGAAATTGTAGAGTATGCTGTCATGTAACTCTTTCTTCTATGCAGCATAAAATTGAAGAGCATCATGTCAAAGTCCCACAGGCATTAAGGTTGCAGTAATTATCATGGTAACTAAAAGCTGTCATAGTCTGTTCAATGCAATTATCATCTGAGCACTGTTTTTAGAAGTATTTTATTTGATTATAACTAAAGTTTTATTGTAGTGTAGACAAACTTACTCATATGTTTTAGAAAATACATAAGAGACAATAATAAGTAGCTTCTGAGAACAAGTTATTCAGGTTTGCAGTTTTAAGGAAATCAAGTATGTTTGAAAAAACATAGTACGTTATAATGAGATCCAAGGTCATCTGAGCTAACCTTTCAAATCTCTTCACCAGACACGTCTAAAAACCAGATGTGCAGTTTGTATTATCAATAGGACATTAATATTTTCTTAAATAAAACCAAATCACGTCATTTCATCCTGCAAAATCTTATTTCTCCTGTTGCCACCTGCATGTAATAAGCATTGCCACCATCTCACAGGGATGACATGACATGCCAGCAGGTACACATCAGTAAGCATCAGATTAGAACACAAACCCCCCCTTTCCTAGCCCTTCTTCCCACTAACTACAGTAAAATACTTGCTGGAGTATATAGAACAGGGGTCTTATTTGAGCACCAGTGGTGATTACAATTCTGTATCCATCCCAAATAAAGTCAATCAATATAAGTCTTAAACATCCTGCGCAGAGGAGGAGGGGAGGTTGCAGGATAGCCTGGAATACTCATTTACCCAGCAAAACCAATAAAACAACCTCCCTGATTTATTATATTCTAATAATATACATGTGTTAACATTATTGATCCTCACAGCCTAAATATAAAGCTATTAATAAACATGCACAATAAGTTGTGATTTATTGCATATGATCTCATGCGTTAGTCTAAACAACAAATTGGAAAGCTGAACATTTAATTGAAATTCACTGATGGCACGATTTGACATGTTTGATCAACTAAGTTGCTGAATCCTCTGTAATTCATCTCAGTCCATGTTTAGCTCTGAGCACACCCTTTCTTCTCACACCATCCTCCAAGCCTTGCCTGATGTTTTCCTTGCGCTCCACTTTTCAGGATGCTATCTTTTTCATTTTCAAACTTTTAGCCTAGTGTCCTTGTTTATATATGTATCTGTCTTGGACACAAAGGAAAGTGTCCATCTGGCCATCTCTCAAAACAAAAGTTCAATCTTTCATTCTATGGCAGTTTAATCTGATCATCAGGAGAGGCAAGGGTGAAAGATGGCCAAAGAAGCACAGGATCAAGGCAGCATCCAGACACATACACTACATCCAGACATTCAGTTCTAACTTTGGGCTTATTCTATGGATGTCTCTGAGATTCAAGTGTATTTTTCTCCTTTCAGGGAGGCCCTTGACTGCACATCTACCACTCTCCCTTTTGTAAGGCGCTTTGACCTTAACAGGCAAACTTCAACTACCGGCTCCCAAACTTTCTCCTAGATCAGCAACATATTCTCACAGCAGTGGTGAATTTGCAGATTTATCTTCAACATGGGCCTGCAGTCCAGCTGCAAAGCGCTTGATGTGACCTCAAAGATGCTAGTGGTTTCATGACCACTGCTGCTGTTTCACACTGTTTCTGCAGTTATACTTGGCATATTTATACAGTCTTTTTTCCCAGTGTCTCTCTCAAAATCCTCTCCTACAATCTGTGCTCCTTCCTTTAAATCCCATAAAGGCTGTTCTACCACCCCCGAAGAAACTTACTACATTAAAAGATGCTTAGGTAAGCAGGTATCAGGCAATGAATTACCTGACAAGGAACTTGAAGTCAGTGACAACTGTTGTTTAGCAAACGGAATGTAATGTTATAAAAGGAAGAGTCACATCAGCTTTTTTGAAAGAAGCAGGGGAGAAATGGAAGCAGAAGAGACAGAAAAGGAGCAGGAGCAGCAGGAAGATGCAATCTAATGGCCAGAGACAGCTCCCAGAGGACTTTCAGGGTCCAACAGATGTGCCAACAGATACAATTTCCAGTCTTCATCAAGCACAGACCCACCTTTTCTCTTAACACTAAAGCTTGCTGAACTCAATTCTCACAGCCATTCCAGCAGCTGGAAGCCTTGCCAAATGCTAGAACTGACAGAGAAGGGTCAAGAGGCTGAGGCAACAACTGCACATGAAAGAGCTGGATATTATTCTTGTGTGATAAGCACATACACAGAAAACCTTCCAGAAGCAACTCTACTGATATTTAACTACCTGCTTCTGCTACCTGGAGATAGAAGCAAGCCTAAGTGGGAAGACAAGGCTAATTCATAAGAGAATTCTGGACTCTCTAGAATACGATGTGGACCTAATTTCTGTGGCATCCCAAGTCTAATATAAATGGAAAATTAGGCTTGGTGATTTAAGGAATGAGAGAATCACAGCAGGTATACTCTTAGAGCTTTAAGGGAAATGAACCACTGATTTCCAAGCAAACTCTGATGCTTTTCCACATGCATGTATCTTATTCTAGCAGCATGGGTGCTCAGAAGGGTCCTTTGCAGTGAGGCTTCAACAGAACTCAGGCTGTGGAAGAAACAGCTCTAGTTACAGGTGCTAGACAACTGAAATCTAGGCTTCTCTCTTTTCAGATGAGTCAGATCTATCATCTGCACATCAAGTTTTTGCCTGAGGGCCTGTAGCCCAGCATGAATTGCAAGTGAAAAATTCAGGGTATCTCAGTTTGGGTTATGCACCACCTGGTGAATACCTATCAAAAAGAGGCCATAAAAGCACAGCAATATTTATAGGGGTCAGATGGCATTCTGGCGGGGCATTCTGGCTGTCTGCATATATGACTTTATTGCATATTTATAAGGCTTACTTTGAATAACAGTATGAATTTGAACATTTATTGTTGTAGGCAATAATCATGTGTTGAAATTTAGTATGTGTGGTGAAATTACAGTGTCTTCCAAGCTATATAACATGCCAGACACAAGCCCCCAGACACTGCAATTTCGAGGAATGACAGTAGTCTGTTGGTATCAGGTCAAACATTCAAATTTTTTTGAAATTATAGAATGACAATAGTCAGAATAGGAAAGGACCCATTACACTGAGTTCATGCTGCTGGCAGTGCAGCATGCTATGCGATGAGAGAGGTCACATCGCCTACTAGACTGAAAGAAACAGATACTGTATTGTATTGGTGTTTGATCTTAACTAAAGGGTCAAGAACAAGCAAAGGGGAAAAAGAATATTTGAATATAAATGTACGCTTTTAATAGTTGTTGAGGGTTTCAGGGGGTTTCTGCACTACAGACATCACTGAAGAGATAGCCTCTCTGTTAAACCCTTGGGAGCCTGCAAAATTTGATACAGTTCTAGCTTCCCCCACGCAGAGTTACATGGTCACTGATTTTAACATTCAAAAGATAGCAGTCAGCATCCATTACGTACCCTTCAAGCTGCACTGGAGATGTGTGACCTAATCCCAGATACATAAATGAAAGTCAGAAAGAACAGAGAAAGCCCCAGGGACTTCTCCAAAGCTGAAATTCCTGCATCACTCAGAAATTCAGGCCTGCATGTTCAAGAGGAAAGTTGAGCCTTAAAAATGGAAGCCTTTCCCTAGCATTACCATAAATTAATTGTCCTGCTTTCAGCTGGGACAGAGGTAATTTTCTTCCTTGTGCCTGGTACCGTACTGTGCCAGTGATTTAGTATGAACACTGATAATGCACTCATGTTTTACTTGTTGCTCAGTAGCGCTTACCTCGATCAGGGACTTCCCAGTTTCTCATGCTCTGCCAGCGAGGAGAGGCACAAGAAGCACAGCAAGCAGAGCTAACCCAAACTAGCCAAAGGGATATTCCACGGAATGCTATGCTCAGTATATAAACTGGGGGGTGTTGGCTGGCAGTCTGCTTGGGGACAGGCTGGGCATTCATCAGTGCAAAACATAAACACAATCATCATGAAAGATTCTTTCCTCTGCTTTCAAGATACAATTTGTAGTGTTTCACAGTGTCTAAGATAGAGACCTAGAGCTATTTTTCCAAGGATCTGAGGACAAGGTATAAAGGTGGCTAGCTACAGAGGAAAGTAACTTCTGTTCTGGCAGTTACAGATACTTTCAGTGCAAATTCATGAACAATGGCATGCACAAAGAAGACCCTTCTGCATCTGGATACTCCTGGAGAATTACTGTGAAGTGGCACAGCCCTGTAGTCCATCTCAGAGCCTAGCCAGGGCCCTCCATACTAATGTTTCAGTTTTTCTGATGCTTTCCTGAATCCCATAAAGCTGTATCATAGAGTCATAGAATAGTTAGGGTTGGAAAGGACCATAAGATCATCAAGTTCCAACCCCCCTGCCATGGGCGGGGACACCTCACACTAGACCATGTTGCCCAATGCTCTGTCCTACCTGGCCTTGAACAATGCCAGTCCTCAGTCTCACACCTGGCGAGAAACAGGGTAGCCTTTAAGATAGACACAGACCTACAACACTCCCTTATTTATCTCTATGTTCAGAAAGAAAACTATCCAGGTGGGATGTAAAAATTCTCCCAAGGGAACACCAAGATGAGAATACGTCTATTAATGTAGTTCTTTGGGCAAAAAGTTGTCCCAAAAGAAGGGACATCCTCTGCTGTCATTCTGCTCTACTATGTCCTATTCCTTCAGGCAGTCCAACAGGGCTTTAGCACTCTGTTCTGTACAGCCCCATCATACCAGCCTATTCTTCCTAATAGTTTTTGTCCCCATTTTATTCAGACTTCACTTTCTGACTGCATCTAATTTAAAGAGCAGTATGGATTTCATATAGTGGAAAGGTTTCATTCTTCATTTTCTTAAGCTCCTAAAATTCATAATTTCCCATAGAACAGTCACTTAAAAAAAATTACTATTGCAATTTGTCGCTAACGGAACTTGCAGAAGTGGAGCAAAAGAATTTAAGATTAGCTCAGTTTTCAAATTGGTTTGTTCATGAGAAGACTCCTTAAATTACTTAATCTTCAAACTGTTAGTGATAAAACAAATGTGCTCTTATCTAATCTGCAACAAATCTTTCCCAAACTGTTACTCTGCCAAGTGAAGAACATGCTAGCCTTTAAAAATTTATAGCAACTGCAGCTAATAAAACCAAGGTTTGGAACCACCTCAGTTTATCTTTGCTGGAACAATATGAAGATGTCAGAAAGCTCTTTGCCACAGTCAGAAAAAAGCTGCAGTGCAACACAAGAGGATTTTCTTCTTCCTTCTGCAATGCTACTCTATTATATTTCAGGTTCAGATTTTTCAAATGTTATTGTAATGTTAATTTACAAATCAAGATGTACTCTCAGAAATAGTCTGAAAAAGCTTCAGAGATAATATTGCAGGTCACAGATAATAATTTGAACTGAGTACATGCCCTTGTACTAAGTCCCACTCTCTTCTGATAAAGCTCTTGTCACCATCTGAGCCCACTGTGTGACTCCTCTTAGCTGGGAAAGGCAAGAACTGATACATTTTTTTAAAAAGCTTTGATTAACTCAGTATTTGTGATATCTTTAATGCATCTTTTTATCACTACTCCTATTCTACCTGTCCACAACAAAATATTTTTCTCTAGTAATACACAAAAGTTCTCATTACCATACAATTGAGGATCTGTACTTGATTTCTCCCAATGACTTTGAAAACAAACCTCTCCTATTAACATAATTTCCTTCGTCTGTTAGTCAGACCCCTTATTAAGTCCACACTGTGCTATTCACCCAAAAAGTACAGCTCATTATCAGGTCACTATCAACATGTACACACTAGAAATATTTTATGCATGCAAATGGACAAGAATACTTGATTCTCTGTAAGTACTACTCCAATAGACTATGAGGGATACATGGCAAAAATCCTTAGGTTTGAATCTTTCCTCTAGAACCTGTCCCTTGACTAATTAAACAACAGCCAGATCCAGTCAAGAATTCTAAGGCAGACTATAAGTTATGCATTAACTACTAATCCTTTGATTTGCCTTCCTGTTTAGAATTAGAGATCCATCCTGCAGCTTAAGAAACTCATAAATAAAGAAATCTATCAGGCTTTGCTGACATATTGAGTAAACACCTGCAACTGAAGTGTCTTGTTCCATCAGAAAGAAATAAAAGTAATTGGTAACCAATTTGTTTCTGCTTTCTTTCATCTGCTTGTTCTTATCTACAGGCCTTTTCATAACTTTATTCCCTGACAGCACCCAATATTGGATAAGAAATAAATAAAACATTTAAAAATAAGAGAGCAGGTATGCTACTAAAAGAAAGGCAGCACTGTGAGTTTAATGATTCCTTGATGATTGTTTCTCAGTTTTATTGTAACTGTATTAAAGAATCTTTTACATTAATCAAGAGGCTGCTTTAAGTATCGCATTAGACTGGTTCTGACAGCATAGAAGCAAAATTAAACTCGTTACAGTAAAATGTCATGAATAAGAGTTTAAACAAAAACCGTAAATAAGTGAAATAAGTCTTTGCTCCTTAAAGGGAAGAGAAGCCACAAGGTAATAATTCTAAGAACCAAAGTACAAAGAAAAAGGCTGGAACCAGGCTTCAGCTAGTAGATAATAAATATAATAGAGACAGTGCTACGAATGAGCCTGGAACAGTGCTTTGCGGAGAGAAGAGCTGTTTCCTCATTTAGCATGAACTACTATAATAGAGACCATACAGCAGTCTTTAAAACCATGTTTTCAGAAGGCCAAAAGAATATAGAGAATTGCATGCTGAATTCCCTCTGCAGTGCACTACAGAAATGCATGTGCATGAATTCTGATCAACACCAAGAACTTGTATCACTGCCAGAGTAATAACCTCTCCAGGACACTTGCACAGTTATTTCTGGGACTGTTAGGTAAAAGCCAGACTACATGATCAGCTCTGGCTTAAAACATCTAAAGGGCTCTATTCTAAAACATCTCTTTTATTTTAAAAGTCCTAAAAAACTCTGCACTGTGTGCAATGTGCTGATTTGCATTATTATATCAGGGTATGACATACATAGTAACAACCTTTACCAAATGACAACCTCCTTGCTACAACAAAACTCCAGCACAGTCCTGATGGTGGGAACAGACAGTGAAAGGGCATCAGTGTCCCTTTAAGAATGTTACGTCCAAAGATTCCTTTGGAGTTGAAGGTCTGGCGTGTAGCACTGATTTTAGTGGCATTTCCTTTTTCCTTTTGTTACCTCACTGATGATATCTGCCTGCCTAGGTGCTCAGGAAAATCCTTAAGCCCCCTGACTGGCACTTGGAACAGACAACACACAGAATTACTCCTGAAAGGCTTCTTTCGGAAATACAGGCACTTGACACATTAAAACTAGGTGTAAGCAAGCTGGGAGTTAATCAGGATTTAATGCATCTAAAAGCCAAGATGGAAGCTGCCCAATAATGATTTTCCTATCGTATTTCCCCAAGTTCTGATTAAACGTATAGTTTCACAAGGGATTCAGAATCACATCAGTGTTTAAAAAAATCTATTTGATGAATTTATATTCATGGGGAAGAGCAGCTGAATTAACTTGGAAGATAACCCTCCTTCACCTCCTTTGTTCTGTTCTCTGAAGAAAGGTTCAAATGTAAGGTCAATGAAATATTAAGATATCAATTCTATTTCCTATTATACCTCAAGTCCAGAGACTGTTTTGCTAAAAAACCACATTGCCTTGAGAATTACCCATTATAGAAAGGAAGGCTCTTGCTCTTGCTGGCTCCTCTGTGCTGTCTCTCAATTTTGCTTCACAGAAGTACATCCCCACATCAGCAGAGGTTGGGTTGGTGATAGTGAGTCGTCTCCCAAAACTGCTAATGCCACTGGTTATTTTTATTCCATTTCTCTTCCAGGTCATGCTTAGTCTCTCCAGAGGTCTGCCGAGATTTAAACACACAAAACTAAGAATACAACGATACAACATATATTACAGAATAACCTTGCTGCAGTTACATCCAAATTACAAAACTTCTCTGTTTCCCCTGTCCCTGCGGTTCACTATTAAGCAGTGAATTCATATATAACTTGTACACATGAAGACTACAGACTACTCAAGTGGCATTAGACAAGTACAAATAATTGATACAGCAATAGAACTTAAGTGCTAATAATTTGATTTCTCTAAGCAAAAGGAGTAAATACTACTATGCAAATCAGCTGCATGGGAAGTGCTTTCATTATAACTCAATTACCAAAACAATATTACTCATATCAAGAACATCTCTGCCCTCATAGGAGAAAGTGAATCAATTGGTCTTCTCATCATCTAAGGACCTCAACCCTTCCACTGGAATTTAATGTTGTTCAAGGCCAACTAGATGGAAACATAGGAGGAATGCTACGAACTCCATATTACAGTGCATTACGAACAGTTGAGGAATAATCGCTGTAAAATTAGTGTCTAATAAATTACTTCATAGCAGATCCTCACTAATTTCTTTACTAAGGAGCTCAGACTGTTCAACAATATCACCTTCCATGTCAATAGGCAATACAGCTGAAATATTTACCTTTAACATATTTTTTTCCTTAAGATAAAGTCTGCTAATCCAACAATACTATACTAATATACCAGGTGGAAAAGTAACTCTGCCTATATCCTTATTTGGCCAGAAAAATCAGTATGTTTAATTCAGTAATGTTGGACAAACAAGATTATTCATAAGGTTACTTTGAAGAGCAAGAATTCTGGGTCCAATACTAACAACAACAACAAAAGAAAATAACTTTCTATGTCCTTCTCCAGCAGAGACAGTGCATTAAAATTAGCTCCTTATAACCCCTCTGTGGCTTTTACAATACCTTGCATTGGCCACACACTCCAGCGTCACATCGCTGCTCCCTGCTACAATGCTGGTATTCTGGGGAGGGATTACAATGACGGGAGCCACCGTGTCAGATGGGTCTGTGGCACCTGCATGGGCAGAAACAAACCTTGTGAAGACCCCATACATCTGCAAACTGGGAGGGCTGATGGGTTCCATAGAAAGGACCTTGTCAAGCAACACAGCTGCAAATTTCACTCTTCAATCTCACCCTGGATTTTAATTTCCTCAATCAGGGGAGATCTTGAGCATGACCACTTTCAATGGCTTTCATTAACTGTACAAACACACTGTTTCAATATACCCAGCTCAGGATCACTCAAAACACATAACTCACACGAACTACTCCCAGATGGAGTGCAGGGGCCATTCTCAAATAGAGAGCAAATAAATTAAGCATCCTAAAGGTTTTCTATTGTTGAGCACTTTTATTTTTATCAAACACTTGCTGACTTATATTTTTAAGACCTTTTCATGTTTTGTTTAATCTTGCCACTTCCACACCATTTCAAAAGAGCCTGCCAATACTCATGTTAGTTCTTTAAAAAGATTTTACACACTGGGGAACAAATATAAAATTAACAAAGCAGCATATCACAGCAACTTCAACCCCTTTTTCTTATCAGCAAAGTAAATAACCCAAATCTGCTACTGTTTTGTGAGGCATCATCTTGTAAATAATTTAGCTTATGCAACAGTCAGGAGACACTTAAAAATGGTAAAAAAGCTGCTTGTAAATTTTCTCTGTATACATTTAGTAAGTGAATTAAAATACCCATGCATTCATAGGTACTTTGCTTCAAGCAACTCATTTGGGAAAGAAAAATTAGCTATTTTTTAGCTTGAATAACAGAGTAATAAAATTCTCTAAAGAATCCAGAATCCAATAAACAAATTATAGGGAAAAGGAATGAAAATAAAACTAAACTGATGGAAAAGCAAGCCAGTTCATCAAATGTTTTATGTAAAGGAGGCTAACCCATGCCCATTAAGCAGAATGGGAAAAAGTCAAATGCAAGGTATGAACCCTGATGTTCAAGGTAATTCCTTAAATAATACAAAATGGATAGGATATACTTTGCTTCTCTTCTGCCCAGCTATTTGACTTTCAATTTCACTCTTTGGATAGACAGAGGTTTTGGTAACAGGGCTCAGAGTTCAAGATTAGCAGATTTCTGACTTACTGAATGACAAAATTTTTACCTACTGCTGTTTTTGTAATTGGTGGCAAATAGTGACTATGGGAGATGACAGCATGCATCACAAGTTTAAAAGTTTAATACCATCCACACTTCTGGGTAAATTCAATCATCCAAGAATAGTACCTAAGGAACTGGTAAGCACACGCTTATTTCTTCCCATAAACATACTTTGTTGACCTGAAACTTCATCTGCATAGAACTTCCATGGGATCTCAGAAAAAAAAGTTGTAGTAGATTTTACTTCTGTTCAACAACATTCCTGGGAATATGATGCTGTAAAGTAGCAAATTTATTTTCTATGAAGATTTCCATGGTGTTTCTAGAGATATTCATGGCAGGAATTTTCCAGATAGTACTTGAAAACATAGAAAACAAGCAGTAATCAGCTTAGTAACTTATTACTGATAAGAGGAAATAACCTCAGCGTGACTGGTCACCACTACTTCTGCACAAGATGAAGGTTTACAACAGGAAACGCTAAAAGACCAACAACCAATTTACTAATTTGGCAGTAAGCATTTCTTATCTCCATCTGGAAAAGAGGAAAGCCACTTCTTTGACTTATCAGCTCCCTTGAAGAATGGCCTAACCCCACTATAACCAGCCAGAGAAGCCAGCTTTGCTGTAACCTCTATGAGTTCACCATATGAAAGTGGCTCATTGTGCATCGAGTAGATAAGCAGGGGCAATAGCAGCGCACATTACTCTGCCCTGCAACCAGGAAAATGTGAGGTTTATTCAACTTTCTTACCGACTGTAACAAGAATATAAATAAAGTATGTGCATATTTTCATTTTGTACCATCACTGAAACAAATCTGTTAAAAGCAGGCTGTTGATAAAGCTTTTGAGCAAGTAACTCAATACAGATGTGACACAGGGTTCATCAAAATGGTTACTAATGTAATGGATTCTAAGTAATATACCTACAAAGGTCAGCTGCAGATGTACAAGCATCTACAGAACAACAAAATTTCAAACTATTACCTAAACAGTACATAGGCAGCGTGTATATTCATATTCAAAGACAGCTTCCCTTTGCAGCATAAAGAAAACACTTGCCATAATTCACTCTGGCCCCTGTTTTGACAAATAAAAAGTCAACAGGGACATTCCCACAGTTTGCAGCTTTGTTTTGTGGCTGATCAAAATATCAAAGGATGATTTAGTTTTACTTTAGAGTAAAAATTTCAATAAGGCTGTAAATGTGGGATCTGTGTTTCCACCTTTAAGAACTTCATCCTTTTGTAAGAAATTCACAGGTTGGAATATCAGTGCAGCCAGACCCCTAATAGAGATAAGGAGTAATACTGTGATTTCGTTTTGATGATGTGACGCAGCAAATTAGATTTCAGTCTGGCCATGGAAGGCAGAGAGCTATTTCAAATTATCAGATAAAGAAAAATTAGCCAGACTTTCCACGTTTCTTATCCTACCTGTCAATAAAGCCACCCTATCCTTCCCCTACCTCTTAACTCACTACACTGACATGATGTTACTTGACTGGTGCTACACTGAAGTACAATGCAGAATGTTGTTGTTGGTAAACAGGCATTTTCTTTGAAAAATCCTTTGTAGAAAACAATCGATTTTTTTTTTTTGTTTCCTCATCACTGTTCCTTTTTTTACTTCCTCAGACTTTTTCTTATCCCAGTTTTCTAGGTCTCTGCTGTTCTCTTCTGGCTTTTCACCACCTGTTCCTCCTCTCCCTCAGGCAGCTTCTCTGCATTTGCCACCAGCCATTTCCCCTCCCCACAGACATTTTACATTATTTAAGAACTGCTCAACTGCCCATCTATCCTTTATTTAATGATTGAGCTTCAGTTTCTCTGAAGAAAATATTTATCAAAGACACTGAAATGGGAGAGCAATACAAATGCATACAAGAACACAGTTATAATGACATTAATTTGCTACCACAGGACCACCATTCCCCCCCATACTCTATGTTTTCTGTAAGAAAAGATCATTCCTTCCTGTCTGCTTTTTGAACCCCTTCTTTCAGCCAAGAAAGCAAAGCCACTTTAAAGAAAAAACACTGACCCCACTACTGCAGCCAAGGGATGCCTCACTATTAGACGCAATAAGCATGTGGGGAGCTTGTAGGAAGCTGCAGAGACAAGGCTGAACAGCACTGAAGGACACTTAAGGCATGTGCTCTTAATCCTGATTCCAGTCCTTAGTAGATGGCTGGACAGAAGGACTGCTGCAGGCAAGAGTCCTAATCCAAAAGGGGACTTTTCTCCAAAACCCAGCACATTCTGCTTTCTTTTGCATTCTATTTTAGCCACAGCACTGGCAGTATTTCCAATCTTCCCTTTGCTTCCAGACCTTCTCATTAAACACTGTCTTAATTATTACCAGTGTGTACTAGGGCCCAATAACTCAAGCGTCTTCAGGCATAGCACAGCCAGCCTTTGAGATTTGGTTATTGTAACACCAGAGACTCACAAGGGGAGGGAGCTGACCTTGCAGGTTTCTCTGTGGTTCCCCTCCCTGGCTCCTCATGAAGCAGCTGCTAAATATTAACTCCTCTCTAGACTCTGGAATTCAAGAATCTGCAATCCTGCACAAAGCAGAGGTATACTGAGGGAAGAGGGAAAGAGTGAACACTTCTCACACAGTCTATTTGGTTTTATCACCAGCCTCTGTGTGTAACTGCACAATGCCCATACAGGATCACAGTGAAGTTCCCCTTCTCACCTAACCAAGAATGAACCCCATCCTGAGTGGTCTGTTACATTGATCTTTTTAATACTGATGAGCTGTAGAATTTCTTATCTGTTATTTAACTACAATAATAAAGCAGACTGTCCTACCATCTCTGAAAAGACAGTGTTTTTATCTCTCTACACATACTGCCTTGTGAGGTATGGAGAATTTTAAAAATTATAATTTACCATTTATAAAGATCATAGACTCTATCAAAACCATTTGAGTGCTTGATTTTCCCAACAGTGATGAAATGTCTCTCAGGCTGTATGACTGAAGATACAAAAGGTGCTCTTCCCTTCAGAAATGTGTAAACATTAGGTTCTTTCCCAGATTTTACATTATGGCGTGCAAAGTTTATCTATACCTGTGTTTGCAGGGCAGAATATTAAGAATATTCCTCCAATGAATACTCAAATACATCTCAGAGAGATATGAGACAAACCAGACTAAATAGAAGGCGAGAGAAAGTGTTTCTCTCTTGAAAAGAAGAAATAGGTTGAGCTCAGACTTGAGAAAAACAACAAGTCTTATTTTTGAGGCTGGCATATAGGTCCCAACCCTCCAAAGACACTTAATACAAACAAGGTGACCATGGGCAGGAGGAGGGAGGGTTGCCCGAATTATCATCGCCAAGATACCCTTCATTTACTTAGTATGGGGTAGAGCCTGCGATGTGATGTTGACTGAAGTGTTCGTTACTACTGCAGTTACATATCAGTGTTCTGTTTTCAAAACCCACAGGAATCAGCATCCAAAAAGTGGATTTACTTCTTCATATTATGAAATTTGTCTGTGAGAGAAAAACATTTCACAGAAGGATCACCAGTATGCTACCCTCAAGGTAACGGAGAAATTGAATACTTTAACAGAACTTTGAAACCATTTATAAGTTATCCTGTGAGAAAAAGATTAGAAAACCTTCAGCATAAACTTCCTATAGGCTTTCAGACTTGCACAGTACTCAGAAATGCCTTTGCAATTACTGTGCAGGCTACATGCAAAGCTTCATGTTACCAAATTACAGATACCTATATTAGAAAAAGCAGAATGTGAGATAGGAGTCCAATACAAATAGCAAAGAATATTGCACATAAATAGCTCAACTTCGTGGCATCAATATGCAATCTCTGCTTCTGTACCACAGAAGATGAGAAAAGAGGAGAAATGACAATC